CTGAATGCTGACGGTTCAATTAAATTACGAAAATCATTTCGTACGAGCCCGCTTAATATTCATTTTGCCAGCATCGAGCAAGAGTGTTGCCTACTTCCCAGGGCCATAGGTGTATATGTGTGTGTGTGAGAGCCTGTCAAGTGTGCTTTGGCGCTGTCAATTACACACATCCTTCGGCTTATGAGTGTGTGTGCGTCGTGGGACACCTGGAAACCTGATTGGCGGCATTCGGGCTGCATCTTTTGTTATCTCGAGCCCTTCAGACCGAGCTCGTTATTAAATTAGACTGCACTTATTGCCAGCTGCCAGATCCCCCCTTAAAATATGCCCCATCACGGCCAGAGTTCAGAGCCAGCGCCACCGGCAATTGACCCAGTTAACTGGCCGGGGATGTCAGCTGCAATTGTCTCGGGTCTCGGCTCTCGAATCTCGGGTTTCCTTTCTCCTTTCACGTCTCTCCTTTCTCCTTTCTCCCTTCTCCCTTCTCCTTTCTCCTTTCTCCGGTCTCGGATCGCCCACTTTCACTTCATCTAATTAAGCGAGCTCTCAATGCGTGACACAATCCCCTGGCCCATAAATGAAAAATTAATTTATTTGCCCCAACTGCAGCAGTTTGTCTGGCATTCATTTCGCGTCCTTCTTGGCAAACAAAAAAATCCAAGAACCGAGAGGGCAAACTGCAGTGGCTGCACCGAAAAGAATAAAAGGTGGTTCCTATCTAATATTAAACACCTTTTATATAGTTCAAAAGTGTTTCCCAGCACAACAAATAAATAAATTCTGACTAGCATTTCCTACCTTATCCTATTGTTGAGCAGTCGCCAAGCTTCATTAAAAAGGCTGTCGGGAATGTCATAGAAGAAGTTGCTCAGTGCTTAAATAATTAAGGTGAGCTCACCTTTTTGAGCGAATGACTTTATCTGGCTGACAGTAATTTAATTTGCCTGAAGAAGATAATAAGTGCAACTCTTTTGCCCGGCTGATTAACACAGAGGACATCGCGCTCTAAGAGTTAAGTTTACGATCCAATCAAGAGCAGGACATAAAAATAAGTGCTGGCCAAGCGAAGATGAAGAACTAGCCGATGCTCCGATATATAGACAGAATAAACAATATATACGAGTACATGCGAGTATTGAAGAGACGCTGACCGTAAAAAGCTGAGCAATAAAATTTGAAAGAAACAAGCCGGAGGAATACGACTGTCACGCTCTGCCGTTTTCCTCTGGCTAATGGCTTATGTAAGAGCCCGGAGCGGGGGGCGGGACCTCCAAAAGGACCCCCAAAAGGACCTCGAAAGGGTGTGAAAGCCTCCTGGCCAAGCAGAGACCCCAAACAGCAACAGACGTAAGCGTCTTATTAGATTTTCGTGTGTACTATGCGCGGGGGGAAAGGACACGGGCCGCAGGACTCGAGTGCAGGAATTGGCAGGACAGCACTCGCATTAACAACTTCATTAGGGGCCAAACACACACACCCACAGACACAGACACAAACACCGGTTTTAGCCACACACACACACAAGCTTACACACAGCTGCTAAACTCGACTGAGAAGTACATTAATTTTGTGGGCTTTTGGCAACTGGCAATAAATCTTCGGCTTTCCTCGGCAACTAAGCGGGTATCTGTATATCTGTTTTCGAGGAGGAAAGGGGGGTTGGGGGGGGGGAAAGAAACCCACATTGACAGCTGGATTGAATTGGGAAATGCAGCCCGGCTGACATTTATGGCCCTGCAAGCGCCGGGGAGCAGAAACAATGCAGCACTATCTCCCAGGACATCGGCTCCTTTGTTTGCGAGCCAGAATTAATTAGTGCGGCCAAAGTATCCGACTGAGAAACAATGTAGCGCCGCAGCAATCGGCCAAAACAAATCAAATTACAGAGGAGCCGTCTGTTGACAGAGGATCCGGGGTATCCTCTCCACTCTCCACTCATCAGTGCCGCCCAGTGCTTCGCAAGGACCAACAAAAGCGAGGGGCAACACTCTCGGACGGAGAGTCCAATCTCGGCCACTTCGCATGTTGGCGGTGGAGCAACAAATGCTGCAGCCTGCAAATTGCCTTTTCCATGGAGCTGGCCGTAAAAACGTCGAGTGGCTGGCAGCGCTATCGCAAGGATGCCATGGGAACAGGGACCACAAGCCAAAGGATAACAAGTGGAATTGATTATTCAAAACACAAATTTCCATACCATCCTTGCATGCGGCTTGTGGAATCCTCGATTGTGGCATACATTAAAGGTATTAATATTACGGAGGGTGAGTTATTATTCAAAAGGTAAATTCACATGCACTGGAAGAGAGAGGTGTGTGTTTGATTCCTGCACTAATCAATTGAAAACATTTGTAATCTTAGGATAAAACAAAAGACATGTGCAAGTCCAAGCAATTAATCAAATGAAGGACTAAATAATTACATAAAACATTTACATTCCACATATGGTTATTGGAATAAGAAAATCCCCACTCGCTTGCTGACTAATTATGTTAAGGAGAAAATCATTTATCAAAACAATTGCATTCATTGAAGCAGCCAGACATGTGGCTTCGAATGGATTCCAAAAACGGCATATTTGCTCCTAATTAACATTAAGATCTCTGGCCAGCTATTCCCCCACCCCCTCCTGGGTTATGTAACGGATTATTGGGCTTGTACAACTCAGCAGTACGGCCATTCTTCATCTGTTATTCCAGGGGGCTCCCCGAGCAGTGCTCCCCGGCGTATACTTAATATTTGAGCAGGCAAGAAGGTTGCTGGCCATTATTTGTTCATTATTCAACTGTTATCAGCTGGATCTGGATCTGGGGCAGAGCCAATATATAAACGGCTTCACGGGGCTTCCGGCCCACCGACTGTTGCGGTCAAAGGTCGCATTCTGTGGGCACGTCCGCCCATTAGAGACAATCATTTTCTTTAAATTCGCCGATTAAATTGAGCGCAGCGAAAGCGAGTGATATCCGAATGGCGAACCGCAAGTGAGCAATATGCCTGTGTGTGTGCGAGTGTGTGTGTGGGGGTGTAAGTGTATGTGTGCATGCGGGTTAATGGCAGCTCCTAAAGCCCGACTAATGAATTTAGCCCGACCCCCGGCTGGAATTACGAGTTTTAAATTGCGTGACAGAAACGCTTTCAAAGGCAATTAGAAGGCGAGTGAGTGTGCAGGCTTTTTGCTGCATACTTGCCCCGAGTTAAAAGGCCGTGTCGGAGATGTTTAGCCCACAGAGCTGAGCTGGAACCCACGTGGACCAGGACACATGGAAAGAGCACTGCCACCACCACCAGCATCACCAGCAAGAGCGACCGGAAACGGAAGCTGAAGCCCAGTCCGCATTATGGCAAATTAATGCGCCATTATTAGACAAATGCATGACAAGCGATTCAATTAGGGCGCCATAAACTGTCGCTGGCCGCCAGTCTGTATACGTATATATATATATAGTACAACATCCACACACGGAGGATGTGACAGCCGACTGACACTGCTGGGGCATCATTACAGTCAATTGCTGGATGACGAGGACAATGCCGTTTGCCTGCGGATAATCAAGCGCTTTTAATGATTGCACATTCCGTCCGGGGGGAAATTGCATTTCAGCCATTGATTGCCAGCTTTAGTTTTCGCCCCCCTCCCCCCAGCATTTTCCACTGCCTGTGCCGTGGGCATCAGAAAGCGATTTAATATTAAAATTTTCATAAATATTCAGGCGGCAGGACCTCGCTCGCCATGTTTGGCACGTATCGCGGGGAATTTATTTTGCGATTGCTGGCCAAAACACGGCCTGCTAACCCGGCCAGCTGTTCCGTTCCGATTGATGGCTGTTTGTGATTCGGCCTATTAATTAACAATTCCATTATTGCAGATGTGCGAAAATTGGGCTTTAATTAAATTGCTTGTAATGCCGTAATTATTTCACACACACAGACACACACACGCTCTCCACTTTCCCCGTAATTAATGAGATTTTAGTTAAAAATACATTTTTGCCCGTAATAATGACTTGGGGCCAAACACCAGCCAGCATGTGCCTGGCATTTTCAATAAATTTAAGCGCACACAGCTCATTAAATGCTTTACATGTGTTGGCTTTTCCCCAGCCCCCAGCCCCCGAGAACTCGGAAAAGTCAAGGAGGCGTTTTTGGAAGTCCTTAATTTATGCAAATGCCTATGCCAAAGTGGGCGGCTGTGGGGAGCCCGCTCCTCTGTAAGCCTCATCAATTTTCCATTGACACAAAGAGGAGTTCTATCGCCCGGAGGCTAAGGAAAACTGAACGAGTAGTCACAGCAATTGCAAATGTGAAGAGGGCACCGTAAAGTTCGTTAGGGAGCAGCAAAAAATGTCAGATCGACTAGAAAGTACTTCTTTGCCTTACAATCTCTGTAAAGCTTTGCCATTGTGCGACTTTAAAATGGTCGAGCAAATAATATACCCCTACCAACTCAGTAGTTAAACAACATGGGAACCGCGAATTTAAACCTCAAAGTAGGAGCACATTCTCTCCCGTCAACAATCAGAATAAATCCCCAGCCAAAGGCATTAGGCGTAATTCGTAATTACAATTTGAACTTAAGTCCGGACTCTCGGATGCAATGAAATAGATAAATCCCCCATCCAGAGGGGATTACACATGACTTTTGAGTCGGAAGAGAGTCTCGCTTTTCTGGAGTGTGAAATTGGGGCTTTATCAATCCATCAATATGGTGAATCCATGCCAACGACTTAACCCGCCGGCCCGAGTGTGGGAAATGATTAATGAAATAGATATCGGAATAGATAAGAAAAGCTAAAAAGCGATAAGGCGTGGGCGGGGAGCCATAGTATAGTATTTATCGAGAGCGGAAGATAAGGGCAAAAGCTCGGCGCTATCTTATCAGCAATTCAAATGCCATGGGCTTTGGCTCTCCGCACTCTTGTTTACCACTCGGTGGCCCAAACTGATTTCAGTGACTAACCAAAGACCAAAGTATTGCGCTGATAAATTTATTGGAAAATCGTCGAATGGCCCGGGAGCTTTTCCGGCGTTCGATAAGATATGGATGTGGGAGTCGCGAAGCTCTCGCCCGCTGATTCAGTGCACCGAGAACCTTTACCATGAAGAGATTGGAATTTGCAAAGACCTTTGCCCTGCTGCTGGTCCTGCTGGCCAGCCACTCCCGCCACTCCGCCCACTCGGAGATCATCGACGCGGAGGAGACGGACCGCTTCTGCTACCCGGAGTCCTCGCGGAACTCGCGACGCTCCTGCGAGTGCAGCAACGGGAGTGCCTCGCCGTGGGGCAACCGCGCCCTCCGCATCGACTGCAGCTACAAGGAGTTCCGGGCCGGCGATCTCTCCCTGGTGCTGCCCCTCTACATCGACACCCTGGACCTCTCCTGGAACTCAGTGGACGCGGTGCCCGTCCTGATCAGCGACAGCCTGCGCCAGCTGAACCTGCGGCACAACAACGTCTCCCAGCTGGTGGCGGGCAACTTCCGGAATCTGACCAGCCTGAAGGAGCTCTACCTGGGCTGGAACAGCATCGGCCAGCTGGAGGCGGGCTCCTTCGAGAGGCTGCCCCACCTGCAGGTGCTCGACCTGGCCCACAACAACCTCCACTCGCTGCCTGGAAAGCTCTTCGCCCCCCTGCTGGTGCTGAGCACCCTGGACCTCTCCTGGAACCGTCGCCTCAACGAGTCCGGTGTGGATCTCTACACCGGGCTGGGCCTCAACTGGAAGCTGGCCACCTTGCGCCTGGACGCCTGCGGACTCAGTGAGCTCCGCCTGCCCGTGAACGCCCCTCTGCGGGAGCTCTCGCTGCGGAGGAACCAGCTGCAGCGGATCCCCGGCCAGCTGCCCGAGTCCCTGCTGCGTCTGGACGTCAGCGACAACCCGCTGGAGGAGCTGCTGCCCGAGGACACGGCCAACCTGACCCAGGTGCGGCAGCTCTTCCTCGAGGACATGCCGCTGCTCCAGGGCGTGGCTTCCCGGGCCCTGGCCGCCGCAGATCTTCTCGAGACCCTGAGCTTCCAGAACAGCCGCCAGCTGAGGCACTTCGACGCGGAGGCCTTCGGAGCACCAGTGGATTCCAGGAGCAGCCACCACCACAAAGCTCTGCGGTCGGTGAGCTTTCGCGGCACTCTGCTGCGCACCTTTAATTCCACGCTGGCGCCGCTTTTTGCGCAGCTTGCCGAGCTGGACCTCAACGGTCTGCCGCTTCAGTGCGACTGCGAGCTGGTCTGGCTGAAGCAGCTGCCGGTCCAGACCAACGGCCGCTGCTACAAGCCGTCCCGCATCCGCGGCATGCTGGTCACCTCCGCCCGCGGCGACGCCTTCAGCTGCGACTCCTGGCCGCGGTGGGCCTACAGCCTGGTGGTCCTCTCCCTGATCGCCCTCAGCGCCGCCGGCATCTACCTGATCGTGATGGGGCTCCGGCCGCACCGCGGGGTCACCATGCGGCGCAAGGTGGGCGCCGGCAGCCCCTACGCCCGCGTCACCATCGAGCCCAATCGCCAGGAGAACCCCCCACTAGGAGCCGAGTGGCCAGTCAGCCTACCTACCACCTAAGCCTTGTACGTAACTCCAGTCCAGAAGGGAATAAAACTAATCGTTCTGTAAAATATTCAAAGGGATTTTCTTTTATCTTAAATAATAATTTATGTAGTAACATTCCTACCCAGAGAAACGGAACCAGATTTACAAGGAGAAGCAGCGATTTATAAAAATGCTTTAAAGAAATACATTAGTAGGTAAGGTGTGGAAATATTTAATAAAATAGGATAAACAAAATAATTAAGCAATTGCTTAAATTTTATTGAATGTCAAAATATGGGAAAATTAACTTTTGTACAAACCATATTTCCATAAACTTAAAGAGCTCCCAGTTTGATATTGGGATGAAAAGCCAAGCCAGGAGTAGCGGCGAAACCCTTCGAAGTGCTGGCTCCGCTGTACCTGATCTTGATCCGCAAGGGAGGCTTCTGGTGGAAGCGGTCGACGGCGTTGACGTCGTAAGGCTCCTGGAGGGCACAGAGGTTCGGGTAGCGGAGATTGCGACCCGCCTGACAGCCGGTGGCCGCCAGGAGTCCCACCTCGTAGGCGGGTTCATGGGCCACGTCCTCGCGGGCGAAGTTGCAGACGATGAACTGCTGGTGCCAGCGGTCCTCTGCCCGCTGGCGGAGCACTCCGCATCCCATGTGGGTGGCCCGCTCCTGCATCAGCTGGCGGAAGCTGGTGATGTCGCTGGCCTGATCAGCGGCTCCCAGCTCCCTGGTGGCCCTTTTGTACTGGGCAAACCAGTTGGCGATCTTGTGGCCCAGCAGCTCCGTGTCGCTGTGCCGTCCGGCACTGAAGATCACGTGTCCCGTCAGCTGGCCCACGTGCTTGAAGCGCCTGGTGTTGCGGCACTCGTCGGCGGACAGGGTGCACCTCCTGGCCGCCAGCTCCGCCAGCTGGGCCAGCTCCGGGTCCCAGCGGACACTGGCCATGCGGTGGGCGGCCCCGAACCCGGAGAAGTCGCCCGAGGCCACTTGGTTGCGGTAGAAGTTCACCTGGTCGACGATGAACCTGCTCAGCGGACCACTCAGGGGTACTAGCTTCGCCTCACTACCGCACTGGGGTCCAAAGCTCTAGATGGATTAAAGAGAACCCGGGTTTCATGTTGTAAATATAACTGGTTAGCGAAGAAGTTCAAATTCTCTGTTTTGTGCCAGATCACTCACTCCATTGTTGTTACAGGCTACGTGATCCTTGAAGCGGGGACACCAGTGCTCCTGGCAATAGTCCCAGGATCTGACTGGGAATGAGAGAAGGCTGAGGATCACAGCGCAGATAAACCACTCTCGAAGCTGAAACATTGTTGACTGTATCGCAGCTTACAGCGACTTTATTTTTGCGCACTCGGTAATGGCATTTTTCACGAGTTGATATGCCCAGAATGCGGAACAATAGAGAAAACCTTTTAAAATTAAAATAAATACAATGCTTTTAGATTTAATTCCAGTTTTCAAGTTTTAAAAGCATAACATTTATTTGTTTATATTTTAGAAAAATACCCAGAGATTAGATTTGGTTTCTAACCATGAGTTGGTTGAGGTGTTTCTACGGAGTACGTCAGCTGCTGTTTCTATTTTTCGAGAAAGTAATCTGGAGCACATAAAGTACAGACTTTTGTTTGTGGAATAGCTATATATATATTTATTATATATTTTTCGTTACTTCACAAATTTAGGAGTGCATTTACGTGGACGACGACCCACTCACAAGGATAGTAAAATGGATAAATATTAATCTTTCAAAAAATTAATTTATTCCTCTCCTCCCATTTGAGCAAAATTGAAATAAAACCTGTCAATGTGCCACTTTACCGATCGCTTGACTTGGGGATGGCCAGAATTAATGTCTTTGGCCAACTGGCACCACTCTATTGTTCGCGGCATTAATAATAATAATAAAGTATGTAATAGTCGCCGTCATAAATACTCGGACCACCAGCTTCTGCTGCGAGGGCGGCGAGAGATTTACGAGTCCTGCGAATGGAATTCGCATAAATAAATATTTTTCGCTTCGCATTTCCTCCTCCGCCTGGACACCAGTGACCAGTATGGTGCAAATTATTAATTTCGATATCTGACTGGCAATTATTGTTCACCAGATGACCCGGGGAAGAGGCACACTCGGCGCCTCATGAATTAATTAACGGGGGATCCGAGAATTCCTGGAGGACGCTATCACCAGGGCGGTTATTAAATTTACAAACAGGTTACTCTTCGCCCTGAAATCCATTTTAATAGGGGAATAATTAAAATAATCTTACTGGAAAGATAATTGATGAGTGATTGTATTATAAATATTTTTATTCCTGCTAAGCCAAGATGTAAATAAGCAACAAGAACATGAAACAGCTGATGCCATACATCAAGCAGACCATAAAAACCAGTTGGCCAATCCTTTGCCGCCTAATTAATCGCACATGCTTGCCTTTCTATTGCCGAAGCGGCAGTTGTGCGGCAATTATTGACAAGTAATTTGCATTTCATTACGACAATCTATCAATGACTAACCGTCATCGGCGACGCCTGTGCATATTAATTGTGGGCCATTTTCAGTCCGTCTTTGGGCCAAAGGATGCGTGTGCGGATGCGGCGCTCTCCCGGCGCCTGCGTCCTGCGTCCTTGTGCCAGTGGCCCAGTGCCACGAGTTGCATGCCACTCCGAAGGCGACTCCGAACACGAGTCCGAAACCGAAACCGAGTGCTCCTCCAGGTCGGAGCCAGCAGCATCCAACCAGTTGGAATTGGTGCGTCGAGGCGAGTGGACGCGCTGGCGGATGATCAATATCCATGCGAATATCGCGTATACGTCGTGTGTGCGGCTCGTTTGGCGGTTGTGTGTGTAAGCTGGTGTGTGTGTGTGTGTGTGTGGAAACTGGTTAGCTCGGGAGGGCCGTTAATTGTGCGCTTGACGTTCTGGCTTTGGGTGTGCGAATTCTAAACCGCTTTCAAGGGGCCGCCGGCCGACATTGTCCTCCCGCTCGTCAATAAATTATAATGTCCTAATACCAATTGACAGCGACGGGAGCGTTGGCGGCATGAATAAAATATCAAAAGCATTTCGGGGCCCCAAGGTCTGGCGTTATCATCAGCGAATGAGCGGAGGCAATTCTCCGGTGTGCCGATGCTTAAGTTGATTTTATTTTTCGTATCTGGCTCACACATCCCCTTGCGTTTATTAAATATTCAGCGTTTATGCGCAACAACACAAAAGTCGTTGCTCTCGCTTTCGCCCTTTGCTCCCATTTTTCCAAGCTTTCCGTTCTTTGTAAGGAACATCTCAAGCTGAGCGCCAAAACAATCCTAATGTACATTGACAGTGTGGTCGAAGGCGAAGCTCTTGCTGGGCCACATAGCCATCCAGCCAACCAGCCAGCCAGCCATCCAGCCATCCAGCCATTCATTCAACCATCCACCCATCCAACCATCCAGCAATAGCGTCTACATCCACATCCATATCCGCCCAGCGGGCTTAGCGAGTCATGTTTACTTAATGGATACGCCAGACAACTATTAAGTGCTCCCCAAGCTCCCGGCGATTCTTATTTACCAGGCAGGCACGGCCAGGCGCATATTAGATTTAATATGGCCATGTCAGTTAGCCACATTATCTGTATTTGTATTTGCATTAAAGCACGACTTTAGCTGCAGCTAAGTTGGCTGCGGGAATTAAGAGCACCCTGCTGAAGCCATTATGCGCACTTATTATCGCTCGTGGAGGGACACTGGCCCGAATTAGCCCCTGAAATCGGGACTTGACTGTCCCCCGGGGGAAACCTGCACTGGGTTTATCTCGAATGCCCCATCTCCAGTCCATTACCCTTCCCACAGGACAACAAAGGAATTCCGCGCAAAGCTGGCCTCGCCCAGATTCCTCTGCTTTCCTTTTTAATTTTAATGCGTATCTTCCTGCTGCAGGACACGGCGGAAAGCGGCAGGTGGCGAAGGTGAAGGCAGTGCCCGAGGCCAGAAAAGCGAATTAAGCCGAGTTGAAGAGCGGGTAACAGACACCGCCAGCGGGCGGTCCAAAAAGCCAACTTCATTTACGTCTGAAACGCAGTTGAAACGAACGACTTCACGACACTGGCGGATTTCCTAAAAAGTAAGTTAAGCCTATGCCACCTTGTCGCATCACCTGTCATTCCCCTAATTCGCCCAACATCCTCCCAGGACCACCCTACACCCTCCACCTAAATCCCACCACTTTTCTCCTTTTGGTCCTGCATTCCTTTGCCTGCCGACTCAGCTCATTAAAGAAGTAAGAGGAATAGTACACGGGGAATAAACAACAATTTCCTACAATTATATTTGCCATTCGAAACGATCTCCGAATATCTTCTTTATATTCTTGAAAACATCTGAGTTTTTGGGGCAAGACCATATTTGATTTTCCTCCCAAAAAATCTAATATTTAGTCTTAAAATCCAAAATTAGGTCAAAATATGAAATGTTATACCTTTCTGAGTTCGTAATGACATTTCCCATCGACTGGCATTCAAATCTGAAAAAATATTTTTTTCGCCAAATTTTGAAAAAAATTATGATGGTACCCCTTATCAAAAATCCGAAAATTAGGTCAAAATTGTTTTTTTGTAAATCAACCAAAAACTGATGTGGCTTATAGTAGAAATCATAAGCTGTACAAAAATGTCTATCTTTTAGTTGTGGTAGGTTTTTTTTTTCCAAAATATGATAAAATCTCTATTTTGGAACACATGAAAGGTGGAATTTTGAGATTTAGTTACTCACATGCAGCTTAATAATTTAGTACAATATTTATGATGATAACCAATTAAATCAAACCCAATAAAATGATTAAACTTGATTGCCTTGAAAATAAATATATTTTAAGCTCGGTCTACAAATAAAAGATGAAATACGAGTTGTTTTGATTGCAAAACCCCATATTTTTTCCAATGTGCGGTGCCTGCGGCCAAAAGGGCACGTTGAAAGGAAGTCAAAGACGACTTGCGCTCTTGGCCGGCTGGCATTGTTTCAACTCGACGGCGGATGGAGCGGATGTAGAGCCGGAGTCGGCAGCTCCTGCTCCTGCCACTCGCATTCCACTCATCCGAGTCGAGCTGCCGCATTCCAAGCCGTTTCCTTCCGCTTCCCCGCCACTCTGGATATTTACAATTGTCGTGGGCGCCTAATTAAATTTCACAGCGTGCGCATAAATAAGCTCGAGCCATTCTTTTGGCCTACTGCCGGGCTGCGGTGTTTGTTTGTGTTGCATCTACGGGCTGCTATGGGGGTCCGGAGTCCGCAATCCGGTATCCGGAATCGGGGAGCCGGATGCAACTGCCACTGCATGTGGCATGTGGGCTGTGGGCTTTGGGCTGTGGGCTGTGAGCTGTCCTCGGGCGGAATGGCAACAGCTGCCGCCGGAGAAATATTAAAAGTTTTTACCTACGGTTTCCTGCCAGCTGCCAGTTTCCACATGCCACATCCTCGCCCTAGCCCTCGCTGTCGCTTGTTGGGTGAAAAACCAAACCGAACCGAACCGAACCGAAACCGAAAAATGTCACACAAATATGGACCAAAGCGATTTATGTGCCCCAGCTCAGTTATGACAATGCCAGCAATGCAAATTCACGCTTGGCCGGCCCAATGTGCATTAGACAATAATACCCGACTGGAATGAACATGAAGCGAACAACACTCAAATACTCGTATATAGCGCATAGATATAGCATATAGAGCTTGCAGCTGGCGGGGACGAACCCGATTTGCCGTCGCATGAACAAAAATGTTGCAGAAATTGCTGTAATGCGGAGGAGCATTAAATAAAAACCGAAAATAAAATTATGTTTATTTTCACCCACCCCTTGTCCTTTCGGAATGTGTGCGTTTGTTTGTGTGTGTGTGTGTATGTGTGTGTGGCTTCTGGAGGAGGTCCTCGGAAACTTGCCAACGACACAAGAAACTTTCCCTTGAAGCACTCTCCAAATTATGCTTTTCCTTCTTGTTTTCCTTATGGGGAAAACTTGCTTACACCGAATTCAAGAGACGTTAACAACGTTTTCCCACAGCGGAGGGTTTTTCTGGGGGGAAGGAGGGGGACATTCTGGTTGTTCGTATTTATATACAAGCTGCGATAAGCAAAAGGAGAGCAGATTCAGATGGGACAAAGATATTCGACTACAAGGAAACAACAATGTCGGGCGATTCAATTACATAGTTTCGGAATATGGGGACCTTAGCTTTATTATTGTCCTCGTCCATTGTGGCATTAAAGGCCATCAAAGCATCCCAAAGTTTGAGTTTGTTTATGTGGCTCCACTCCCACAGCTAATTGTTAGTTCTAAATTATATAATACAACATTTTTTTAATGGTTTTTGAATATTTAGGGGGTTTTAGGGTTCTTACCCCTCCAACATTTTATAACTACATTTTCTGTTGTTTATAATTTACACCAAAGTAATGCTCATATCCAGTTATCGTTAAATAAATATATATTGTATTGTTTTCAGCGAATTAGAAAATTACCAAGCCAGAAGGCTTGTGACAACAAAGACAATTTTCCAATGGCATTACCGAGCAGGGCTTATAATTATCCATTTGTCATCTGCCTTTAGGGCTGATGATTGAACGCCAAAACTCCGCGTTTCCACCGAAAAAGTACACATACACCAGGGAAAACACTTGACGCACACCCTCGCAAACGCTATCGCTTCGTGCTTATCGCAAAACGCATCTTAGCAAGAGCAGAAAAGCGCTGGGAAAACTGGAAAGCGGGAAACGGGGAAAACCAAAGGGGGGAGCTCGTGTGCGACAGTTTGCCATTGTGCCAAATTGTTAATGCTCAGCATTCTGGGCTGCCTTCTCCTTTTGGCTGCTGCTTCGTCTTATTGTTCTTGGCATTATCATTGTATCGTCGTCATCGCTGTTATTCTCCTATTCCCCCTTTCCCCTCCCACCCCACAACATCCTAGAGTTTTATTTTATTTTCTGTTCTTTCCTTTTTTTCCTTCGTTTTTTTGCGTCTGCGGGAGAAAATTTAATGCTTCTGGTGGCGTCTGGCGGTCGCGGCGCCAAAGTTTCTTTATGACCTCTGCTCTGTACGCCCGATACTATATCCCCTCGCACACAGAACACGAGTATATAAGTATACTGGTATCCAGCCCACTTTCGTGTGGGTGAATTGATTGATAAGGTTGCTGCGAACAAAACAGAAAACAAGGAGTGCCAACGGAAATAGAAATAGAAACCGAAATAGCTCTGCTGGTGTCGCCGCAGTTTATGACGTTTCCCAGATTACGCATACGCAGCGCTGGCTCTCGCAGATTACGCATACGCAGCGTTGACAAGACAGGCAAGGAAATTCTAAAACCGGAGGAGGATGGCTGGATGGCAACTTGAAGATGCCCCCGGCCAGCTGGCAAAACTTCTGCCATAAAACGAACGGGCACAAACCGCAAAGCGTTTGCTCAGCTATCCCCGCCAGCATCTCGCAAACTTTTCGCTTTAATTCCACTTTGCCGTCCCGCTGCCGCTGCCACAGCCTCTGTCGCTGTCTTTGCCTTTGCCTCATTTTTAAGCAAATATTGTGGCAGACTTACACACATCCGTATGGCAAATACGCTCTAGGATGCCGCCGGCGTATTTGCTCCTCCACATGCGACTCGGTCCAACCAACCAAGCAACCAGTTTAGAGCAGACCAGACGTCGCTTTGCATGGCTTTGCATGGCGAAAACGGCAACAACATTGTTGCACCGACGAGGACGAGGACGACAACAAGGCTGCCAATAAAAAAACATTCAACTAATTTGAAGAGCGTTGAAAGTTTTACGAAGCTCGGGGCCCCCGAGTTATATGCAACTAATTACGTGCGTTACATTGTGCGAATAATGGCTGTGTGTATGTGAGTGTGTGTGTGTGTGTGTGAGAGAGTTTGCATGGCCATATCTGGTAATTGCCTTTGCTTTTTTATTGCCCCGGGTGCCAGCCTAATGACCATAGGCGTGCTCCGGCTCTGACCACCGTCGCCGTGGCCATCAAAAGATGCGGAAAGTTGGGCCAAGTTTGAGGAACTAATCTACTTTATAGGCCATGCGGACTGCCAGTCGTGTGAGCAACAAATTTATCATGAAAAGCGCACATAAACGTTATGATGAAACTAAGCAGGTTGAGCAAATGGCCGGGGTTATTTGCTAGTAAAAGAGGGACTATAAAATTTGAAGCGTAGGAACATGATATGATTAGTGTTCTATAAAGAGGAGAGGGTTTTCGAGAGTTTAGGGAGCTCTAAAAAACAAATCGAGGATTACACTTATCAGCATTTCTGTAATATTTAAATTTAATACTTCTACCAAGTATAAGATTTCTAAATGTTGCCTCTAAGAAAGGAATAATTTAAGATCCTTTAAGGCTTCAGAGAGCAGACCAAGCAGAGAAAACGACTGAAAGCGAAATAGAACAATCAAATCAAAGGACTTCTGGCAGATTCCTGCATTCCAATGACCCAAGGACAAACAGCATATTTTTTCCTCTTGCCAGTCTGCCTTCTCTTTATGTCCATCAACTTCGATTGGTTCTTTGAAACAGCCAGATTGATGTTAATTATCCGCCTTCCCTTTGCTGCATACTTTTGGCATTCGATTTGTGGGCGGGGAAATCAGAGCTGGAAAACCCCCCAGCACCCCAAGCAAAATGTTCCCCCTCTGCGACAGAGAGTTTATGACACGAGCGTAATATAATTCATACTGTGCCGAAAAATTTTAATGCCGCCTGAAAAATAACTCCCAATAAATAATCCTTAATGTCCTGTGTGGGCGCGTGGGCGTATGTGTGCCGTGGCTTCCTCCTGTTGTTTTATGCCCCACCACACACACACACACATTCAACCTGGGTGGCTGGATGCGACCGCCATGTCCTGACAGTATTATGACGTGGCTTGTCGCCTGCTCCTAACTCGGAATCTCTGCCCGTGACACAGACTCTGCGGAAAAGCGGAAAAACCCGGAAAAAAAGGAAAGCGAACACGAAATGAAACATGGCCGCGACAAATTTGTCAGCACAAGGGTGTCCAGATGAAATAAATTGCCACGTTTGTTTCGCTTTTCCCCCTTTATTATTATTTATGTGTGCTCGGGGGCGTTTTAATAATTAAGCGCTTCCGCGGGACTCCAGCTTGCACCAGAACAACTCCCGCGGCATCAGGCGAAAGCCCGCGATGCTGTCCATCATGTCCCGGGGAGTGCGATCCGTGGGCTTCAGCCGGTGGCGCAGGACCAGCTGGAAGATCAGCGCCTTCACCTCCATCAGCGCCATCCGCTGGCCCACGCCGAAGGGCAGGTAGGTGAGCGGCCGGATCTCGTGCTTGTGCTCCTCGTCGAACCGCTCCGGCCGGAATGCCTCCGGGTCGGGGAAGTTGTCCGGGTCGTGGTGCAGCGCCACCACGGGAATGTGCACCAGGTCGTCCTGGCGCAGGCTAAGCACCACCTCGCCCTCCTCGTCCTTCAGCTGGAAGTCGGACGCGCACATCCGATCGAGCACGATGGCCGGCGGCCACTTCCTCAGCGACTCGGAGACCACGCAGTCCAGGTACTTCATGCCCATCAGGGTGTCGTAGTCCAGCGGCCTTTCCGCCAGTGCCTCCCTTACGGCCAGGACCTCCTCGTACAGCTCGTCCTGCACCGCGGGATTCATCATGAGCTCGTAGCAGGTGAAGCTCAGGCAGGTGGCAACGGTTTCGAAACCCGCCGTGAAGAACAGCAGGCACTGGGCCAGCAGGTCCTCGTCATCGAAACGGGCACTGTCCTCCTGGCTTCCACCTTCGCGAGATCCCTCCTGGTCTGCCCTTAACTGCCTCTGGGCCTCCAACAGCAGGTGGATCATGTCGGGTCGCACGATGTTTTGCTTCTTGCGACACTCGATGGCATCGAAGACTAGTTTCCTGAAGTAGTCCACGTTGTTCATGTCCATCACGGGCACTCGCAGCACCTGAAATAGCAATTAGGAGCAGGGGGACAGTCGTAATGGTAGTGCAGATCTCACCTTCATCAACTTGGGCACCAGGATGTAGAGCATGACCTTAAGTCCGCCCCAGAAACTAAACTCCGAGATCCGCTGACCCAGCGAGAAGAACTCGTTGTTGGGATCCCGGAAGGAGTTCACCTGGATGCCAAAGGCGGCCGTCGCAATCACGTCGTTTGTGTAGCGGGTGAAGAAGTCCTTCAGCTCCAGTTCCACACTGCCTCCATCCGACTGGCGCCGCAGGAAGTCCACTGCTTCCACGTTGCAGCACTGGATGAGCTCGAACATCTGGCGGATCTTGAGGCTGGTGAATGTGGGCGTCAAGGTGCCGCGCATCTGCTTCCAGCGACGATCCCGCAGGCTGAGCAGACTCCTGGACAGCAAGGTTGTCTCATTCGGTCCGTCGCTTATTCCCTTGCGGTGATTGGCGAAGTTATCGAAGCTCTTGATGCCCACCTGGCGGATCAGTTCCGGATCGGCGAGGTAGTACAGAGGATCCCGCAGGTTGTACACTCCGTAGGCCTTGTGCCGCTTCAGTCTAAGGTGCTGGGCAATGCTGGGGATGAAAAGAGTTAGGAATAAACGGGTAGGCATACGTTACCCAACTCACTTGTGCTTTATGTACGAATCCTTGCCCATCAGCACCGACCAGGGAATGTTACCCAGCACAGGCGTGGGCTTCTCGTGGGCCACGCCCCTCTTTGAGAAGTAACCAAAGGTGTAGACAGACCATTTGTACAGCAACAAACCGATGAAGGCCACGAATATTAAGAGCTCCACGAAAACCATGTCGGGATTTCGGGGATTAAGGAGAAGAGCAGGGGGATAATCGAACTGCGCAACGGGGAGAGGCTTCCAAGAATTCAGAGAGCGTATTGGCCAGTCGACCGCCGAAACGCCACTGAAGTAAACAATACACGCTCTCTCTGTTTTTATGTACGTTATTTCAAACATAGAGAGATGTACGTATAAAGTGGGAGAACAAGAACTGGCCAAATGTGGGGATGTGTGCGTGGATTAAGGGAGAAAGCAGTGAACCTAAGAGAGCCAACTTTACCTATCAATTAGAATTGAAAGTCACATGCAAGAAAATATAAGCAGTTTCAAGTTTATATTTAAGCATAAAAAAACCACATCAGCCTTCCATTATTTCACCCTGTCATGAAATTATTAAATTAAAATAACAGCAAAGTTATATAAAGATCGCTATCGTAAAAACACGTTAGAGAGTATGCATACTTTTGGCAAGTTTTTTTTGTGCACAAATAAAAAGATAACTCCAATCTAATAGTATACACCACAATATGAATTTTCCAACAAAAGACCATGAACTCTCAATTAAAGCACATGCATATGTACATATATGCGAAGGAAAACTCTATCGCCATCTGCGAGTGGATTCAGTTCTCAGCCGATGTGAACTTGGCATTCGCATGTCATGCCTAATCTCATTGGCATAAACTAATTTCAACATTAATCCCCTTAAGTGACTCAACTATTTATTATAAAGGACTTAGCGATGACAGCGAGAGGAAGGGCAGGGGGAGTTGGGGTTGCTTAAGGAGCCGAAGGAGCTACGTGCCTGGGATCTTCCTTTACTGGCGACCTCAAACTCAAACTCAAACTGAAACTGAAATGGAACTTCTGCCACTTACTGCATCTTACACTGAAAAAAGTCCTGCTGCAGTCATTAGTGGAATGTGCAGTACTCCTTCTCAACTTTATTTAGCCCCGAATAACCCCGAAATAATATTTATACAGCAATACTGTTCCGCTTTCTACCACATATATGTATGTAAAAACAATTTAAGACTTAAATACACTTTTATATAAAAAAATACATAAAATTATTCAAGTGTCCGAAAACCTTCTGAGGTTTACACACTTGTATAATTTCGTGCGTCTGAGTGGTGTAAGCATAATGAAATTGCTCGGAGTTTGCAGGTTGAAAAAGTTTAGTGTGCCGACAGTCAACTCGCTCTAATGCGAGAGGTCCTGGCCAAAGTCCTTGGGCAACCAACTCACGTCCCGGCCAAATGACAAAATTTGCTTGCATTTAGTGAGCGGCTAACGGGAAATTATTGCACTGCTTGCCAGGACGAGAGTACCAGAGAAGCGGAAAAAAGGACGATGGACGGGAGACAAAAAGCCAACAAATCGGTTTGCAAGCAAAATCCCGTTTGATTCGGCGGTCAGCAAGGAATATCAAATGAGAGCTAAATCAATCTCTCGCTCGTCCTTTTGAGCTCGAGTGCTCATCGCCCTTGTTGTTGGGAATTAAATCTTTCTTTCCTTGCGACTGCTTTTTTGAGCCAGAGGCGTAGGCAGGGAGGGCTTTTCTTTTGAATACCCTATTTTGTACTTTGTTAAACAACATTTTTAAGTTTCAACTGTATGAATTATATTTGTTAATTTTTTTAATTTAAACAAAGTTTAAAACTTTTTTCGAATAGTAAAAAAACCTAACCATTTTATTTTATGAAACAATCAAGCATACTTTTCAGAATATTGAATATTTATACAGTATAAATATTTAAATAGAATCCACTCCCCATTAAAATATCGATTGAAGGCCACTGACTTTTTATGCTTTTTTGTTTTTGCTGGATATCAAATGTGTTTACATTGGCAAAAACGGAGAAGGGCGGCGAAAATATAGTGGGTGGCGCCGTAGAAAGAACCGAAAAGGCCAAGTACTTGAAATCGTTTTTTGTGCACTTCATTGGCGACTCATGGGCCTGGCCATTTGAATGGTTTGTCCTCGGCATCGTCCTCGTCCTTGGCGATGTTGCTGTTGCTGTTGCTGTTTCTGTTGACTTGGTCCCTCTGTTAGGTTCTCGAGTCTGTTTTGGCTTCCCCTGCCATTATTATCACTGGCATTTGCCATTAGAATTCAAGTGCCGACTCCTCTTTGATGTCCGGCCAAATAGCCGGAGTCAATGTTTTGGCATTCTGACTCTAATTAGGCCAAAATGTTGTGTTTTCTCTAATCAAACGGATAATAACGGTGGCCAGGACTCGCGGCCGTGCACAGCAGTGCAAACATTTGCCCAGCCAGTAAGCAAGTGTGTGTGTCTGCGTGCGAGCCTTCAAGTGCCCGGAGCGCTGTGCATGTGGAGGTGAGGTCCTGAAGGAAGGGGAGTGGGCGGAAAACTCGCCGCACTTGGCACATTTCCTGCATTCCAGAAAACTTTGCCACCCAAGTCCCTCGCCTCGTTTTCATTCAAGTGGCCGCAGAGAAAGTGGAAAGTGATGAGAAAGAAAACTTTCGGAAAGTGAACTATAAGATCGACGCCATAAATTCCCTTTTAAATTTTATTTCTACGATTAAGGAGTCGTTTAAATATGTAGGTACCTTATCTTCTGATAATCCAAAGCCTTTAAAGCAATGAGTTGGACATTTTAAGTATGCATCCTTTGGTATTTTTTTATCAGGCTCACTTCCTGTCCAACTGGAACCAACATATCTCATAATCGCGCAGTAATCGTGAAGAAAATATTTAACAAGAAGGTACCTCGAGTATTGACGTTGGAGAACACGCAATCTTCTCGGACGCCTCGAGGCAAACACTTGGCCACTGTTTTCTTTTCAGTTTGCTTTCCTGTATGTACGCTCCTCTTATCCTGCCAGGCGGAACTCCGATGTATGAGTTTATAATTAAAATAAACGAACATGAATGCGGGACTTCGTAGGTATCTTTTGAGAGATTGAAAAAATCTGGAGGGAATGCCACTTAAGTGGAAGCATCTTCAAGGAGTCCTTCGGGGGGCGGTCATAAAGTTCAGCCCGATCGGATCCTTCAGTCCTGGTAAAATCCACTTTGAATAACTGCTTATTGGAATGCCAAAACTGTTCCTGCCCGATAATCGCGCCATAAAGGCTTAGCCAACTGCATAGTGGAAAAGGACACGCTCTCGCCACAATCCATATAAAATGTTAATTTATTGCCATTGTGGGCCGTTCCACAAACGATGTTATTATGCAATCTCCGGCAAAACAAGCACGGAAAAATGCCAGAGAGCATACAAAGCCAATCGGCTGAATTTCAGTTTAAATGTGTTTCTATGGCCAGTGTGTGGCCCCGAAATTTATGACAAACGGAAAACGTTTTGGTTAGATTTTTGGGCCAAAATCAACAAAATGCAATAAATATTTGGAAAAGAAATAAGCCGGGCCATGGGCAACGCGAAAACAATGTTCTGGCCCACTTATTGATTCCACTCGACGTGGCGCCTTGTCGACGGCTCTCGGGAAAGTGGCCAGAAGACAACGCTCGTGCTCGAATGGTGGCCAACACCTGGTCGAACGTGACCCGGTCCAGCAATTTATGTGTGTGTCGAAGGAAATCGAAAAACATTTTTTATGCACACATCAAATTTATGGCCGAGGCAGGCCGATCTCCCCCGAAAATAAGGACTCGGTCAGATAGCTGGAGTTCACCCCTCCCAGTTTCCATTTTTCAGTTCCGCGACCTCGTGCACTCCAGTCCCTGGAATTTCTCAGCCAAATATTTGCTCACAGAGCCTGTCCGCCGGCAACGCGACTCCTGTCAATCGCAAATTCCTGATCCCGGGGTGCGGGTCATCCATGTCCTTGCATAGATGAGTCCTGCTTTGCTCGCATGCCGCGCACGGAGCACTCGGAATTTATCCCCCGCCATAGAAACCAGATTCCCCAGCATCAAAGTGGTCTTCAGAGTCCATTGGAGTCAACGCTGAAATTCAAAAAAAATATTTTGTATACAATTTAAAAAATTAAATCCATCAATTTAATTACCATTATTATTTAAGATATACAATTTGCATAGGTTTTATTTCTTTACGATTGATTTTTCCTATTGTTTATAACTGGTTAAAAAAATGAATGGTTGAACGTAACACAGCCCACTGTGTGATAAGAATGCCATACAATATGAGCCTTGATCCCCTTTTCCGCCACCCCTGTGCGCACTCATTCAAATTTATGCCTGTGCCTAAGCGCTGATTATGACAAATATGCTACGCTCCACTGGACATGCCACCCTGTCCTCCCACTCCCACCCCCCACCGCCACCCACAAGCCAACAGACCCCACTCAGCCCAATTCTATACAGGCTTATTATTTCTGTAGGCCCGTTTGTTTGCCAGCACTCTGTTTGCCTTCGGTCAGTTGACGAAAATCCCAAAATAAATAAAAGTTTTATTATTAGCTCGCCTGCGAGGGGAAGGAGACCCCCAGCAAATGGCAAAAAATAAATGGAATCAAGGGGGGATTTGGGTTCCATTCAGACGCCAACTAATGACACGCACGCAGGTTCACATATAAATATAAATACACCACATATGTGTATATAGCTTGTAGGGGGTGTGTCAACAATTATAATGTGCGAATTGTTTGATACGTGGCTCTGCCCGTGTCACCTGCCACATTTGCTTTATTGCCGCTCATTAGAGATGCTCGACGAGCAGCAGGTGGGCCCCACCCACCACCCGTCCACCCGTCCACCCTTTCGGCTTTTATCACTCCCGATGTTTTACATGTTGCTCTGTTGACTTCCAGCACGTATTAGTTTTTCTCTAGCAACCCGCTCCTCCCCTCCTCTTGTCGGCATCCTGCGATTTGACGGCAAATGACAAAAGATTTCTGCTCGCCAGCTGCTACGACACTTTGATGAATGGGGTCACCAAGTTGCGGCTGCCAGGATTTACGGCAGTGCCGCACAGGGATACAAATGTTAAACGCTCCACCGGCTCAAGTTCATCTGCACACGTGCAAGCTGAAAAATGAAAGCTGAATTGGTCAGCAATTCGAGGCAATACTCGTGTATTTATTACGTTAGCCTCTTTTAAATAAATAACTGGTAATATGCTTTGGGATTTTAATTAAACAACCATATGCCATTATTAAATCTGTAATAATGACACCAATCGTAGTTAAATTGCTGTTCAATTGGGATAGAATAATATATATTTGTGAAGTGCTTCGCATGCATACATATTATGGCCACAAAACTCATGTTATTTAAAGTGATAGGTGAATTCAAACGGAAGTATGAATAAATAAGTGAGTGATTACAAATAATTTATAAGAGGCAAGTCAAATGAAAATAAATACATAATTACATAGAGGAGTGAAGTGGTTGCTTCTGCGGAGGAACCCAGTGCACCGACAATTGTCGGAGTGTAAATCGCACGGAAATCATATTTCCATTTCAATTGTTGTTCGCACTCAAGCGAGGCTTCGGATTTCAAGGCTCACGGCTCCCGCTCGTCTCAATTGTCCTGGGCAACGGCGATTATATTGCGTATGCGATGCGTAATTGTCGGAATTGTCAGAATTGCTGCCGGACTGAGTCGGGCAATCTCTCTAATCCGCACAATAGAAGGGTCTCCGGGTCTCCAGTGCTCCAGTGCTCCGGTTCTCCGGTCTGCGTAACTAAGCCCGGAGGAGTCGGGCCGACAGAAAAAGGATTATTTTGATTATTCTGCGTGTTTGCAAGGGAACGTGGGCGATGTCGGCTGGGTGGGCGATGTCGGCTGAAAAGGCCTGTTCATTTCAATGAACTCGCTTTCCAAACGAAATTTTATCATGCTTGGCCAGGCCGAGTTAACCATTTCGCATTTCGCATTTGGCATTTCCCCCAAAGCAGCGCAACAATACTCGTAAAGCGAGTGCGTGAACCGAACGAATCTGAATCTGAGTCTGAATTGAAATTTGCTTATGCCGTTCCGCTCGTTCTTCCCCCAGACATCCAATCCCTGTGGCTAACGAGCTGGCTCGGGAGGACCAAGCGGAGCACCGGAATCGGAATCGGAGGAATCGGAGGAACCAGCGGAGGAATCGCTGGCCACGAGAAGCGCTCAGTCAACGTTTACACGCTCCAGCAGCCGCACAAGTTTCCGCCTCAATTGGACGAGCACGGCGGCGGTAATTGCAGCTCCGCCTGCCAACAGGAGCTGGACAGGATCCCGGCGATTCCCGGCGAAGCGGCGTCCCGCCAGCAATCAGCACTTTCCTCGGCGGCGGCTGGGGAGGTCTACGAAACCCGGTTCATGGAGAGCTCGATGGGTAAGCAGGAAAACAGCTCCGCATGTCCCCCTCCCACAAAACAATCACAATCAGCAGGCAGCAATAAGAATTTAAATTAAATTTTCGCCTTTTTTTCGCCCCTCGTGCGCTTTTCCAGGGATTTCGCCATCTAAATGCGAAAAGTTGAAACAGAGACGCCGTCTGCTGTTTGATTTCAATGTTAAATTTGCATAATTTTGCGTAGCAACGATTCGATTCGGCCCCAAAAAGGCCAATGCCCAATCTTAAACGGGGGAAAGGGATTTCAATAAGTCAGACTGATAGAGATTGCTGATAGTACCCAGGAATACACATGCATTAAATTTAGCATTCATTATAAATAATAGATCACAAGTATTTTATGCTTTACAAGAATGACAGTAAACTTATAAGAAATCGTGGTGCACTGTAATTTCTTTAAGCGAAAGTAAAAGAAAAAGAAATTGAATGATTTTATAACTCAATAGAAATAAATCAAAATCCTTTCATCTTTCTCCGTGCAGCGCAAGCGATGGACGACATGGTCTTCGAGTGCAGCAATCAAAACTCGATTTATGTGCTTAATGCCAGCTACGGTGCATATGGGGTGAGTCCTTGCGCTGCGGCGAGTCCACTTGCACCACTGTCTGAGCTTCTTTCGTCCTCTTTCCGGTTTTGGCCCGTCCTTTCCCCCGGCATGCACCCAATTTATCTACCATCTTGGCAGGACTATGGCACATATGCACCAACAAAGCGTGAAATAAATGGCAGCCGGAGCCGGGCGGCAAATCCAATTGAGGCAACTTGCTCGAGTGGCGTCCTGCAGCATAAATTCAAAACTTTTGGCAGTGCTCTGGCAACAGCAACCACAACAACAACAACAGCAGCAGCTGCAGCAGGAGGAGCAGGAGGAGCAGGAGGAGCAGGAATAGTGGATGCGGCAGCGGGAAGCGCATCAAACTACGTAAATCCTGTCGCTACATCAATGTCAACCGCAATGTGTTCACCGGCAACGGCGGCTCTGCAAAAATTGTTCAATTGCAGCGTCGGCGTTGCCTGCCAAAATGTCAGCCACGGCCACAGCAACCACAGCAACAGCAACAGCAGCAGCAGCGGCAGCAACAGCAACATCAGCGGAAGCAGCAACATCAGCGGAAGCAGCAACATCTGCAACAACAATAGCAACCAGAACAATAGCTGCCTGTCAGCGGCAGGCGGAGTAACCCAAAACGGCCGGATTCGGAGCCGGAGTGGCGAATCGCTCGATGGCACAGCAGGAGCTCCTGGCGGAGGAGCTGGTGGCCTCCCACTGATGCCGAAGAAGAAATGCACCAATGTCAAATCAGCGCTTATTGCCAAGAAGACAAAGTTTCTCAAATATCTCGAAGAGGAAAAATGGCGCAGCCACGCCGGAGCACCGGAAGATGCTGGTGCCATCAGGTATGTAACACCCAGACACTCAGAAAAACATTTTCCTTACCTGTTTTAGAAGCAATAGTAACGAATTCGAGGACATTAAACGAATTTGGTTTAATTTCAATTGGAACATTATTCAACATTAAAGAGTTTTGTTTTCTTTAAGTTACTTCGCTGTTTTATTTTATGAAAATATATTTTCCCAACTTGTTTTCCCAGTGTAGTCCCAACCAGTATGTGAGTTTGTGTCTGCGGAGCAATCTTCTCGCCACCGCAAAAACTTATAAATTCCCATAAATGTTATAAGGCATCTTGCAACGCGCTGCAAACTGTGGCAAGTTTTTATGACGGCAATCTGAGGGGACAAGTGGCGGTTCGGTGGCTCGGTGGTGCGGTGGTGCGTTGGTGTTTCTGTGGTCCTAGTTGCCATGCCAAAGTGGTTTCTCATTAAGTTGACTGAAAGCCAGGCGAATTCCTGCAGTCCGGGCATTCAATTATTTCTTAATTAATTATTGAAGTGCAGCAATTGGCGTTAGTTGCCACTTATTTCCCACTAAATCATTGAACAAGACGTGACTTTTTTTCGCCCATCGATTGGTCATGTTTTATGTGCACCTCTTTATGGCCAAATGCGATTTTCTTGTTTTTGCTGCGGCTTTTAAGCACTTTCAATTATCTGTCAGCGGACACTTTGTTGCAACCGCGAAACTTTGTGGCATTGTTCGCGAAGTCATAAGTTTTGATCATCATCGCTTAGCAAAGTTGTTCACCCCGTTTCCCGAGCGCTTTTCCGCTTTTCCGCATTTTCCGGCCAGCAGTCATTTGCGAAATTGAAAAATTAACGCGCTCGGCATAAACATAAAGTGCGGTGAAGGACCATCGGCTTAAGGAGGGCTTAAAAAGTTGATTAAAGCGACGGCCCAGCCCATAATGCACATATTGAAGTGCAATAATCGTATTCTGGGGACTTAAAGCCCTGAACCCCTAAACCCCTGAACCGCAGAACCCCTGACATCACTCATACGCACGAGACACACTCCACTCCCCTTTTGTGAAAGCCGCCTTATCCTCTTTGCAATAATGATGTCAAAAGTTCGCTCACTGAAAACTCTCGCCGGCAAAGGCGGCTGGGAAAATTTCATTAATTGCATCAGGGAGAAAGGGCGGGCATTCGCTTTGATTTATTAGTACCCTGTGCGCATTTAATTAGTAAACGTCAGGCCGGGAAAAAATGCAGAGCCCCCAGCCCTCCGGGTTGCCCGCCGCTTTCTTAGGCATTTCCACGGCGAAAACTCTCGGGCGCACATTCATCAACTTTCTGGATGGCGACACCAGCGGAACTGACAAGAATGACTCCGTCAACTTGTGTCGCAAAGTAACTGCGCAAATTTGTTGTGCAAAGTAACTCTCTTTGCATTTTTCCCGCCGCTTTTCACGGCCCCTTGCAGTCTGCTTTTCCGCTGATGCGATTTAAATGCTCCCCACCTCCGCCAAAGGTGGCTTAATTTACTGTGGCCAGTCGCTGGAAACGCTGCTGATTGTCGCCGCAAGTGAAATTGTTTTCTTTGTTTTAATTTGCGTGCTTTTTGAAAAGCGTTGCGAAGCGAAAAGTTGCAGAATTCAGGCAGGTTGATTTATCGGTTCCATCGATCGATTTGCTTTTGCCTTTGTTGGTGCTCAATCTGCAGCGCATTTTAAATTTAAATTGATGGAGCATTTTTTGATATAAGCTTTAAAATCATAAATGCACACGATTGACCATTCCCCTTGTTAAACTCCATTTGCATAGATTTCAAGTGGTTTCAATTTAATTTAAATTTGGTTTTTGATATGTGATATTGATTGTGATGGATTTTTAGTTTCGTGAACTCTCACATGCCTGTACCCTTGTTAGCCTCGCACACTTTATATCAATTTGCATGGGCGCACTTCCCCTCAGCTCGTCCTTCCTAATCGCTGCGAGTCCTTCCGCGCCACTTGCAGCCATTTGATACGCGTTTAGTTTAGTCAACCAAAAGCTAAATAAACTTTCATTTAACATGCTCGACAGCAATGAGGCGGAGCCACCCGGCGGCAACAACAGCGGTGGCCACTTGAAAAATCAGAGCAACAGTCGGGAGGCTGCGAGCGGAAACGGAAACGGTGGCGGTGGCGGTGGCACTGCTGCTGGTGTTGCTCCTGGCGGAAGGCAGCTGAATAAATTGACCAACTGGAGCATGCATAATGAGCACAACAACACACTGCTGACCGGCCAGCAGCCACAACAACAGCAACAGCAGCAACAACAGCAACAACAACAACAACAACAGCAACTACAACTACAACAGCAGGTGAAATCAAGTTTCGAGCTTTACCAGGAGGCAGCGGACATTTTGGGCCTGAGTTGCAGCCTCTGTGATAATTGCCGATGCCTCGACTGCCAGGTGAGTGACAACGGGAAAGGTGTGGAAAAATCCGAGCAGCCCAGGATGCACACCGCTCCAAAAAGAACCCATCTTATAGAGATTCAGCCTTGCTTTGCTTTTATTGTATCTTATGTGTTTTCATTTCACGATTGAACTTTTCAATACTTTTGTTGTTTCTCTTATTCTAGTTTTCGGTAAAATATTTATTTTTTTCAACTATACACCTGAAACACACTGGTTATCTCATACCTCTAACACTTTTTTTAGGAGTCCTTTTAAATTTCCCTTTCCTGAAGCTGAACCAAAAACAAGGCAAAACAAAAGATTAAATGAAAACCGCAGCATATTGTCTCTCATCCTAAAATGTCAGGTTTTAGTTTTGCATAGTTTTCTTTTATCCTTATTTTAAACAATACCCTCCAGAATTAATTACTAGCTTTATTCTTTAAAACTTTAGCTTTTTGGTTTAATTTGTTTTCCCTGCCCGAAGTAATTTATTGAAAATGTAAAATGCAGAATGCAATCCTTGATGGAAAACCGAAGCCCTGAGGCTTTCTTAAATTCGGTTTGGCTCGGCTTGCATTCCCGGATTGATGGCTCCGGCCTCAGCCGGCCAATCGAGGGCTCAATCTCGAGCCCAGGCCAATCATCGATTCATCGATGCCCTGTATCGTCCACAGAGCGGCTACTTTGACTGCGACGACGATGACGAGAGCTACTCGGAGCAGTCCCTGATGGACGACGAGTTCGAGGAGTTCGAGTGCAGTGCGGAGGAGCTGCGGGCGGCGCTGACAGGAGCCCGGGGGCAAGACGTCCCCCGGATCCCCTGCTGCCCGCTGGACGGGAGCTCCCACCTGGCGCACAAGAGCGACTCCCCGGCGGAGTCGCTGGGCCATCGGCTGGCCATCGACTTTGATTTAATTAACGCCACCTGCACCCAGGTGCTGGAGAACTGTGAAACATTCAACGATCTGAGTCTGCTGGATGCCGCCGCCGGGCCCGAGCGTCCTTTCACGTAAATCCAGGTAGGTGTTCCGGCATGCGAGAGGTGGTACGTGTGTTGTCTTGTGTGTTTGCGGGGCATTTCGTGAATTCCTGAGCACTGTATGACAAGCATATCCTTTGGCGAGAGCGTGCGGCAAGGGGATTTGATTTCACCTGTCGCCGGTCAAAGCACTTTGCTGCTCCTCCTCTATCCCCAACGAGGCATCCTGGCCGAAATCCAGTGCGGATCCGCACTCGCAGATTGCAATAGCCATTCCTCATTCGTTTGCTGGCAGCGAGAGCGAATCTGAAATTGGGGCTTATGCAAAAATGAGCAAATTGCATTTTATTCAAGGGAAACGTAACAAGGTGGACGAGGAAGGAAGTCGATCGAGTGATACCCCTTTAAACTGGAATAGTAACTTTACTTGGTGAAGGAGTAGCTTGTAATGCTCAATGAAATCCTCAGATACCATTGTTCATAAGCTATGAATAAACCACTTTAAAAAAGGGTAAATAACAGATTTAATAACTACCAAGTCTGTTGCTCGTAAAATAAATTTATTTTATGTTATAGGAGGAAAGGAAACTATTTAAAACAGTTCATAAAAGCTCATATCCCAAATGTTATTGCGCCAACTCTTAAACGCCCCTTTTTCATAGATCGTGAATGTTTCTGGGGCCGTAAACGCCCCAGTATCCGTTACACCCTTGAACGGTTGAATGCCGGGTACAAAAATGCCGCTGAGTTGGCAAAGCTTAGCCAAAAGCCTGGCCAGCGAAGTGCTGGGGGATGGGGATGGGGGATTCGGAGGAGGGAGCGCTTTCTGGACCGCAACAGTGGCAAAATGGCTGGCACTTGGTCAGTTTATTGCATTTAGTCAAGTTTCGCTGTTTGCATGGACGATTGCTGGCAACAAATGAAATGCGGTGTTTGGAGGTTGCACAAGCCGGGGGACTCAGCGGAAGCCGAGGGGCCAGCAAATTTGATTTTCGCACATGCACCACCCGCCCACCGCCCACCGCTCACCGCCCACCGACAGCAGGAAATTTTCCATATTTGTTGAGGGCTCAAAGCAATATGCAAAACATGCACTTCCGTTTGTTTTTTCACCCCCCTCCCCTCGCTTTTTTGTTGTATTAAACTTTCCTCGCTGCTCTCGCTTTATTTTCCAGGATTTTTTGTTTGCCCGCTATTCAATTGAAATGCAGACCAACAAAGAGCACAAAAGCGAGCTGAAACTATGAAAAATTCATTGCCATCAGAATGGCAAACGGCAGAAATGGCGAGTCGAGAGCGGAACTTAAATCGAATTACATTTGCGAAATGAAATTTAAAGAGCCGCTCCTTGCCGAGTGAATAATGACGGCTACAAGCGGTGGCAATAAATAGGATGCTCCTCGGCTGGCAATCCCCAATCCTCCCCTGCTCTCCCTTCCCTTTTGGCCACGCTCCGCTGCTCGGTGGCAGCCAAAGCGTCCAAAGCCTACTGTCTAAGCCCCGGAGGCTTAATGTCTACAATGCTGCACGGGCAGAAGTTTATGATCCGAATGTTTAAATTTCATTGTTTTCCTAGCACCACAATTATGTACTCATAAATATTTTACCTTCTGTTCATGCTAAGGATTTGGAAAATTAATATCTTAGACGCTTATATTGATTGAAAACTATTTTTTAGCCTTGTGATTAACAGATGAGCTAAACTAATATGGTTTTGCTTTTGATTTAAAAATCAACTTTCCTTTGGTTTAGGTATGTTTCCTTTACTCCGATTTTGTTCAGTGTACTGCGTGGAGCATGTTGCCAGTGTGTGCTCAAATATGTGGGTGTTGGCCGAGTGCATTTGGTGTTGTTTACCCCCTCCCGAGAGTCTGCCAGCTGTTGGCCATTTGCCAGGCGCCCAGTGGAATTCCGCCCGGCCAAAAGACAATGCACTAAGAAGGGCGCTTTGCCCAAAAAACATGGCCTCCCATCCCAACCGCCCTTGTCGGCTACTTATGCAATTTCCACCCACGGGCAACTGGGCTTTATTGAAAAATCATTTTACCTCAGATTCTCCGACATGGCCAATTGGGCGTCCTCCACTCTCCACATACCAGAAAGCAGTTAGACAAAAGCGCCAGCCATTAAACCGTCCTCAGCAAATCAAATTATACGCAATGGCCACAGAAGCTAAAGCATTCTGTGTGCCAGCTTTTATTATCAATTTGCCATTTGGACAGTGGGTGCAATTTCACGACCAAAAAAGTAATCAAAAACGTGTAGTTTCCCAATGATTACTTTAAGGCGGAAAAATGTGTTTAAATTTATTACATTTTCGTCCGCTTCATTACGACTTTCCGATCAACTTTTCGTTCCATATAAAATGAAATTTATGGTTTGAAGTTAGATGACTTTATTTTTCTGCACCGCCAAGTAGTTGCCCAAATAAATGAACCCCAGTCCCCCGAAATCGAACTCTGTGTGGTCTGCCATTGACAGTTTAGCCGGGTCTAAAGTGCTCCCGACCACGGTGCACTGCAAATCCGAATGCAATTGCCATTAGAGCCGGACCGCAGCCCGCCCACAGGCCACGCCCCCACTTAATGAGGCTTGATTTAATTAATGCCGCTTTACCTACCACCTAGTACCTACATACCTGCTGGCCACGTGGTCTCCAGCCGGAATCGCTTTGGCCGGATGGCAATTGGAAATTGCGAGCGGCTGCTGGGGATTGGGGATTGGGGAGAAGGAGCGGAGCGGAGTGGCGACAGGATGAGCCGCATTGCCATTTGCTGATGATGATAATTTATTGCCCCGAAGGGCTTACGGGGCCACCCACTACCGCTCCCACTCGCACTCCGGTTTCCACTTCCATTTCCCCTGCCGAGTCCTTGGAGGAAACGATTTCCGTTTCGGCCTGCCTCGGGCGTGGGCAAATATTTGCCATGGCTTTCTATTTCCCCAGCCAGGCCAAACAAATTGTTTACAATATTTATTGTTTGTTCGATGTTCTGCGGCCGTTGACAATGATGAAATGGCAACTGGGGCGAGCGAGAGCCGCCCAGTCGGGAAATCAGCGCATGTGACTTGACCAGAGGAGGCGAAGGGAAGGACTTCCTTGCCTCGCCGGACTCGCAGGACCTCCGAAACTGGATGTCTGGGTCACGACAATCGGACGGCGGCGGCGTCAATGCTCATTTCCGTCGACATATTTTCATTTCCTTTCGACTTTCTGCTCCGCTTTCGCTGGCTGTTTGTCCAAGGATTACCAGCAGCTGGCTCGTCCTTTCGCTCGTCCTTCGACGCCCCGTGAAATGTAATTCATTAAACTTTATTGTCCAGCGTTTCCCACTCGCTCTGGGTTCGACTCCAGTTTAATTTGTTTCTGTGGCAGGAAAACCTCATTTACGGCCCATGTACACGAAAACTTTTCGACGAAAATTTAAAAACAAAAAACCCGAAACGCACACAAAATCATAATTACAATTTTCAATAAAATCTCCGTAAGCAGGAGCGAAAACAAACAGAACCGCTTTCGTTGGCTGCTAATTATAAATTATAATTTTCCAGATCCTTTGTTGCCAAAATTAATCTTAATGAAATTATTCAAACAAAAGTTTTGTGCAATCGTTGGGGCGGCCCTGTTCCGCCCGCCGGCAATTAATTTCGCTCAGCATTCATGGACAAAGTGAAAGCACGTTTCGATAATGAAAGCCGCCAGCGGCCACGCCCCCTCCATGACGCCCCTGCTAATTGTGCTAACAACTTGATTCCAGCTGAGCAACTTTCCACACTCGACACTCGCCCTCAAAAATAGCCTACGCCACATAAAAGTGCCAGGACGAAAGGAGGAAAGTTTCCCCCTTCGAGAGCGTGTGCCCGAGCCCATTTTGGGCTGCCCCAAAATGTATGCTATCTAATTGTTAAAGCATCGCCCGGATGCCACAGATTCGAACGAACTGCTCTGCCGAGATGAAAATCAGACACGAACGCTCCTCTACTGCAGTTTCGCAAATTTGAATTTCAAATTTAATACACACACTCGCCTGGGAGAGAGATGAAGCTGCCACAGATTCGACTGCCAGATACCTCGATTTTAATTTTGGGGGGGGACCTTAAGATTTGGGGGAGGCACCTTCAGGTCTCTGGGATCCACAAATCCAGATATACGAGCTGACAGACTGACAGGTGGACTGATAACTTCAGCCTGCTGCTGACAACTCAACCAAAAAGAGGGATCCAAAGATTGTGATTTTTAATTAAGCTAAGCATAAGGTTTAGAAACATTTCTTTAGTGAAAAACTTGAATAATTTATTACTGGACCGAATGGCTTTGATTAAAACGATTTATGTCGTTCAGTTCTATTGTATTTGCTTTTAAAACTTTACTGTGGTTCGCATTTAAAAGTAACTTTTCCTTTCGGTTTTATTCCTGCAGAGGTAAAGGTCTAAAAATAGGCAACGATAAAAGTAAACGGGCGGCATGCCCATCATCTTTTCTGATTAAAGCACCTGCCACAAAGCAAAGTTTTCTCTCGATGCTAAAAGTTGCAAAGTCCTATCCTTATGCAAATTGATTTGTGTCGTGTGTTTCTGCAACAGTTTCGAGTCAGTCTTACCTTGTGGCGTGGGCCTGGTATTCATATGTATTTATTTGATTAAGGTCTTGTGTGGCTGGCATTTTGAGTTTGCATTGTAAACTCGGAGGCAACACAAACTATTAACAAGACATAGTCGGGGATAAATTAATTAAAATGTCAACGTGAATTTATCTTTCGAATCCAATTTCGTTGTGTACAGAGCCGACAAAATTCGTGTGTTCCTGAGGTTGGGGGAAACAGGAAGCAGGCATACTTTAAGCCAAGGCCGCAAAAAGACTGGAGAGTGAGTCTATGAATTTTTTATGAGCGCAGACCGTGCATAAAAATTAAAATAAATTTCGTGTGTGATTTTTTGCGAGAGTGGGCATGCATATGCATATTTCCCCCTCGTCATAGAGCATTATTCACTTTATTTACCTTTCCTCGTCTCTATTTGCACAGGTGACGACGCAGGTGGGGATGGAGCACCCAATCAGGAGGCGGACACTGCAGCTAATTAAAGTTTAACAATGGTCAGAGCCCATTAATTGCAACTGACACCTTGTACAGCGGCCGCCAATTGTATGCGGACACGCTCGCCCCGGGTGTTTGCGTTTCATTTATTTTCTTATTTTGATTTCAATTAAGTTCGGGTCAAAACAGAGCAGGCGGAGTTGCAAAAGTGTTTTACTGGTTAACAGGAGAGCTTTCGCTGCCATATATCCTATTTAAACACGCGATATATACCTGTGTATATAGCGGGCACTATGCAAACGCATGACGGAACGGTCAACAAATCGTAAATAAATTAATTGCGAATTGCAATTGCAATCGGGAGAGCGGAAATTCAATTGCAGCGAAACACTAGCGAAAGTCGGAAACGTTCCGGCGATTATCAGTAAATATAAACCACATATGCAAAAACAATGGAAAACAAATTGTGCCAATTTCATATTCATATATGAATGTTATTCGAGTCGCATCGCAATGAATTGCAAACCAAAACGAAATACAATGGGATTATTTAGCCCGTAATCCGACAAGGAAAACTATTTGAAAATTCAATAAAATATGTATCTCTAAATCTATGTAAAGGTTCGATGTTGGTAGTGCTTAAGTATTTAAGAATTTTCGTGTGATGCTTTTCATTCGTTCGATTGATTTCAAATCAAAGAGAAACATTGGAAATATACTTGTGTTGGAAAAGAAGCTCCGTCTGCGTCTACATTTTTTTGGGTTGCCTGTCAGGGGTCAAGGGTCGTTTCTTGGCCGGAATGCGAGGGCACACACAAGCTAACAACGACCATTAGCTTCAATTAAGCGTTAACAACTGACTGACGGACAGAATCCGGAGATAACAGCCGGCACAAACACAAAATGCAATCTGGCCGAGATAACTGGGCCCCCACCATCCGAGAGTTGGCCATTTGGTAAGAGACTGCCATTCGGCCCAGTTCGCTCATTAGTCCGCAAGGAATCCCTTGCGGTCGGGGACAAAGGTGCTAAAAAGTCCATCAACTGCTTAAAATGTAATCAGGGTTTGGGCCACTCGCCGTATCTTATCGCTGTGACATGTGCCCAAGGCTTTAGAGTGAATCACGGTTTACGCTTTTGGCCAAAACAACTCATTCGGTGGGTCATCTAACCGAAATGGATAATCTAGGCGCCCTGCTTTTGACCCTCTGTGTCCTCAGCTTCCTGCTCTTTCTCCTGCGGGTGAGTGCCTCCAATCTTGACCAGGTCAATTCTTGTGGCAGCACCAACTCTTCGATTCCAGGTGCTTCTGATTGCCTGGCGCTCGTACTCGATGTCGCTGCGCTTAAAGGAGGAGCAAGGTGAGTAAGTTGGCGGGACGCTTGTGGAGAGCAAACATAAATATTTGCCCCAGTTGGGCCACTGAACTCGTTCTTGAGATGAGCGGGAGAACTAGAGTTCCTGTCCGCCATAAATCACCGACGACATTAATATATATTTATGCGTGTTGTCTATCTATTTGCGCACATTTATCATATCGCCTCATTAGATAAATTGCGAACACGAACAAAAAACAAAGCCCTGGCTCGACACTGGTTTTGTCGCCTTATCAGCTAATGATTACAAAGCAAATATGTGTGTTCTTGGTTTTCGGCCTGCCGTCTGACCCATGCCCGGATGTCCCGTCAATTCGGTGGCCAGTAGCTCAGGTTAGTCGGGTTGGTCGGTTCGATAGAGAACGGTTGTCTGAAAGGGGTTTCTAAATTTGTTCAGTACCGAAAATCGCAAAAGTCGGCGCGCAATTAATCCGGAAATAATTTAAACATGGCACCTGCCATAAACACAACGGCCAGCACCCTATTAACTACAACTGCTTCGGCGTTTAATGCCACATCCACGGTGGGGAACACTACAGTTAACACCACTGAAAGTTCGGTTTGGGAGAGCAGTTACACCACGCCCGTCACCATTTGGATCAACGATGGTGGCTACGATGGACCGTACCTGTTCTTCTACCCCAGCTACATCATCTACATCATCCTGGTCTTTCTGTTTGTTATCGCCTTTCCGCTGGCTATGATTATGGTAAGCCAATCCGAGTCGAGATGCTTCTCCTCCAGCTAACGACCAACTCACTCTTCCCAAAGAGCGCCAAACGCAAGCGGGACGTAACTGCCCGAAATCTCGCCCAGCAGAGACTACGAGGTAATTTCCCTTTCCAGGCTCGACAACAATTTTGTACTTTTAATTGGGGGACCACATTCAGCCTTAAATAACCTGTTTGAGTGCTTCGAAAAAGCCGAAGTTAATCAGTCCCAGATAGAGGTAGTAGCAATTGAGCTTTAACAGATCCCATCGTTCGCGTAACCGTAGCCAAAATATCCTCGAGGAACGGGAGCCGGAGGCGGATTGCTGGGTGCGCTGCTCGGCGTAGGAGGATTGAACACAGCACTTGGACATAACCCAGAAGGCGGTCATCCGGTTTTGCGTGCGCAGCGTGGCCTCGATGCCACGAATCAAATCATTGGTCTTCAGAATGAGCAGCATTTGGCGGTCTACCTGCTCAAGGACATCGGAAATGTGCGGTAGCACAAGCGAAGTGTTGTTCTGCAGCGTGTTCTTCTGCGGGATCAAGAGGTTAACTATGAGTCATTGAGAGTTAGGAGATTAAGCTGCCACGGACGTACCTCTTCTTTGGAATATTTGACTTTGGTCAGGCCCTGCATCACCGTCTCCCAAGGCCTTCCGGTCACCATGCACGCAAACAGACCGTACAGATCGCCCTGGAAAGGAAAATCAAATCACGGTTAAAAATTGACTGATTACACAAACTCTTTTAAATACCTTGATGCCCAGCTGCTCGCTGTGCTGCCGCATGGCTTTGCGGTCCACATTGAGGATGCTCAGCCAGAGCTTGGAGTAATCGTACCGGAACTTGTCCGTCAGATTGGCATACAGTCCGTGATCCAGCAATACGATTTCCAGACTGTTCTTCGGCGTGCGACGCACTAGGATGTTTCCCGGATGCGGATCGCTGTGCACAAAGCCAGTGCGGAAGATCATCTCGGAGTAGAGCTGCCCAATGCGGTTTGCCACTGCAAAAGTGTCAATTTTGTTCCGCCGGATGTAGTCGAGGTCCGTCACATGGCCGCCCTCCAGGTACTCCATGACCAGGACGCGAGAGGAGCTGAACTGCCAGTAGATCTTGGGCACCCTCAGCCAGGAGTACTTCTCAAACTGCTTGGCCACCTTCTCGGCGTTGCGTCCCTCGTTGAGAAAGTCCAGCTCAATGGGCAGGTTCTTCTTGGACTCCTCCACCAGCCAGTGGATCTTAAAGTCGGGAAATATCCGCGCTAGCACATTGACAGCCAGTTCCATGGTCTTCATGTCCACTCGGGAGTTACCCTTGACGTATGGATGTTGCACCTTGACAGCCACCACCTCGCCGCTCTTCAGGCGCGCCTTGTGCACCTGGGCCAGCGATGCGGTGCCCAGTGGCTCCCGCTCGAAGCTATCGAAGATGTCCTCCGGGTTGCAGCGTAAATCCTGCCTGATCACCTTGTATAAGTCCTCTATGGGGTTCTGCGGCGCATCGGAGTGCAGAACTTTCATGGTCTGCACGAACTCCTTGGGCAGCAGGTACTCCAGTGCCCCTATGTGCTGGCCAACCTTGATGTAGACGCCCTTGTTGGTGCAGATCAGCTGGAGTAGCTTCTGGGCGGCAATCTTGTGGACCCGGCTCTTCTCCGCCTTGTACTCGGGCGTCTCCTTGTCCCATTCCCTGTAGTAGAGCTCGCGCTTGTATGTGAGTGCCACGTCTACGACGGCGGCGGCGGATCGTGACAGCCTTACAATGCCCAGGGAGTTGGGGTCGTAGTCGTTGGTGTGCAGGCTCCAGCCGGCGGATGCGAGTCCGGCGCCCACGACGCCATAGCCTAGAAAGCGTCGCAGCAGCATCTCCTCCGGCTGAAAAAGGTATAGAGTGCTGTTCAGTCTGGCGTGCGAAATCAACAGGTGTCAATGTCGATTAACCTCTGGGCTTTCACCTCCGATTAACCGTGAACTTATCACGAGGAACTGAGTTTCTGCTCTGCACTTTGGACTTAGTTTTCTGCCAAATGAGTTTGGGCAAGTCGAACCCACTAAATATGTTGCACCTCCACAAACATTTTCATTTATAAATTTCACATTTGCATTTCCCCGTTCACATGCAGCTAAACTTTCACCTCGACAATTTGGCCAGCGTCATTATATAAACACCTGAATGAAGGTGAGCCGCTGCTCACTCGAAATACCTATCAAATAGTTTCACTTACTCGATTCTGTGCGCTTGAGGTGGCGCCGCGTTTTCGACGGCGCGTAGGTGTTGCAATAACAAACTCAGTGATTAAATTGAAGCTCCAACTTTTCGTGGTAGCAACAGCTGATCGGATGACGTCAGAGCAGCTGACCCAACAGCGCAGTTCAAAGCCGTAGCCGAAAGGGGTCGAGTTTATCGGAAAAGTAATTATCGTTGTTTACTACATTAAAGGAGAATTATTATGCTAATTCTAACGAAAGGTTTGACACTGTCGTTACTTTATTATATCCCCTGACTCATCGCTGCCTACGCCCCTGACTGCAAGCGGTTAACAGGTTAACAGATAGCGGTTAACATATGGCGGTTAACAGAGTAAAGCAGATTCGGTTGGTTTAACTAATAAGGATTAAAGAAAAATGCCGCCAAAATAAAAATAATTTGTCGTTAAGCTTATACATACTAATATATTTATTTTAAAAAAACTTCTGCGGTGACAAAAATGTTAACGGCAAAACCGGGCACCGATTAACATGACCAACAGTTTCTTGTCGTTCAAATATAAATTTTAAAAATTATCTTAAATGGAGAGTACATTATTTTTAAGTTCTTACAAAAAGAGATGACACCTTTTTCAATCAATTTCTTATGTCTTTGAGACTGTTACCTCTATTAGGTTTAAATTAAATACATTTTTAATGCAGTGATATCTTCCTCCCGCAGCCCGTCGCCAAATTGAGATCAATGTGACGAACAATCGCAACGGCGGCTCCGAAGGAGTCAGCAACGTGTGCGCAAACACCCAGGACGAGGTCAGTGTGTTGCCGAAGAGCATGGATCTACCGCCCAGCTACGATGAGGCAGCTTTCAGCGAGCGGAAGCAAGACAGCACCCTGACCATAGCCACCAGCTTGGAGGCGAGCAACCTCAATCTGGCGGCTGGAATCAACGAACCCCCGCCGATTTATGAGGCGAACGTGGCCACCACGACCACTTCCACCACCAGAACTGTGTTCTTGGTAAACGGCCAACCACCGGTGGTGTAAATCAGCATGGCGAATCGGAGGGTCCTTCTTTTATTCTTATTTATACACCATTCGAGACACCTTTTCAGTTTTGCCAATGTAAATAAACTTTGCTCCTCAAAAATTCTTTTTGTTTTGGCGAGATATAACATTTATATTCGTACTTAAGACTACACCACTTATTTACACATTTATGCATAACCAAATAAATGTATCTGGTGAAAACTATTAATGAAGAAAAAAAATATTTTTCGAATTCTCATCAGCTTAGCACTTATTGAAATACATACAATATCAGAAAATGTAAATCGGAAGGACTGCAAGAATATATAATATATCAAAAGCTTAACACAAAACTAAACGAAATTTTAACATAAATAGAGAACTAAAAACCTTGAGTACTAGCAACGCAGAATTTCATCGAGTGTGGGTCCCCAGCGTCCATACGGGTCTTTGGGAAGTATGAATATATTGTCGCACCACGTATATCCGAGCACGCGGTTCTCGATGATCTTTTTGAATGCTGGACTTTCGTGAATCAGGTCTCTGTAGTTGTCATTGGAAACTATGGCAGCATTGCATTCGTAGGCCAGCTGCAAAATGAAGCTAAAACAAAAAAGTTTTACTTTCTAATAGTGAAATAATGTTCTAAAATGCTCACCGATCATCGTAGCTGCTGGACATTTGGCCGGGAATGTTCTTGCATGGCGTAAGTACAATTTTGCCCTCCTTGTGTAGCTTATCAAGGAGCTCGGGATTTGACGATTTAAAGTTGTTTTTGCGAAACATTGGAATCACAGCCTTGGCATTATGGCCCATTTTGTCGAAATACTGCAAGCAATATTTGATCCCCTCTGAAGAAAACACGTTTGAGTTTCCATGCCTGTGGATGAATATAGAATAATTAGTTAAATCTCGATAAAAAGCTTTTCCTGGAATACTAACGCAAAAGCCACATTGCTGCCGTCGATGATAATCGGCCGCTTATTTGAATTTTTATTTGAGTCACTGGTCTCTTCAGTGTCCTTCGAAGGGTTGTATGTGTTGCTGTTATAATCTCCAAGTTGTTTCTTTTCAGCAGATGTAAAAAGGCTGTCATTCATTCGCCGACTCATTTTGGGCTTATCCGCAAGCCTGGGACTCTTTTTAAGCTTTTTCCCCTTCCTTGGCGGCGGCGAGTAAGACGGGATTGGGATGAAATCTAGTCCGCCAACAGTGTCCTCAATAAATATTACCGAATCGTTGTTATCTGCTATTGGACTCGGCACTTGTACTGGGCTATCTTCCAAGGTTATGATGGACTTCTTTAATTCGGAAGTCTTAACGATGGTAGAATACAACACTTCATTTTCAGTTTGTTGTTTTATACGAAGAGCAGCCTCGCCATTCAGATCTGTGACTATTTTTGGTTGTGTGAGAGTTTCAACAGTCTGAAGACTCTGGCAATCTTTAAAGAAGTTTTCACTTGTACATGGCTCCTCATCGTCAATATTTATAGTGACGTTCGGGGTCTCCAGCAACACGCAGTCGTCATCGTCGCTGCTCATTAACTCTTCAACGACTTCCCCGTCTTCAATAGTCTCATTTTGACGTTGGTCAGGTTCTTTAGAGGACTGGATTTCACATCAGAATGCATAAAAATATTATTGTAAATTTCTTAAAAGGTTTACCTTCTGTGGTCTGTAGAACTTTGGTTTGGGAAGCCCGGATTTTTTTGCTGGCGACACTTTGCTTTTGAAGTCCAATCTCCGCTTAATTCGTGGATTAGTCTGGGCTTTGTTCTTTTTCTTAATGGAGTCTAAAAGCTTAGCTACCAATTGGCGATCAAGTTTCTTTTTATTCGCTTTGTGTTTCAGGCTTTTGTGCGAGTTCTAAAAAACATTGAAAATTATAGTTGGATGATTTCAGTTTTAGAACTTTACCTTGGGTTTGCCGTCTTTTAACTTCACGAAGTTATTAGGCTGCCTCGCTGCTCTGGGCATTTTGGTACTTGTACTGGAGACCTCTGTTTCTTGCGTTGCTACCTATTTTAAAAAAAGTAAGTTGGATGATATCCAATATCTGAATATAAATTGATTTCATGTTTAGAACAGTAATTCAACTGCTCCTTTTTTTTCTTACTACGGAATACACATTTTATGCGTTTTTTAAGCGCAATTAATGAAACAGCACGTTTGGGACAACATTTACATACATCAATTTTATTGTGAGCTGGAGTCTACAGGGCTTACGTATATATCTAGGCGTACACACTAACTAGGAAAATGATTTTGATTACACTTCACTTAAGATTTAAATTATACGATGCATGGCAGAAAAGGTTGCTCCTTTGTATGCGGACGCCTGCAGTCAAACGAGGTAAAACGGCCAGTACGTACACAACTCAATAGCATTAAAAAAGCAGCCCCGTCGCATCCTGATCCCTCCAACCCCAGTCTACTGCTTCTTAAGCTCGCTGATCTCGCTGCGGATATTGTTGCGGGCCAACTCCTCGTATTTGTCATGAAACTCCCCAGTGGCGTAGATGGAGGGAATCATCAGCAGGGTCTCCAACACCTTGATTCGCATGGCCTTGTAGGTGGCGTCATCAAGATTTGCGTACTCCGAGCGGAGAAGAGTCGTATAGTGTTTGTATTCCTCCGGCGATGAGCTTGAGCGGTTAAAAAAGCCAATGAGCCAGACAAGGGATGATTGTCGAGATACTCACGCAAGCACCACCAGGTCGACATCCTGCAGCAAGTTGGCCTCGTCGTCATGGCACCAGGTCAATTGGTTCTCTGGAGTCTTGCGCCCCAGTAGATTGCACACCAAGCTCTTGGTGTGGTCCTGTTAGAAGTAAAACTTTCCAGGTAGAGACGGCTTTATCATCCCGGACTCTTACTCACATCCTCAATGACGGCGTCCTGGCAGAACTCCTCGAAGACCTCGCAATTCTGCTCGGCGCAGCTGCGGTTACCGTCAAAGTGATAGTATTGAAAGAAGGCAGCCAGCACGATGTTCGGATTGGCGACGCCAGCTAGATACGGCTCCTTGTGCTTCATCATTTCCTGCCAGTTGTGGTAGGCCCGGGCGGGATCCTCTGCGCTGAGGTGCTTCTGGATGCGGGCGAACCACTCCTTGGACACCTGCTCAGGCACATCGTGGTGCTCGCATACTTTCTTCCAGATCTTCTCCATTCCTGCTGGTGGGTTATTTGCGGTGCTTTGGCCTCTTGGATTTGGATGTTAATTAACTAGTTTCGTCAGCAGTGATTCAGTTGTCTGGAGTATCTGGACTGTCTGGCGTTTCTACAACTTTTCACTATTCACTGGGATTGTGGGGTGATGGGCGCTGGCGATTGCGCATTGCCAAAAAGAGCGTTCCAACACAAAATGGTCATCACTCGCGGGAAAACAGAAACTGCGCGGGAATTGACGCGAACTCGGAAAAGAACGATTTTCTTTTATAGATCTTGGACTTACATTCATGACGGAGTCAGGAGGAGCCTTTTTTTGGGGGCTGTTGGCAGACAACACGCGCAAGATTTTTGAAGCCTCAGCGGAGGCCTTTCCCCTTTTGTGCCACTGCTGTTTCGACTTGTTGGCCTTTTGGTGGCCTTTGTTGTTCCGGATTTTACCTATTTTGGGTCTTAATCGACGCAATGGGGGTAAAAATAATTAAAACTCTTGATCAGATTCCGCAATGTGCGTGATATGTTTTGGTATTTTTCCAGGCATTAGGGGCAGTCCATAGCTCCTAATTGCGGACTAATAGGCGATAGGAGATTTAGGTAGGGCTGCCGTTACATTGTTTTACTTGTTATGTATGAAAACATGAATCAATAGTTCAAAGTAAACTTGCGTTTAAGATTAAGCTTTTTCATTTTGACCCACAGAAAAACGTAATCAGAATTTTTTTAAATCGGAATGACTTTTCATGAATTTATTTATATGCAAAAAACATAATCGTACTTGTTTCGATACTATCGATTAATTTTAATTTCTCCCACGTTGTTAACAACACTGGCTCTCATTGGACGAAAACAAATTTTCGCAAAATCGTAAACAAAACTTTTGACTGGAGATGGAGCAGGACTAAGGGCTTTCCAGTCGATCCGTTTACATCATGGCGACCTGTGTGCTCTGTTTGACGAGCTCTGAATCTGCTTACGGACTGGAGTCGGCGGAGGGCGTCCGGCTGAAAATAAGGGCGACCATCAGCAAACATTTTTCATTTTCAGAGGTAAGCTGTGCGCCATAATCGCAAGCTTAGGTGCTTTGGAACTAAGTCTTTCCTTTCCCGCAGGTCCATTCAGCGGGTAGTGATGCGTCGGTCTGTCGGGAGTGCTGGGACTGTGTCAGCAGTTTCGAGGAGTTCCACCAGCGTGTATCCCGCCTGCACCAGGAGAGGAGCAGCGACTCCAAGAGCGTGCCCATCGAATTCTGCGGCCAGGCAGAGGAGGCTATTAATCCGCTGTACTCCGTGGAACTGGACGCCCTGGCCGAGGGCTTCTTTGCGCCCAATGAGGTCAAGGTGGAGGTGAACGAACTGGAACCTCTGCCGAAAGTGGAACTTCTGGAGGATCCAGTTAACACGGAAACAAGAACAGCCTCCAAGCGGCTGGGTGACCAAAACGACGGATTACACCACCCAAAGCGACGCATTAAAAACGAACAAGCAGTCGACAGTGATTCGGATGTACCTCTAGCGGATTTTCTGTCCTCAGACATTAAGAGCAGCTCCAATGGACCAGATAAGGATAACGAACCGACCAAGGGCCGTCCGCTACGAAGAAGCACAAGACGTGGACGTCCGCCCAAGCCAAAACCGGAGTTGCATGCTTCTCCCAAAAAAGAACCTGATTCCGATGAGGACGATGACGATGTTGCTTCGAGGGAAAATGACATGGAGTTCGTACCTCCCGAGGCTGTTCTGGGCACAGAAGATAGCGCTAGCTCCTCCAGTGAAAGCAGTGGCGAGGACTCGGACCACAGTCTGCCGGACATTGAGCCCGAAGAACGCTACGCCGAAATTCCGAAGCGGGTGGTGGTAAAACCCAAGAAGTACCGAAAACGGGAGAAGCCGCTGGTCCCACCAGTTCGCCTAAGCCGCGAAGAGATCGAGCGACGGAAGCTGCAGCAGAGCGAATACGATGACATTATCCTGCAGTTCTTCAAGAAATTTCCCTGCCACATCTGTAATCTGCTGGTGCAAAACTTTGCGGACATGCGACGCCACCAGCGCGTTTCCCACAGCATCGAGTCGGGCTACATAGAGTGCTGTGGAAAGAAGTTCCACATACGCAAGGCCTTGGCGGAGCATGTGCTGGTCCACAAGAACCCAGATCACTTCATGTGCTCGCAGTGTGGGCGGGTGTTCCAGGATTCACGCAGCCTGGAGATCCACGAGCAGACGCACACGAACCCGGAGGTTAAAACAGAGCCGAAGGAGAAGCGAGTCTACCAGTGCGAGAAGTGTCCCAAGAGCTTCACCACCAAGGCGGCCATCGAGTACCACGATGTGTCTAAGCACGTGCCCAAGTCCGAGTTTAAGTTCTCCTGCCCAGAGTGCAACAAAAAGTGGGTACTTTTCAATTTCAAAAGTTGATCTCCGAAGTAATCCCCAATGCTTTCAGGATTCCCACGGAGCGCAAACTAAAGGAGCACCTGCGATACATGCACGACCCGGAAACGGCCATCATCTGCGATAAGTGCGGTAAGACACTGCGCTCCCAAACGAATCTCAAAAAGCACCACGAGCTGGAACATTCCGAGGAGCCGCGTCCCAAGCCCGATCCCGTCCAGTGCGAGATCTGCGGCACCTGGCTGCGCCACCTGTCCGGCCTAAAGCAGCACATGAACACGGTGCACGAGCCGCCGGGCGGCGAGCATCGGTGCCACATCTGCAACAAGACGTCCACCAACTCCAGAGCCCTCAAGCGCCACATCTACCACAACCATCTCTGCGAGCGCAAGTTCAAGTGCGGCATGTGCGAGAAAGCCTTCAAAAGGCCCCAGGACCTTAGGGTGAGTTTCAGATCCACTTATGAAGCATCAAGGTTTTCATCACCCGAATCAAATAGGAACACACGTCCACGCACACTGGGGAGGTGCTGTACACCTGCCCCAACTGCCCCATGACGTTCTTTTCCAACGCCAACATGTACAAGCACCGCCAGCGGCTGCATCGCGCCGAATGGGAGGCGGATCGCAAGAAGCCGCTGCCGCCGAACATTATGAAGATATCGCAGGGCGCCACCACGGCGATGAAGAAGCGTCAGGCCAGCGGCGCCCTGTTTCCGCAGTCGGAACAGAAGCAATAGCATTTGTCCATTTACGACATCTATAGATAGTAGATAAATCGTCAAACCATTATTATTAACACACACTTAGCACACAGATAAGTTAGGCCATAAATAAGTAGACATGGACATATTTACATCGATTTACGAGCTTGTATCTTATCTAGCAGTCGTCCTGCGGTATGCGGATCTCCTCGCACATGCCGTCCTCCCGGTGAATGCTCGCCCAATGCTGGGAGAGCTCGCGGCTGATGGCCTTGCGGAACACCATACACGAGATGTGCGGTAGCTTCTCGAAACGCACGCGCAGCAGGCCGATCCTGGCCAGCGAGTAACGCCAGTTCTTCATGAGGTGCGCGTTCTTGCCCACGTGCTGGGAATCGGGCGTGATGAGCACGAGGATGCCTTCGGGCAGGAGCAGGTCGTAGGCTTTGCGGCAGCACTGCAGCCGCTGCTCAGCGCTAGGCATGTATTCCAGCAGCAGGCTGAAGATGACACACTCGAAGCGGTTCGCCGGCAGTCTTGTCACGCTGCCCTCCTTTAGCTCTGGCTGTTCCAGCCCTGGCACCACCTCCACCTGAAGGAAGTCCGCCTGCAGAACGTCCTCGGTAGCGGGGCACAGGTCCAGAGCAGTGACCTCAAGGTGCGGGGCACTGGCAAAGGGGTTGAAGCAGCTGCCTACGTCTAACACGCGCAGTCTGTCCGGCGGCTCCTCCATCTGCCGGCACTCCACCTCGCCCATCGTGCCCTCGGCTCTGTACGAGTCCAGCAAGCGCTGCTCCCGCTGCCGTTTTTGCAAGTATATGCCCTCGGTGAAGAAGTACTTGGTAATATAGTCGACAGCCCACTTGATGCGGCTTCTGGCTTGAAGCTCCTCGTTGTTTCCGTTTGTCTCCCAAATGGCCGCTAGCTGCCGCATGGCCTTAGCGTACTCCGCCAGTCGCTTAGCGTTCCTGGGGCTCGTGTGCTCCTGCCAGGCCGCCGCAGCGCCGTGCTCTTTCGTCAGCTGACGCAGGCTCTCGTGGCAGCTCTTCACGATGCTGGCCAGGCGCTGGTGCTCCTCCGTGGCCATTCCGCAAACGTTTGAACGATTCGAAGGGAACTCGGGTTGTTTACGTTGGTTGGCTTCTGTTCAGTACATACTTACATATGTGTATGATAAGCTCGACTAATCGGACATTGTTATCGTTATCGCTGTGTGTTTAACCTGGCGGGTGAACCGTTTAAAAAGTATTTGAAAAATGAACGGACGTCCACAAATGCTATAGATCATTTTTTTTATTTATTTATTTTATGTTCTTTCCCTCGATTGAAGCAGATTGCTTTTCCTTCCAAAACGCACTATCAATTTTATTCAATTTTTGGGATCTGTCTATAAACTTTCTTGCATCCTGGTTGTCATAATTCTGGGATGTGGAGAGTCGTCAAACCAGGACATCACGTTGGCGCAAAGCGCAAGGACGTCCATCCTCGGATTCGGAGGAAACACTCTGCCGAAGCACTCCAGCAACATAGGTTGTCGACGAACCACCTCGTAGTATTCGTCAGCGGAAATAATGGTGTCTTTGTCAAGATCAAATTTTTGAAAGAGCATTTCCTTCATGTCCTTTAGAAATTTTAAATTTATAAATATACATACACATGGACAAGTCAAGCATTAATAAGTTTTTCTTACCAGCCGCAACTCAATGGCTTCGTCTTCGTCCTCGCTCTCAAAGAACTTGCTCACAAAAAACCCAACAACCTCGCCATTCAACTGCATCAGGTCAGCTTTGTCGTAAATCTGACAACAAAAAATTAAAACATAAATTCATGGTATCAAATTAGTCCCTTTCAACTCACTGAGAAGGCAAACTCCATCTTCATTTGCAGATCTCTAGTAAAATAAATGGTAAATAGCCTCACAAAGGACTCCAAGTGAATATGCTTATCAGGAAAAAAGTCCGGAGGTCTAGAGCCCGGAGTGTTGGCTATTCTAAATACAATGGTCGCGATAAGGTCGCGATCCACAATCTCAAACATAAGCTCCATTAACACCGTAAGCTGAAGGAGGGTCATATATTTGGCGCGTGGTCCGTTGACAAGGACGAACTTGTGGAAAACCATCACAATGCTGACCAGCTCGTTGTGGGTGAAGATCGAGTCCTTTTTTAACTTGGCTATGGCTTTGGCATACAAATAATTAAAACGCGCATTTTCCACCGTATCCAGGGTTTCGTCCAAATCCTTCATTTTACGTTACTTTAAGATAATTTATGTGTTCCAAAAATTAAAAAATTACACGGCGTTTAAAAAAATTCGTCTACTCTAACTGTTTTTACTTGAACTTGAATTTTACCAATAGTCATAAGCACCCTTCGATCTAAATACTGAGGTTGTTTATCTCTGATCTCAAACCCTTTTCCTAGCTATTTAAACAAAATTCCCAGTTGTTTACACACTATGTATTTTTATTTCATTATCTAATGGTTTAATTTTACCTTGCTTTCGCCCGATATACGGCATTTATTAAGCTGAAGCAAGTGACAGGATATTACAGCGCTATACAACACGACGTACAGTAACTTATGATTACACGAATTATAAAAGTTGTTCGTTTTTATGTATGAACAAACATACATTGATTTACATTTACGGCATGGTTGCAACCCTAAGTATAAATGGTAGTTGTATAAAAAAAAGCTTAGAACTAAAAAAAATGAATATATAAAAATAATACAGTGGCCATAGAGAATACTGACTGATGAGTTAATTGCGTTCTGCAAAAGGGGAACTTATTCAGAGTCTGTGCTTGAGTATTTTTGTTCTTTTTTTTTCGACGACACAACCGCGTTTTGAATTGATCTCTTCCTCGCCGGGGTACTTAAAAGATATATCGATACAATTATATAATACTAATTTCTTGAAAATGCAATGTCTGTGAGTTCAAGTGGTGCGAAATGCACAAAAAACAACAGTCCATTTGTCCGTGTGGCAACTTGAGTGTGTCGATGAGTATTCGTATTCGTATCCGGCGCCTCCAGACTCGGAGCTGTATGTTCGGATTTCTGGAACTCCGGCTGACCGGATGAGCTACATTTCGCTAAACGTATTTCAAGCTAAATTTTAAAGTACTGTTGATGTTTCCTCTAAATGCCCTTACACGCTAATTGCTGGCAATTCGTATTGTATATGCATATGAGCCAACGGCCCTGCCCCTTAGTTGCAGGCGGCATTGAGCGCCAGCGCTCCCTCCGCACTGGTCGATGGCCCGACCTCGTGAACATTGTTGTAGTCCGCTTTGGCATTACACTTCGCCGAGCTCTGCTCCTGTATGCTCCCGTTCAAGCCGCTTCCCTTTAGCGCGTATATCCCCAGGCGCGCCTCGTGCTCCCGCCGCTGCTGTCGTAGCCGGATGTCATGCTCCTCCCGCATGTGCCGCAGCTTGAGGTCCTGCTCCTGCCGGTAGTACGCCATCTTCACCTCCTGCTCCATCTGCTCGAAGCGCAACTTTTGCTCGTGCTCCCGCCTGGCGTAGTCGATCTCGGCCAGGCGTGCCTGTTTAAGCAGCCGGAACAGGTCCTGCTTGTACTTGTGCTCCATCTCAGAGGAGCTGACGAGATCCAGTGGCTGGCTGTTCGTGTCCACCGCTGCTGCGGCGCTCAAGGAAAACTGCTGGAGCGAGGAGGCCGGTGCTACTTTGTTGGAGTCCTCGTTTTCGTCAGAAAGAAGGGACTGAGCCTGTGATAGCTGTGATAAAAATGGACCATTATTAGTTAGCATAATAAAAAGAATAGTTATAGAGTGCAAGAAAAGTGGTACATCGCGAACGTTCTGATTCCTAAATAGGAATTTGCTTGGAATGCTCTCAGGACGTTTCTACTCACATTCCGTTGTCGCCTTTTTCGCGGCGAGACTGCGCCCTTTTCATTCTCCTCCCCCGTTTCGGTGGATGCTTCTGTCTTGGCGCCCGAGGGCGAGGGCTTGGCCTTGGCCCGTTTGCGTCGCTGGGCTGCCGGCTGGGCGGGAGTGGCCTCTTGCTGCGAATCTCCATCCCCGCCGGCGGTGGAGGGCGGCGGCGAGGGGATGGCGATGGTGGAGGTCTGCAGCGTATCCTCGCTGGCATTTGTAGAGTTGGGCAGAGCGGCCAGCGGCATGTCCTCGTCCTCATCGATATCTAGCAGCTCCTTTTTGACGGCCCCGTTGCTGTTAGCGCTGCGCGTCTGGCTGCGCGAGCTAACAGGATCTTTCTGCATCTCCTCAAGGAACTCGATCATGCGCATCCCCTCAAGAGCGTCCGCCTTTGGGTGCTTCTGCTGGTGCTCCCGCTTAGCGGAGTTCTTCATGCTGCGCCACTGCACCTGGATCTGCTCCAGCAGGCGGTGTCGGAAGTTGAGTGCATTGAACCTGTATGAAGTGAAGTGTTTTATAAAATACTCCTGTATCCCGATTGCGCAACTTACTGCTTGGTGATCTGCGACCACGCCAGACGCTTGGCCTTTATGCTCTTTGCGTCCACGCTGCGGTTTTCCACGAAGGCCACCTTCGACTTGATGACCTCGAGGAGCAACCCCCGCTCGGCCTCCTCCCAGTTGAGCGAGCGCTTCTTTCGCGTGCCCTTTTTCTTGCCACCTTCCTTTTCGGCAGCATCCTCGGCCGCATCCTCCGCGTTCTCCGCCCCCTCATCCGTCATGGCGCTGCTTGATTTCTGCGGTTTCAGATCCACCTTCTCGTCCTCGTCATCGTCTTCCGGCGGCGAGGAGGATCCTTTTCCGGCCAAGAGCTCCTCCAGTTTCATTGCAAAGGGGCTTTACTGTTGGTTGGATTCCAATTTGAATGGCCAGGCTTGCAAAAATCGTATTTGATTTCTGTATATACTGGAGCACAGTGTTGCCAGATGACGCAAGGAAGAGTGATGCCAGTATTTTCAAGCCAGTAGAAATGGCTTATAAAAATACCAAATTTCATTAAAGAAGCAAAGTGAGTACTAACTATTAGAGCTTTTGTGTCATGCTAGTGCACTTTGCGTTTTGTTTTAAACTTTGTTTGACTAGTATTTTCAGTATTATTAATATGTACTTTGTTATGGAATATATTCGCATTAGGCCGCATATATTTGAGTGTTTAAGTTATAATTTCTGAAAACCTTCCTTAAAAATTAAAAACTGGTGCGCGTTAATACCGAAAGGGGCACCCTAATTAAATAAAAATACCTAGTAAAAATACCTAGTCCGTCCAGTCACGGTCATACTTGGTATCGAACGAGTGAGTAGCAGGCGTAATTTTTTGTTTCATAAGAACTTTAATTTAAGAATATATATTTTACCAAACAGCGAGATGGCTTTCGGAGACTACCCAGCTGAGTACAACCCAAAGGTTCATGGGCCCTACGACCCGGCCCGCTTCTACGGCAAAGGTGAGAAGAGGCCGCGAAATTACGTAATTTTCGCTCTGTGTTTTGCGGCAGGCGCAGAGCACATTTATCCCGATTGGCCTAGATTCTAACCAATTTACATAATTCCCGACTTTCTGATCCGTAGCCGATGTGCCCTTCGGCCAGGTAAAGCTGGGCGAGATCGGTGCCTGGCTGGGACGCCGCAACAAGACCCCGAACGCCGTGGCCGGAGCCGTAAGCCGTGCCTGGTGGCGCTGGCAGCACAAGTACGTGTTCCCCAAGCGCGCCGGGATCGCTCCCTTCTTCCAGCTGACCGTCGCTAGCATGACGTTCTTCTATCTGATTAACTACACCAAGTTGAAGCACCACAGGAACTACAAGTACCACTAAACGGCGCTGCCCGGTGTTCTTGCACCTCCTCCTCCAGCGATACACACTTTCCTCAAAGCGTGCGAGTGGCGGGCTAACACCATCAACTATCTATATTTGGCTTTTGTGTTTTGAAAACTGCTTAAGTGAATAAAACGGCTGCGAATATCCATGCTGCCATAGACCCTCAATTGTTGCTGCAATCAAAAGCTGCATTCGGGCCAATATCGAGCTCGGATTCTGAGTGATCCCAGGTGGAAGTTGGTCTGGCCGTGTGCATCTCGCAGACGAAGGGCAGCTCACGCTCGCAGTGCAGGGTTTGCCAAGTTCCCTGCGGCGTCAGGGCCACGCAGCTAGCGTTTGTCAGCTCCTGACTGATGATTTGCAAAGATTAGTGTAAACTAATTCGAAATAATTGATTTTTAACCCACCCGAGGCGAGGATGACCGGCTGCCCAGGCCCTGTACAAAAAGCAGTTGAGGCTTTCCTTTTGAGAGTTCCGAAAATCTAGTGGGTTCAGTGAAGTGGAGCTATTGTACACCAAACCTACAAAGGCCAAGAACACATTTCTTTCTGATTGAGACTTCCTGTTGAACTGGAGCAACCACTGAGCCAAGGACTTCGTCCTGTGCTCTGAGGCTATGTGAGCCAGACTGCCGATAAACTCCGAGGAATTGGTGCAGGTCAGCGACGCATTCAAATAAACAGTAGGCTGCGTGAAGACCACAAACAGTCCAACTTCCGGTATACAACTATAGTTTTTAACAACTGTCCAAACAGATTTATAGATTCCCTAGTGGTTAAACACACATTCTACTGTACCAACCTGTTGGCCTGCCATATAAACTGTAATAATCAAAGCGACTATCATTAACCATCCCAGAGAACGTGCTGTTCTGGGGACACTGAAGCACATGGCAGTTGAAAAACTCGCCTGGTTGGTCAAAAACACTGAAACGACTTCGAATGTGCTGCTGCTTTTGGCCCTCCTTTCCATACGGCCTCTGTTCGAAAACGTTTGTACTTCTCTTTGAGCCTCCAGGGGAGTAGTTGAGGGCCAAGCCACGTAGTTCGTGAGCCAGATTGGTGCATTCCTCCAGGGAGGAGGTGTTTTCCAGAGCCAATGCATCGTTAGCCGAGGCCCTCTGACACTGGCGCACGAGATGAAACTGAAGTGAATGAGATTTTTCAGTAGGACAATTTAGGGAGCCCAGGGTTAAACAAGACAGTAAATTATATATAAGAAATTTAAAAATCATTTTGACGATACAATAAAGTAGAATTCTTAGGAAGAGATTGATATTTGCTTCCGATGGGAGCTTCCAGTTTGATAATCTTGTAGATACTAAATTGTTTGTAGCGCTTCGTGAACTTTTTTAATAATCTTACCTGTTCAATCCCGTAACAAAAGTGATTCTAGAACCTCCATTTTCACATCACATTGTCAGTCAAAAAGCTTTTGATTTTTAGGTCAATTTGAGTTTATTGTTCAATGAGTAATATTAACTTAGAGGTACACTAAAATTGAGCTTTAAAATATGAATTGAATCGCGTGAATTGAACGGCTCCAGAGGAGCATTCCCTTTAGTGTCAGTGGGCCTCGGAATGCTCGATTGAAGCGGTGCAAAGGCCTTATCTTATTTGAGAACTGTTGCCAGACATATCATTTCATTATCATATATTAAAGTAAGTGATCGGGACGGCTGTGTAGTAATAAGGGCTCCTCCTGCGTCCGAATCAAAGTTTCAAGTAAATCAATGACAAGAAATTCAGGAAATTCTACTAAGAAGGGACCTTTTCTGCAGTTTTGGACCTTTGGCAGTTAGGCATCAGATAAATTAATAAATTAAAATTAAGGAGTAGTAGTTAAGTAGATACGAGTACAAATATCACCTGAGCGTCGGCTGCTGCATTCGTTGTTAGTTCGAGTGATTAAGTTAGGGAAAGTGGGTTAGTTGGGGATGCAGAAACACGCTTACACTTCCAGTGGAGTGTCTGAAGGAGGGGCGAGTCCAACACCGACTGTGCGGAACAGAGCTCTGCGAATGCCATCTGGGTCTTCCCAAGAACTCTGCGACATTAGCGGGCAATCGGGATGTTATCCAGCCATTGCCCGGTAATCTCTGCACATCAATTGCAAACTAAGACTAGGCTTAATCTAGAAAACAGCCGCTGGACGACTGACTGCTCCGGCATCCTTACAAACTAGGTGGCTTCCGATCCGTTCCATCGTTGACTACCGCAGCGGCACCTGCGCGCCCGGACCTCCGGGTAACTCTCTCTCTGATTTTTTTCAACACTTTGAGTGTTTGCATTTTGGAAACGTTGAATTTTGAATTTATCTGCGAGGACCTCCCACCACTCCCCGCTTAGCTGCTGTGCGAGAAGGCGGTGTTCGTGTACGGCCCGCTGTAGATGGAGCTGCCCGAGTTGGACACCGTCTTGGTGCTCCTGCGGGCCATGATGCACAGCACGGCGGCGACCACGGCCAGCATCAGGATCAGGCCCGCGATGGCGATGGCTATGGCGAATGTGCGCTGCGACACGCATAGGGCGTCATCCAGAGTCTGGAAGAAGGAGATTTATTGAGAAATTTATTAAGATAAAGCCCTAGAAAGCCCTAGATTCGGAATCAGCGAAATCATATTGTATATACTTCCTCTACATAAATTAATCATATGTGCCTAAGAACTCACCTTCTCCTTGTAAACCGCATCGTCGTCGCTGTCGTTGGAGTTCTCGTTCTCATTGACGTACAACCCCGAGAAGACCTCGATGGTGGCGGGCATTCCCTCCTCCTCCTTGCTGTCCACCGGAGTCTGGCGCTTGGGACGCTTGCCAGTGCACAGGGGCGCCTCCTGGCAGGAGGGATCCTCTAGGGCGCACAGGCGCACGTTGCACTGGTAGTACACGGAGGTGGTGTACGGGAACTTGTGCGCCGGGAAGGTCACGTTGGCGGCTAGCCGGTCCTCGGTGTAGTTAAACTGGCCCATGATCTCGTTGTCCATGGGGCAGCTGTGAAATCGGGACTGTGTTATATGCCGTACTCAAATTGGGATTAGGATCGGTCTTACCCATCTTCGCCAACCAACCGCTGCTCACCCCAACCCAAGCCATCGCGCACTATGCAGTCCGTCACATGGAGGCCGTAGATCTTCTGTCTGTCGATGCTGATCACAATGGTCAGAGGATCGCCTATCTTCACATCGTCGGCTATTTTCTGCTCGTCGTTGTAGATCTTCATGTGGCAACCGGGCATGGGGATCTCGTTGTTGCTCACATCCTCGTCCTGCGGGGCATTCGCGTCGTACACATCCTCCTCGTCCAGGTCGTCGTCCTGCTGCTTGTCCAGGGATCGGCCGTAGTCCCTGCGGTCTTCGCTGCGGAAGGCCTGCGGCTTTTGGGCGTGCTTACGAAGGTACTTCTTCGGCTTCATGGCGGCATCGCGGCTCTTGTAGGCACAGCGGACGTGGTAGCCACGTCCCAAGTCCGTGATGAGCTTCAGGTGCGGCTGCAGCACAATGGTGTTGAAGAACTCGATGCCACCATCATCCTAAAAGCAACGTTGAATGTGTTATTAAAACCAGAAAACACGATTTTATTTGAAATCGTTAAAATCCAATTCCAGAAAACTTTAAAAACCCAAAGTTTTTAAACATAGTTTCTAGTCAGATTAAAATGAAAATTATTTCTAGTTAATATATTATTTCTTCAGTTCAAGTTATTAACATTAAAATGGGAATAATACCTGAAATTACCACCTACTGACAAAAGACCCGAAAAGCAAACCCGTTCGCCCCCTATTTACTTGGTGAGCTGGACTGGCCACTGGGTAACGATAGTTGTATTTACATAGAATTGCCGAGAAGCCATCTCAGCCACCTGAACCCAAGTATAATGGCGGCGAAGCCCCTTCTCATTATGCATTCAGATTCACGCTTGGCTGCAGCCAGAAATCGCCGCTCAGAAGTTGAATGTGCGATCCAAGACCGACAGCGCTAAAGTGGGGGCTTGGGAGCACTTCCTGAACTCGCCGTCAGAATGGTGCTGAAGCCGATCAGCCAGGTGTGACGTCTAGTCCAAGTACAGATCTGCGGGCCTTATCTCCTCGCAAATTAGCCAGGTTTGCATGATGAATTTTAATGGCTTGTTAGTTAGGAGCTTGTGAAATCCAAGAACGCTCTGCTGGCATGATGCAATTTCCCTTGCGAAAGGAGCTTTAATTTATCCGCCGGTGGGAAATTGTTCTTGGCTTGCCACCTGGTTATTAACACCTGCTGGCGTCTATAATTAAATTTCATTTTCGGTTTCCAACACTGGTTTATAATTGAAAAGCAGTTCCTACACATATGAACTTCCTTACACTTTCCAAATGAGAAGCTCACAACAGAACTTTATTCTCACACTTCCTATACTTTTTCGCTCTGTGCACTTGTAACGGGTTATTCGCCCATCGGTGATTGTGCTAATTCCAACGGGCGGCAGAAACAAATCGGGCACACACTCGATGGCTTTGGCAACCGAAAGCCAGCGCGGCAGAAGAAAGGTGAGGTAATGACGGAGGCGAGTACTCCGCCTGCTCGGAAGTCTCGTAATTGGGTCTCTACAGATTTGGGCACGGAAGTTCTTCGGCTAAGTGGGCTCTCCTCAGGCGGGCAGTCTTAATAGCCAACGCCGATGTTTGTTGTCTTAGCGGCCATTAATCGACGGCCCGAAGAAGCCGACTTAAGACTGTAGCAGCTGTAGAAGCCAGTGTGCGATTTATTGCCCAACTCTGTTGTTTCCGTCGCTGGAATGGCTTAGGTTAGAAATCAGAGGAGAAAGAACGGCAGGGGCTTCCTTTGTTGGCCAAGTCCCCGAGAACCGTTGACAGTTATCATTTCGAGTGTCAGTTCTCAGCATCTGGGCATCATCATTGCGAGACAATGGGCCAATAAAAAGCATAATAAAGTGACATTTAAGATTTCCAAGCTCAGGCGGCGGAGGTTCTAACGGTAGAAGAGCCTATTATGTCATTATGACACTTCTTCGCGTAAATATGTGAGTCGCTGTGAGCGTAAGTGTATCAGATGGCTAACGAAAACACGGCCAAAACAGGTTGACTGTCAGCTGGATGCGTGGGAGAGCCGACTGACCTTCGCTCCAAACGCGGCGGCAGCTGCCTTTAAATATCGATATCGGCCATAAAGCGCTTACATGTCTGTACACTTTTGGCCTTTTCATGGTCATCCGTTGGTGGCATTGGTGGCCAACGAACGCATTAACCGGCGAACAGAACAAATTGATTTCGCTGCGAGATGGCTTACTCGCTGAGCTATGAAAAATTGTTTTTGATAGACACTCGCGACTCGCGACTCGTGAGTTCTGGGCTGGCAATTAAATTTTAATTAAAATGCTTACCCCTCCCCGAACCCCTTTCGACCCTGTAAGCTGTACGCTGTACCTGTTCGTGGCCGATTTAATTATGCTTGACATGCGCACAGCCAAGACCCTCGGCTCCTCGGGGGAGCTCGTGATTCGGTGCCAGCAGATGTGGCGGCTGTCACGCGACTTTTTACACTGCAATGAGCTCATCTCGCCGGTGACGTAAGGCAGGATGGCTGCCATTAGTGCGACTGCACGCTGGATGAGACCCGCTCATCGTGTTTAATGACAAACATTTACGATATCTACGGGCGGGCCTTGGACGCCTCTGTTGACTTTTCAGTATTTGCGGGGGGCAAATAATGTCTACCGATTCTTACTTATCGAGCACTCTGCGCAAATTGCTTGAATCAACACGAAAAGGCGGGCGGCGAAGGACAAAGCAGTCAGAAACGAAAGACTTAGGCAACGAACTGAGTGGAACGCAAACTCAAGAATACTATATGTGCTATATATGGCAGGTAACCCTCAGTACTCGCAGAGTTCATTAAAAATATATGTTTGGTACCAGTTTTAGCACAAAACATCAACCGAAAACGAATGACTTGGGCAACAAACGTGGAAGTGCTATTCGTGCCAAGATGTGTTTAAAATCTATTTAATAGCCAGCGTACTCGCGCAAAATCGACATGAATCGTAAAAACTTCGGAACTCAACTAAAGTCTTTAATACAGCACAAGACGAAATGGACTATTACACGTTATTTTAACCCACTTCGACGATTGTTAATTGCCTTTAGCCAACATAAAGCAGCTAGCCAGCTCCATTCGATAACTCACAGTAGATGTTGCGGTTCTTAAATGCACTGCACTGCATTGCCACATCGCATCGGCTGTCGTAACTGCAATTAACATTGGTAATTTCAAAAATTGTGTCAATCCAATCGGGCGAAAGGAAAAAGCAGCAAACAGCAGCCGCTACAGCCAGCGAATTACAAAACGCAGAGCCATAAACGCCGAGAAAATACATTAAATATGTATCACAATCGGGCTCTGTGGCAGCGGCTATAAAAATGCCAGTGCGTGAGTTGCAGCCGCATTAGCCCGGCTAAGTGCTAATTGAGATTTCAAAATCAGATCCCAGCACAAACACAGCCCGTTGTTTGCCCGAATCGATCGACCGATTGAGCCAATAAATAAGTCGGCCATATACGTATTAGCCGAACCCAATGAAATTTATATGGCACATCTCGGCCCTCTTTCGGATTATTCGATATCGCTTACAGGGGCATGGGAGACAGCTCGTCATGCTTGATCGGCTGGTTTAGATCAATAGTACGCTTGATCGGTTCGGAGATCTTGGAAAATCTGGTTTTGAGCGAAACTGAATCACTAAAGGAATATCAATTTAAGAGATTATAGAAAGCTTGTTATAAAATGATTAGATTTCTCGCATTTATATAAATCTTTAAAATGTATTCTCTTCTTAAACAGATGAGCTTAACTATTGCACCACAACTCAATCACTGCTCGCTGATTCTGATTAAACGATAGTCATTTCAAAAGCCAAGCCTCTATTCATTATGTTTTTTTAACTTATCCACCATGTGTGATGGCTGCTATTTTAGCTGGAAACTCTGAAGCCATCAAATCGCATCATTAGCTCAGCCGCAAAAGGTGCGTGAGTTGGCCATTTGAGATTCAACCTTTCAATGGACTAATCATCTTGGCATATGGACTTTACCTTGTAACCAATGAGTCGGGTCTCGGGTCTGGCTGCCTTATAAGTGCTTAGCTTAATGTTCAATTTTTATTTGCATGCCAAGTTGGGTAGAACGAGTTAGCCGGGGACATGGCGTCACCGACTATCTGCCGAGTGGGAGTTTCTTTTATTCGGGGCAATGGGGTTCTGGACTCACCGTTTCCTTCGGCATCGTGTTGCAGGACCTCAGGGGCAGCTTGTACCGCAGGGAGCCCACATGGTCTCTGCGGGGAAGGGTGGTGGGAGAGGTGGATTAGGATCAGGATCGGATGAACCAAGCAGTCGTTACTCACCTGTATTCGCTCAGGCAAGTGGAGTTCTTGGACAGGCCTTTCGGGTAGATCATGCCGCTGAAGAGGCCCGTTTCGTGGTTCGGAGGCGCATCCTTGATGGTGATCAGCATCGACCCGGAGAGGCACTTGATCCGCACGCTCGGCTCCACCGTCGGCTTCGAGGTGGAGGTCACCTCCGCCTCCGCCGCCGCAATCGCCTCGCTCAGCGAGCTCTGGGCATCCTCTGGGGGGGAAATCGGAAATTATGAAATGCAAACAGAGACACGACAGGCCCACTCCCAAAAAGCACAGTTAGGCGACCCGGAGGATGAAGCCTCGACAGCCGTTAGCATAAATCATGCGCGAAAAACCCAAGACAATGGCCACTGGAAGCAGTATTTAGCTAAGACTACAGCTCCAAGTTGGACTCGGCATGCGGAAGACTTAACAAATAACAATAAAGTATTCGAAAAAAAATTCCACCAACTTTAAAGATTTTGAACATGGAAAACAAATGCTTGATAGCAAACATTTCAAGCATTTAAAAATAAATTCAATAAGATGTATATCCAATAACATTTAAATGGAAAATATTTTCAATATATAGAAATTAATTTCATAGCTTTGCATCTGCAAGCGTAGAAACTTATTGACGTCTCTTTTTAATTCGATTTCTCAGCACACTACTTCGATTTTCTCTCAGTGTCTGTTCATGACATTGAGAAGCCAGTGAAGCGGCGACTTCGAAAATCGGCAGAAGCGGCAAACATGGGGCGCAGACACGCCACAGAAGCGCTGGTGGCCATTAGAAAGACGCCACGCTGCCAGTTCCTTGAACTTGGCAAACAATTCGAGGCGCAGCCTGGGATTTGGATTTGGCTGTGCTCTTGGCATTTCCTGCTTTCGGCCGGCCAGCCACCCGATCGCAGAGCTCCCCGCAAGAACTCCCCGCTGGCTCCTCTGCTCGGCGGCAGTCGAAGGTACACAATTGGCCAAGAAGAAAAGCGGAGAGCAGAGAAAAGCTGCCCGGGCACGTTCGCCCTGGCAGTTGGCATTCTGGCATTGTGTGCACAAGTATATAGAATGGTGTGGCGTGGTGTATATGGCCAAGATGCGATGGCAGAGGATGCCAGCCGCGGTCGAGGCGGTTCAACGAACCTTGCAGCATTTCGCATCACTTACTGCGGTTCTGGGCAAAGTAATTGCATGCAACACGGCCGTCGCAAGCCGGTTTTCCCCACTCTGCACTCTGCTGGGGAATGGGGAATGGAATCCACTCGTCGACTCGGCTGGCACATAAAACATTTAATGGCTTTCTATTATGTATAATTTTATGGTCTCCGCAGGCGAGCCGAGCTGCACTCCTCAAATAGAACAAACTAGACTAAGCCAACAAAGGTTCGCATAAATGGCTCTTCGCTTCTTCGAGCGAACAAAGAACGCGAAGCCCTGAAGCCCGAAGTATGTATCTCGATCCCTATCGAGTTGCCTGGAAATATAAATCAACTTTTCATACTCAGTTTATTACTCGGCGATTTATGTGATATTTCGTGATTGAGATTCGATTTCAGAAAATTAGCGATCGCTTTCGCCAAGTTTATGGAGACAGCTAAATTTTATGTGCACATATGAATCACATTGAGCCACAAATGGAGCAAAAACAGGAAGGTACAGACGGCGAGGTCCATTCTTCGCCCAAAGATCTGGATATACCAAGTAAAAATAGGCAGGAAAGCGATTGGGTATCAGAGGAGTTACATGCGGCATCTTCTCTTTCCAATGAGAACGTGAGTAGAGGAAAGAAATTAAAATAAAAATTAATTATCTTCGTTCACAGCTCATTATTAGTGAAAATGTCGAAACAAACGAGGAAAGCTATAACTCGGATAAGAGGTAAGTACCTCTTAAAATGCATAAATGCAAAAACTATGGAATTGTTAGAAACTTATTTGCATTTGACTTCCTCCTAAATATTTTTACACGTTTTAATATTCTTCCTATATGATTATATAACTTTTAGTAGCCTAACCTCGGCATTTTCATTCACTGTGGAGACGGAGCTCTTCAATCCCAAATTCAGTGTCGTATCAAAGAGAGCTTCTGGCGATGACAACCTAAAGTGCAAGCAGCGCACTAAAGTCCCCTTCGAGGTCGGACTCCTCCGGATTCTGAATGACCCGCATTCCTGCTCCTTCAAGGTCTTTGTGGGCAAATACAAGTTCCGCTGTCATCTGCAAGTGCTTCAGACGCACTCCAAATACTTCATGAGTTACGAGGACGTGGACAGCCTGACTGCTCAGCTGCCAGTGGAAAAGGTGACCCCAAACGCGTTTCATGCCATCTACAACTGGATGGCGTGCACCCAGGAGAAGCGCCTGAAGCTAAAGGGAAACTGCACCCTGGTGGACATATATGCTGCAACCGAGTTCCTGAAAATCGATGAACTCGTGGAGTTCACATTTTCCTGCCTAAATGAAAAAAGAGTCACCGGAATCGTGGCGTTTGGACTGTTCCTGGAGGCTCAGAGGTTCGATATTCCCATGTTTCAGCTCCTGATGCTTTCTCGCTGCGAGGAGGCCTTTCTGCCGCTGGTGGCCTCCAAGGAGTTCTTGGAGCTGGACATCAATTGGGTTGAAAAGCTCTTGAGCAGCAACCTTGTGGCAGTGAACAGCGAAATTGAGGTGAGGTTTCAGGGATCTTCTCTAGGGTTTTCAATCCCAAATATTTATGATATTCCGCAGATATTTATGACTGCGGTCCGCTGGCTGAGTTATGATTGGTCTGTTCGGAAGACTCATATGGATAAGTTAATGGACTGTGTGCGTTTCTGCCTGCTTCCCCCGCTTTTCCTCAGATATATGCACGCAGAACAAAGCTATTTCGTACTGAACTTCATTTGCCAGAGTCCCAAAATCAGGGAGACAGTCGATAAGGCCTTTGTGTAAGCCAAAGCCGGGCCTTATCTGCAAAATTTAAATATCCAATCCCTAGGCACACCTCCTCCGAACTCTGCGATCTGAGGCTACGCGTCGCCAGCGTGGCCAAGCAATTCGATCCGCCGGAGCAGAGGAAGTGGATCCACGACGAGCACTGCTCGTACCACCGCAGTCCAGGGGGAAACCTGGGCCAGTTCTTCACCTACCCGCAGTTCCTCAACTACCTGGAGTCGCTCCACGGACCGCGGCCCGATCATGAGGCCCGGGTCAGCGAGGTCTTAGCCAAAAATCTCCAAAATCCTGGACCATAAAAACGCAATGTGAAAGCCAGAAGGAAGTGTGCCGCAACTTTTGGCCACTCGCCGCTCAAATGAGGCAGCTCCAAAGCGCTGTAGACCTTAGTTTGCCAAGCGATTATAATGCCTGTTTTCGGTTTCGGCCAACAAAGTCAACAGAGATTTCGCAACCAGAGAGACAACAAGCCGCTTAGCGGGTTTACTTAACAATGGAAGCGGCGCCGGCGGATTAAAGTGGAGTGCCTTTATAACTAATTAGGTAATAGTTGCGGGGGGAGCCAATTCATCATTGCTATTTCTGTCAATCTCAGTACTTTCCACGGAGTTTGTATCCTGCATTGTATTTTTAAATACTTTTGTAACCCATTTTGAGCGTGATGATATAAAGATAAATTTCTTCAAAGTTGCCTTATACTTTCCTTGCTACTAATTTAATAGTATTAAGATTATACTTATTGCTGCAACATTTAGCTAATCTAAAGTTTATTTTCATTTGAATCAGTAATATAGTTATTTCTAACTATAAAAGCATATGATGTGGACTTTGTCAGAAACCAGCCAAGCTAAAACGTTATACCTTTTCAAAAAATAAATATTTTAATTATTCTATTTACATACTAATCAGGCTAGATATTGATGCCTCATTTGAATGTTGTTTCACTCTTCGGAGGCCAACAAAAGCCCCCAACTGAGCTCAATCTTGGCAGCGTCTTCGCTACCAATTTGTTAGCAATTTTTCTCTGGGCCCCCATCGATCGGTACCCCCAATCCAATAAATAGAATTCGGTTTAGCTTCTTAATAGACAGATTTATGTACTCACTGACTGCCGTTGGAATCTGCGCCGCGTGCGTCGTCAGAGCTGCGATTGTCTGTAAAGAAAGTGGAGACAAGTCGCTCATTAGCATAGTTGGCATATAGGATGCTGTCTGGAACTATAGACTAGGCACCCCGACCCCCTTCGGGTCACAAAGCGCCGACATAAATCACGACAAGCCGACATTAAGTCCCGGCCTAATCCATCGCCAATAAGCTTCTTTAATTAAAGGGGAAATTTCGTTTTCGTGTTGACGGCGGCAGGAGGGGATCATTATATGAGTATTCTCACGATTCTAAGGCTCCGCCGAAGCCTGGCAAAACTTTCGCCAGCCTGGGTTTAAGGTTGAACCCGAGAGCCCCAACCTGAATCTTTCGGATTTGAGCTCAAGTGGGGCCAAGAGGCTTAGAATGCAGCTGGGGCCACGGTGTGCCACTTTTGGCCACTCGGAATCGCGTTTAGCATACAGCATACTAAGGAGGAAGGAGGGAGTCTGGAGTGGGGAACTGGCCCCTGGTCTCATATCCAGGTTAATCGCATTGGCATGCAATTGTCATTCATGTGGCCCCGGCTGATTGATGTGTTCTATCCGAGTCCGAATCCGAGTCCGGCAATTTTCCATTTCGATGGGCCCAATGGAGATCCCGGCTAATACTTAATACTTACGATTAAGTGCAGCGCCGTGTAGAAAATGTCCATCGGAGCGCCTGTCTTCATGGTGCGAGCTGCAAAAAGAGTGAGGGAGGCGAAAGCGGATATTAATGCGGGTCTCAAACCTTGGCAAATAGTCAAAACTCAGCTGAAACCCAAAGAGCCGAATACCCACTGCGAACCGGTTTCGCACCCACTACACCACACGTATAGGATTATGCTAAATCACTCGAACCGAACACAGCGATTCTGTAATGAATTTCGTGGCCCAAAGGCAAACTTTCTGTTTGCCAAATGGGTCAAGTCAACACAGCCGAATTGGGGTTCGCGTGCGGCTTGTTGCAAATGGGTTGGCTTCGGCACAAAGTGCTCGCTGTGAAACGGTAACTGAAGGGATAAAGTATCTGCGAGATGCCAGCCATCGAGCGCAGAGCAAACAAACATCCGCCAAATGCAACTCATGGCATCATGACTCTGGTTTCCGCTCCCTCTCTAAGCGGCAACAGAAGCAGCAGCAGTTGCAGCATTACGAGATATTAAACACATATCAATGGCCCGTGACAAACGCTTTTCAACTTCCTGCCGAGCGGTGAGAACTTTGCAGGCGAGTCATGGCCAGGAAGACATTTTCATAGCGATCGATACACAGAAAATAAATCAATGTAATTGGCTTCAACCATTTTTTTTCTATTTCAATGAACTATAATTTTTGTCATGCAAATTTAAGTGGTTAATGGGTATTAGAAGGTTTTGTATGACGTATAAAATTAGTCATTCCAAATGCCGAAAAACATTTTAGAGAACCTTTAACTTTAAACCCGCTTGGATTGATTTATAGCGAGTTCTCTGATCTATATCTTAATTAAAACATTTTGTTTGCCAATTTTGGGGGGTATTGTTCAAAGCATTATGTAGTAGAAACTTTCTAATGTGAAATACCACCCAAATGATAGCCGAAATGAGATCATTTTTCGCCGTGCATGCTGATCATTGTCTTGGGCGTCGCACGACATCGAAATGCGGCTTACGCTGATGGCCGAGAGGCGATAATGATTTGTTGTTACCGTACCGCTGCCAACACATTTCATTCACGGCACAGCAACACACACCAAAAGGCGATGATGTCACAAGAGCAACACTGCATCTCCACTCCACTCCACATCCACGTCCACATCCACGTCCACTCACCCCAGATCGAGATACAGACCCCAAGATACGGCCGGTTATTATCCAAGAGGTGTAATCTGCTTGGGAGTCTGCTTGTTATTGAAATTGGTTGGCCGGCAAAACGGGGAGAAGCACGGAATTGGGTCAATAGATATGGCTTGAAATTGATAAATTGTTGGCATTATGCAGTGAGCACACATCAATTTGTCAAAGCCAAAGGCCCACACTTCCTGAACGCCGAGCAATCACAATCCGCCGGCAAACGTGGCTTAGAGCCGAATGCAAATTGCCAACTGACGCCGGGCCACAACATCCCACCATCCCACTGCCAGAGATACGAGATACAAGCGCGTACTTCCACTGGCATTGCAATAAATTAGCTAAAATTAGCAGAATGACGCAAGCCGAGGCTCCAAGCCGAGGGAGACAGGTAAAAAAGTTCGGAATTGAAAACGCAGCTCATGCAGGCAAAAAATTAGCTGGAAAAATGCGACGAGGCACGCCAACGAGCATTATGAATAATGACTTTGATTGGCATCTGCTCTCGTTACCCAGTTCGGGCCAAAATGAGCAAAAGGAAACACAGCTCAGCGCCGAATGGCCAATGGAAATGGAAATGGCAGGCTGACCTTCAATTACGTTCATCGGTGATAAGGGAAATTGCTCCGAATTGGGACGCAAACAATAGATGTTTGCTGGCCAAAATGAAACGAAAAGAAATACCAAAGTATCCCATATGAATTGTAATTTTGTATATCCAGAAATTGAAGCCATAAAATCAAGGTATAGTCGGCATTTCCTGCAGCAGAGCGCATTTCCTCAACTTGTGATTCTCCCCATGGAATCGAAGAGTTCTTGTCCAGAATATAAATGATGTAACTATGATTCATTGCCGGATCGATCGTGGGCATTCGGCTGTAACGGATGGCTCCAAGTGTCAATTTGAATTCATTTGACACACATTTCACAGAGCAAATAGCACCGAAATAACCAAACAAACACTGAGCAGCACCGAAAACCAACAAATGGGCTGTGCAACTGAATAAATTAAATGGGTTTTGCGTGCACGACGGGCCAACAAAGTTGTGTATTTCATTTGCTTGTTGTTTTGTTTAAACAATTGCAGTTTCATTGGAGTGTGTGTGCTCTGTTAATGTGGCGGCTAAATGACCTCGCGTGTTTCCATTTTCCCGTAATTTATTTGCTGTTAAATACCCGGCGCGGGTATGCAAAAATAGTTTTGAAATGCACACTTAGCTTTACAGCTTTCTGCTCGAGCGAAAACGTTGGGAAAAGCGGAAAAGTGTGAAAAAAGCGGGTAACAGCGCATTAAATTGCTCCCCCGGCCAAATATTTGAAAATTAAATGCTGATGTTAATGGGCCCGTAAATGTTTTGGGCCCACCAAAACAAATCCCTAATGAAGTGGATAATTAAAGGGAACGGACCACCCGTAGACGGACGTATCTGGGTGAACCGCATTAATCAAGCCGCAGACTTTGGGAACCCTTAGAAATCTCCGAGATCTCGGGAAACCAGTCAATTAGAATGCCCGACGACTCCCATCGCTGCCATCAGCTGCCAGATCTGGTTCCAATCTGAATTGCCAAAGGCAATGGCAAAATCACAGACGAAACTGTGTTAAGCACACCAACTCACACACACACACACACACACACACTCGCAGCGCTTTAAGCCACAACTCACTAACGTGGCTGACCCATTTGGAACTATAATGTGCTGGCGGGGCTGGGGGGAGTTCTACCAACTTTCGGTTGCGGTTTGCCATTAAAATGGGAAATCTCCGCCGTACATCTCGGCTGTAGTGTGATCAATCACACGCAAAGAAAAATTGTCTATACTTGTCCATAGAAACATGTTGAGATGCTGAACTCTTTCTTTGAACTCTGATATCTAACTGAGTTAACTTGATTATCATATAGTTTTATTGCATTTTTGTTCATATTTGCTTTCCCAGATTCTTTTTACTAGGTTGAATGCTTTACTTCTCCTTCTCGAGAAAATACGATATGAACCTTACGTTTTCTCTCAGTGCAGCATAGCGATGCGTAGAGCTAATTTCGCTGCAATTCCGCTGGCGTAGAAAGTAAGTTGGGGAGGGTTAGGGCCTTGAAGACCGAAGGCCCGCTCTGAAGATGCATTGTGCGATTGTCCCGCATTGTTCTTAATGACGGCAATTAACCAGCCGAACAAAAAGGGCAGCTCAATGGCCCGCAAACGGGGTCAGCCCGGCTTTATTGCCAGACTTTTGGGCTTAGCTTTTACTTTTACCCGAGACCAAACTTCTAGTTGGCCAGCGGGCTAATCAAGCGTCGGAGATCGATGGCAATTGAGGCATCGACTTTCACCTGATTGTGTATGCATGCAGGCTCTGTTTTTCGGAATCAGAATTTTAAATTTAAGTCTGGCAATTAGCTGGCGTTTGATCGGGGACTGATGGCCAGGTAGCCCGCTCGTCAGCCGCCACTCGAAGCCCAGTCAGTCAGGGAAGTCAACAGATCGGAACGAACTTTATTTCTACCCAACGATCGGGCCAAGGTCAGTGCAATTGTCTCGCCGCCGCCTTTGTTCGCCTCAAATGAGCTAACAGGGCTTTAATTGGCTGTTGGCCAATTGCAATAAACGCCAACGCCGATTCCGTTTATAGATTTCGATTGGGCCAACAGCAGCCGCGGTCTTTAATGGACAATTGCCCATTAAGACAATGTGAGAATTTGAAAATCGCACATCATTAGTGGAAAACCCAGCCCCAGCTTCTTGGCCAAAATGCGCTGACCTGGTTGTTGCCACACGCACCAAACTGGAGCGTGGAGACATCCACAGTCTTACCGTCTTACCACATTTTGTGCGAACCAAGTTTGGGCTTGGAGCAGAAACGCTGACCATTGCGTATTTTACGCTTTTGCGTTACGTAAGTTCTCTGCAAACAGCTCGCTTCTCCGCAATTTGTCAAGATGTCCAATTTGGCTCAAACAGCGACTGGCAATATGCAAAAGCGCTGATTGGACACCCACAAACGGGCCCCGCGGCTCAGCCTAAATATGTTTTTCTCTCTCTCATTTTGACGCCTAATTTCTGCGGCTTACAAGTTTTGCGGCGATTTTTTGTCTGCCACGAAAAGCTAGGAGTAAAAACACGAAACAAGCGGCAAAGAAATTCGCATTGAACGTGACTTGAGCTAAGCGGTAGACATGAATGTGTTTGATTTTTATCAGCCGGGTCTACAATATTTCAGTTTTAGCCATTTACTTTGCGCTTTTTGCTTGCTTTTTGCCTTTTGACTGGCGCCCATTGTTACCCGCTGTTTTGATTTTTTGCTTTTTTCTTTTTTTTTAGCCCGAAGGCACAGCTGAAACTAGTTTTGTAGTTCCGTTTTCGTTGTGGCTTCGGGTTTCGCGTCTAGAAGTACTTAAAATCGAGGCTCCCAGCGACATTGGCAACGGCTACCGCTGGTCAACAAGCTGAGCATGAGTCTAATTCGTCATTAAAACTCATTTATTGAGGGTTATTTTAAATGTTGATGCTTGGGCTTTACGAGGGAATCGGCTGATGAGCCACTGGCTTCACAAGTTGCGCCAGCCAGTTCTGACCTCATGTTTCTGCCTCTCTTAATAACTTAACCAAGTTTCCCTTGACTCAGTATATGGGTAAATAATTTCTCCTTTGTGTGAAGAATAAATAATCTCACACTTGGAACTTAGGGAGCTTAAAATTTCACTGAGATGAGAATCTTGTATGGCATTGTGGTTAGTTCAAATCCGGTTTAAAAAAATTATATATACTTTATATATTACTTTAAATATAAAATATTACTTGGAAATATCCGCAAATGCAGACAACCAACTTCCATATCTAAAAGATTCTGGAGAACCTATGCTATTTAGTCGAGCACACTTATACCCACTTCCTTTAACAAGAGTCCGACTCAAGGCGGTTCAAAAGTCTTGGCCTGCCACACCCCATTAAAGGTTCAGATTTGAAAGTGTTTCGGAATGAATTTAGCAAACTCGTATTCAACTGCAGCCGCGGTGGTTTTCTGCGTGGGGTTGGTCTAAGGTAAGAGCTTGCATTTAAGTCCACTTCGGTTTGCCAATGTTGATTTAATTCGCCAACGGTGGCGAAGGCGGCGGAGGAGTGGAGAGGGGGTGGTGGGGGGAGAGGGAGTCAACTAGCCAGACGACTTTTCATTTTCGGCCAAAACAAACACGAAAACGAATGCACATTGTCCAGATCGGAGAGCAAAAAGCAGCATGTGACTCACGGCTGGGGTTTCGGGCACGCCTTTCGCTAGCATTTGGGTTTTGCATAATTAGTGGCGAGCGGCAACGAGTCGTATGAGTAATGCAATAGTCAAGTTCGTTGCCTAAGTCTTTCGTTTCGAACTGTAAATCAATACGAGCGAATAAGCGGAAAATCTAACGCTGCAAAGGTTTAAGCTCTGGTTGAATGAACTCACCATTTTTGGAGCTTTCTTTGCCAGTTCTTCGGCGGAGATTATAAATCCATCAGCACACCTTTTGGCAAGCCCACACGCATTTCTCGGCTTAGTTCATGAACCCCCGAAATCCGAAATCCGCCATTTGTCATCATTTTCAAAGAGCGGAGTCTTTGTTTCTCCCGCCAAGTGAGCACACACATCGCCCAAGAGCCAAAATTATACACACAATCATATTTCCCGTCTTTACTTTATTTTGTGCCCGCTTCAAGGTCACTTGAAGCTGTTGTTTGCCTGTTATATAAACAAGTTAACTACACGACGGCTGAGAGAACTGGTATTCGAGCAGCTCGAGCGCGGATTCGCCTTTTAATTATACAAATTTTACGCTTGCGTTGGCGTTGGGGTTCCTCAAGCCCAAAGCTTTCCGAGAATGCGAGAGAACTGGGAAATATCCAGCAGAAGTTGAAAATAAGCGCCTTCAGTGCTGAAAAGGCCATTATTTGGTGGAAAAGGCGTTGCATTCAACGCAGATAAAGACCATTACATTGGCCAGACAACAATATTTTGATGGCCAGCAAACCACAAATTAACCAATTAATAGGCCATGCATCACCGAAAAAGGGAAAGGTTCCCAGACCCTGAAGATGATGCAAGTGTCGGATGGGCTGATGCCCCGTCGCTCCATCAATCAACATTCCTAATTACTTCTTTAGACGCCGAGTCGTAACAATAGAAATGAACATAATTATGGTTCTGTGCGATACGTGGAAGTGCTAAAAGTTCCACGAGGAGAGGAACCCAACCCCCAACGCTCAGTTCTGTTGGGTCAGCCAATTAGCAACAGATTCTGGCCCATAATGACCGCACACATTGTGTGGAAAATGTGAATGGACCCGGGACACCAAGGCCCCGATGACACATTACTTATGCGCCGCACATCCAGGAATGGGTATTGAAAACCGGGAATCGGGGACTGGGAAAAGCGGATGCAAGACGGATGTCCGTGATGGGGTTGCATGAATAGCCCGATGGCCAAACCCCATCCATCCCAACCATATTTGTCCCCGTCTCCGGATGATGTAACTGGCCGGCGAACTTGGCAGCCAATTTTGGCCACAGGCAACGGCAACCTTGGCAAACAGGTTCAGATCTCCATGGAAGATGGGGACACTTTTTTCGCCGAAGCAAAACGCAGATAAAACCCATTTAATTTGCACAGAAAACAGATTGCAATGCTTCTTCAATTTATTCCCCCAAGTGCCCCCAAGTATTCCGTGAATTTCGAGCAAGGCAAACTCGAGTCGAAGCCAACCGGTTTGGCTGATGGATTTTTGGCACATCCACAGCGACTGGCGATTTATGAAGTCATCTTTTAAGGCTGTTTTGCCTTCGGTTTTGTTTTTGCAAACGGTACAAACTTCGATTTTCTGCCTGATTTTAACTGTTTCTCTTTTGGGTTTTCTCTGGTTTTCGGTTTGGTTTTTTTGAAAAACACTCACCTCTATCCAACTTCGCCCTTTTTGCGTAATCCAATTGGTTATGTGTCCGTTGTTTTGCGATTTTGCTATGCTTTAAACTGGTTCCCCCGGAACGATGATGATTTTTAAATATTTTGCCGAAATTTTGGTTTCACATTAGTTTGATGGTTTTTGTGTACTTCCTTGGCGGCTATTTTTTTTTGCGGGCTTCCTCTATAATTATTTCGTTTTGAGGCGAACACTCGTTTTACATGTTAACGCTGCGGGAATTGCACATTTAAGAGTTGGCCAAGAGCGGCCAAAGAGTCGGAAAGAGCGGCTCCTTGGCGAATTGTGGCGAATAATCCGAGTTGTTGTTGCTGCTGCTGCTGCTATTACGCTGTCTCAACACAAAAGACTGAGGCAACAAACTTTCCGACACTTTTACACTTCCCCAGAAAACCACGCGAAATATGCAAAAGACTCACAAATCATTCAGCACGTATTCGCTGATGAACCCGGTTCAACCACCCGCCGAGCTTAATAGCTTCCCAAGGGCAACAACCATCAGAGGGAAACACGACAAAATATCACAAGAAACACAACAGCAACAACCGCAACAATTTCAAATCTCGAGGGCCAAGCCGACAGCTTTTCCAACTCCGGAAAGGCGTCCCAAATCCGTTTGCACGATCCAATTAGAACCGGGTAAACGGAATCCCAGCCGTACTGATCGAGGCACTCAAAGAACTCACGCACGATTTGGGTTCGAAGCGAATCGTAAACGGATCGTATGGGCTCGAAGTTCGTTGAGCGTAGTGGATGTGTCTCGCACATCAACCTGGCCAAGACTGACTCGGCCCGAAGCCGAGGCGATCGCACTCCGACAAAACACACAAAACCGACAAAACCGTCAAGACGGCGAGCCAACAACCGGTCTTGCCAAGATTCGGAGTAGCGTCGCTCAGTCGTTCCGTTTTTCGGAGCAATTGGCAAGTTCGCTCTTAAAACGAGCTCTTTGTGAAGTGTACATCGCAGCTATTGTGTGGCTGCCGTTTTGTGGTCGCCCTGGTGTCGCCGCCAGTTTTCCAGCAGCAACACGTCGTCCAGTTGGACTGCACTTGGCGATCGCCGGGACTGGCGGCCACGCTCCGCTGGCTCCCTTCAGTACACCTACGGCCCCAGATTGTCTTTCTAATGAGGGCGGCATAATTAGAGGGCCGGACGGTGGTTATCCCATATCTGTACACTTAAAATAAAAATTTAAAAACATTTTAAAAAAGCGGTTGTAATAAAATCAGAATAGAATGAAAAAGATGATTATTCTGCACCTAATGTTTGTAACGTTACGTTATAAATAATTATTATAATTCACATTTGTTTAACATCGTTCTAATTTGCTAAATGTCCGAATTATATTTAAAAAAAAAACAATACTTTTAGTTTTGGTTTATAAGGTTTTTGAAAAGACCCACCAACCAGCGCGAGCGTCATGCTTTTGGCCACAGCTGTGCTGTCGCAAGTGGAAGCCAGGTTCTGCTCAAACTTGGCAACAAGCCGCTGCAATTATGGCCAGTGAGTGGGTTGTCACCAGAACACCTTGATGACGGCATATATAGCCACTGGTAGGCTGATTGGATCCACGAGCGGCCTCTCGCCGTGGGACAGATCTTGTGCCTTCTTTTGTTTTACTTCGGGTGCACATAAATCTTGAACTTGCTTTTACATTTCGTGAAAAAAGAGCACCCTTGCTCCCTCGAAACGACAGGTAACACCGTACAGGTAGCTGTGACACCTAGCGGAGACCCTGAATTGTTGTGATAGTCGGGGCTGTTTCCCTTGAAGTCGCGCGTTTCTGTTTATGCTTTTAGTTATACCCATATTTATGGTTATTATGCGTGTTCTCCTTCTTGACTTTCTGATCCCCTTGGGTTAAGGTGGACGAATTATTATTTTCAGACGTGAGAAAATGCAGATAAGCTGTTCAATCAATTACCACTTTTACGCATAAGAAATTTTACATAAATTTAAGACGATCAAAGGAGTCTTATATTCATTACTCTTTTTTAAGTAATTTCTTAATTAATATCTCTAATCTTAAATCTTATAAAAATTTTAATCTTGCACTGAGACTCTTAAATTATTTGTAGTTCAGTTACATCATTCAAATTCTGAAGAGTATTAGCATAGTCAGCCCACGCGATTTGCCATCTACTGTGTGAATTATAACACCCACACCTGGCCAAGTTGATTGAGTGCCTCAATCCGCAAGTGAGTTCCTGTTCCAAGCAACAGTCGTCCGGGGGAAATCGAACAAACCGAAAAACCCTCCCTCAATAGCAACAGGACGCGACTCCCGCAGGACCCCTTCAATTCCCAAAAGCCGGCCGGGGAGCCAGGAAAAGGTAGCCAGGGGTAACTGTCACTGTTTGGCGTCCAGAAGTTTTATTTACTCCTAGCGAACGTATTATAACAACTTTGATAGAGTCGTGTGGAGATCGAAAGCAAATTCAAGCTGAGAAAAATTCAATGTGTGTAGTTTGTCCAGGCTTTTTATCAAATCAGAATCCCTATTGCAAGAAACTTAGTTGCTGTCCCCGGCTCGATCCAACGTAATGGCCGAGCTCCTGTCCCGCGAGAAGGAGCTCTTTAAGATCAACCAAGAGCTCAATCTGCTGTCCCTCAGCTCCGCCGCCGATGCCATGTACCCGGCGAAAGGATCTCCCGTCGCCTGCGGGGTGGCGCTGCCCCGATACTCCACCTTTCAGAAGCAGAAGGGTCCGAGCAGCCTGCTCCGGAAGAAGGGCGTCACCACCGCGCCCGCAAAGTGCTCGCCTAAAACTCCTCCTGGCAAAGAAACGGGGCCGTCGATCCGCGGCACAGCCACGTCGCCAATACCCGAGACGAGTCTGCAGTCCAAGTCTAAGAAGACTGGGGACTGGAAGAACGTCAAGTCCACAGCTGGACCTTCCTCCCCCACCAGCCGAACGGTGTCCAAGTTCAGCACCTTCACACGGGATGTGAGCAGCAAGACGGCCACGTTCGTCAAGTACCGGAACCCCAACTTCAGCGAGAGCCCCTCGTTGGACGAACTGATGCGGCACGACGCCGTGGAGATCGCCCGGAAGCCGGAAGTCGTCGAGGTGGAGGTCACCCAGAAGCAGGAGAGCACCACCGTAGTCAATGGTCACCTGAAGAAGCAGGTCACCAAGGACAATTTTATTAAGTAAGTGAAGGGGGCTTTCGAAAGGGGAAACAATCTGGGAATGCCAGATAAATACAGTTCCTTTAGGTGAATTGGAAATAAAGTTTATAAATTCTTAATGTTAAGCAAGCAAGCCACCTTCCACTTCCAGATTCCTCAAGGCCAAGGTGGCCATTCTGGAGGAGGATCACGCCCACCATGCCGGCGAGCTGAGCCGCCAGAAGGAGCAGCTTGAGCTGGCTCTGGAGGCGCAGCGCAAGTCGGAGAACCAGCGCGACCAGGCGATCAGCTCCAACAAGCACCTCTCCGAGCAACTCCTGCGAGCCGAGCGGCAGAGCGAGGACGCCAGCCGGCGGCAGAAGGAGCGGCAGCAGGAGTTCATCGCCCAGCAGCGGGAGCTGGAGCAGCTGAAGCGGGACGCCAAGGTGTCCCGGCAGACGGCCATGAACCTGGAGAACCGACTGTCGCGCGCCCAGGAGGATGCGGACACGGCGCGGCTGGAGTTGAAGCAGGTGCGCGAGGAGCAGCGCGACCAGGCGGAGGAGCACCGCAAGGAGCTGAAGCAGCGGGACAGCCGGATCCGGGCCCTGAAGCGGCAGCGGTGCGACCTCCTCAACGCTTACAAGAAGCAGTTGTACATGATCGACAACCTGAAGCGCCAGACCGTCTGCATGGAGCAGTCGGCGGCCATCGGCTTCGGCGAGAAGGAGTTCAACAAGGTGCTCGAGTGGAACGCCAAGACGTGAGCATCCTGTCCAGCCCTCGGATGGCAGCCTAGTTTAAGCACAACCCACCGATGTAAATAATAAGAATGTAATTACATTTTATGGTCCCTCACTCGAACAAGTCCCCAAGCAATCGCTTTTCAATTAGGCCGGGGGTAACTCGATTAGCCGGGCTGGAATCCTTCTGCTCGGCTGGCGGGTATAAAAGTCAGCGGTTCGGCTCAGATTGGCACAGAATCATCCTGCTTCTACCAGCGCTAAGACCACCAGCCACTGCACACTGCCCACAACACTCAGCGACAACTGCAAGATGGCTCTGCGATTCACGCTCACTCTGCTCCTGGTCACTATCCTGGTCACAGCCGTTCTCTTGGGCTCCAGCGAGGCGGCCTACCGGAAGCCTCCCTTCAACGGCAGCATCTTCGGCAAGCGCAACAGTCTAGGTAAGCGGAAATCCGTATCCTTGTAGCGAATCCATACCCCTATCCGTTTCCCCATCCAGACTACGACAGCGCCAAGATGAGCGCCGTTTGCGAGGTGGCCATGGAGGCGTGTCCCATGTGGTTTCCCCAGAACGACAGCAAATAGGACCACGCCCTGCGACTCCGCCTCCAAGAACTGATCTCGAGCCTACGACACATACACCAGCGACAGGTGGGCAGCAGGTGCTGCGCCTGCTCCTGCACCTTGGACTGAATGGGGAAATGCCAGACGTTAGAAAAGTCATGTATAAAATTTATAGTGTAAGCCGTGCATATAGGTACATAGAACTTATGCCATACATATACGTACAATACTCAATAAACCTACAGCACTGAACTCGCCCTCTGCAAAGTTACTGAAATATTCTAATAGATACCTGGCTGCGGACAGCACTCGCTTGAGATACAATGGGATTAAAATTAAAATACAGTTTTGCGGACCTCCTAGTGGGTCCTGGGAGCTCGGCCACGCCCCCTTTGCCTCAGTTCGTTGACATGCTTGCGCAGATTGGTTATATATTCGGTCATGGAGGAGGTGAGAGCCTTGAAAGAGTTATTATCTGATTAAACAAGGAAAATAAGGGGGATTTTACGACTTACTGCATCCAGGACATAGCGGGGAATATATCCCTTAAGGTCCAAGCAAAGCACCCATTCCACAATGCAGCTATCCGACTTGCCAACTATTTCACGAAAGGCAAACCCACTGACAATGTTCTGACCTCTGAAATTGAAAAAGCCCGTTAATTTATATTCACATTTAAATTCGCAAACCCACCTTGTGTATTTGGAAGAGGGCGGAACCCCCGCATATTGCACACTAATCGCGGAGGTAACCCAAACTTTATCCTTAGTTTTCCCCACGCTGGGTGGATTTGGTTTTGTCATGCTCTCAGCCTCACCATCTTCCTTGTCCTTGGCGTCCTCGAACGCATCTTGGTCCAGCGGCGGTGGCTCTTCCTCAAAGTTTACAATGGGCCCCAGGCTTTTGGCGCCCAAACTGTTGCCCAAGGTGTCAAAGGGAATCGCCGGCCCCTTCGATGAGCTGGGGAACGTGGCCTTGCAACTGGACACGCTGCTTGGCAGCAGAGGAGTCGACTCGCCATCCGAAATAGTGCTAACACTTCCCTCGCAGGAACGGTTCAGACTGCTGTTGCCCTCGTCATCACTGCTCAGTTGAGCCGCCTCATCGTCGTCGCAGATTTTGCCATTGTAAAATAGACGACAAGAACGCAGGTTTACAAAGTCTCGGCTTTTTACCATGCCACCTCCGCCTCCGACAGACACCTGGTAGGTTATATCGGTATACGAATTGATTTTCTGAAATTAACCCAATAATAAGAAAGGCTCTTGTTTACGTGTTGTGTAGATACCCACCCGCACAATTTTTGATTCCAGCAGAGCAGGATTCCACTTGGGACATTCTTCAATGCGGTAGAAAAGATCTTCCATTAGCGCCTTAGCAGGATACTTGATGCGGGCCTGCAGATAGTATGAATTAGATGATAATCAAAGAAAGTTAATAATTCGCTTACCGTCACTTTGTAAATCTTTCCAACCTTCTCCCGTTGAGTGCTGTGAACGGTGTCGCCCTTTTGTGTCACCTTCTCCACCTTCCAGTCACTGGACTCAATGATTTCATAGGCCTTTCGCAGGCAATCCAAGCCCATTTGGTTGTACTCCTCATCCTTAGGAAAAACGAATAATAAAAATTAGCAAGGCAGAAAAGTCTTCAAAGAAACAACTACCGATGTCATCTGAACAGAATCTTTCTTTCGCTGATCAACCCAGCATCTTATATAGTCGCTAGATATACTTTCTTATTCCAGATCGATTTAGAAATGCGCATTCATGAATACCTTACCTCCTCTTCCTCTTCGTCGGAATGACGAGCCGTGTCCATGGGTGAATAAAATTCGGTAACACTTTGCGGCGGTCGTTCGTGCTCAATCAATATAGCAGGCTGTTCCATGGGGGTGCGATCGTTTGATGTCATTGCTTTAACACGAATTCCAATTAAATATGTAGAATAAGATTAGGATTAGCTGTTATACTTCGAAAATAGTGTTGGGCATGACGTTCCTGCGGAATCACTCTACAATCCAGGAACCAGGCTTCTCCCCAAGCCAAAATAAAGGATGTTATTATGAGGATCACTTCGAATACTTGTTGTTTAGAGTCCAGCCACTAATCCAAAGAGAAAATAATGTGAGTTTAAAGAAATCTTGAATGGTAGACAAATCTTACATCGAATACAAACACCTTGGATATCAGGAACAGGCAAGACCCACTTGTAGAGAGCTAAAAAGAATGTTTTAAATAATTTGTTCCTTATTACTAATAGCACCTTACTACAATTGAATAAAGATAAATAAGATAATCAAATCAAAAATGAAACCCACCGCTATGATGGACCAGTGATTGATGTATAATATGGCGTAGAAAAAGATAAGCACCACGAAACGGCAGATGGCGATGACCACAACATCGAAGAGCGATTTATAGATGGTGTACTCCACGATCTGTTTGTGGAAGGCAGTGAATATATTGTCCCCATTGATCTGTAAACGAAGTTAATTCAAACGAACTGCATCTAATTAACATAACTCTATTGCATACCACAATGCAAATGAGCCAGAGTAAAGAAACAAAAACCAAGTCGAAGGTGACAAAGAGGCAGAAAAACCGGCGAACCACCGACATCCTTCCATCTTGCATGTATCCGGCTAGGAAGTCCTCTGTGATCAGGTTGATGGAATGTGCTCGCGCTAAAATAGGTTCAAGCTCTTTATTATTTGGAGGGATTCATGTACCTCGTTATTTCTTCCTGTACTCACACATATCATACTGCATGTTGTAGGCGCTGTTTCCTTGCCGAGCATTCGACAAAATCAGCTGGGCGGTACTACGGACATCATTCGGATCCATTTGAGGCATGGCAAATAGGATTCACTCAGCTTAGCTCATGTCTTGAATGCTGGAATATGAGGATTAATCAATTCGCTGCATAGATTTTGAGTATGACTAATTTTTAGGTCCAAAAACCAAAGATAACAAACTATGCCATATGCACTTTATATATACCTTGTTTGCAATCGAATGATTCTACAAACTAGGTCTTAAATCTGGAGCAGAAACTATTTTAGGTATAGATTACTGGCATTTATAGATTATCGATACGCACAAGTGACTCTTTAGCTTCGGCGTCTTCCCTTTGTTTTTTGTCTAATCATAAACAAAAGTTATCATACTGCAGAAACCCGCATAATTTTGCAAGGAGTAACTTTCTATTTCCGGTAAAAACGATTAATAGCAAATAACAACCTCTGCAGATGCAAGTAAACGTCTGCTATTTGCCGTTTAATTACTAACATTTATTTGTCCCAGTTTTAGGCCTTTTTAAATACACTATCTGAACAAAAGAAGCACCGACGAAAATCAACAAAACAGCTGATTAGTGTGCCGCAAATTGGGTAGCCAAAAAATACCAACCATCAAAAAATACTGAATTGATTAAAAGAGCGGGACCGACAGTATTTGAATCTGTGCTGAATCAAAAGTTGTATTTATAATCTCTGCTTAATTACTTAAGTGAATGGATATAATTTTAATGTCATCGTAGGGCTTGTCCGTTTTCGGATTCGCCTTTGCATTGCAAATATTGAGAACTACTTCCATGCCGCGGTACACTCGTCCGAAAACAGTGTGCTTGTTGTCAAGCCATGGCTGAAATATTTAATTTTGTTAATAGATAAACTTTTTCCTAGATAAAAAAAAAATTACCGTGGGCAAGACTGTAATGAAGAACTGACTGCCATTCGTATTTGGACCCGCATTCGCCATGCTGACCGTATAGGGACGATCATGTTTTAAGCTTGGCACGAATTCATCTTTAAAATCGCTTCCCCAAATAGATTTGCCACCTGTTCCCGTTCCCGTGGGATCGCCAGTCTGAACCATGAAGCCCTTTATCACACGATGGAATATGTGGCCATTGTAGTACCTATAGACGAAGTGTTATTAAAATGCTTTGAACAAACTATCCTGAAGGTTTCCTACCCATTTTTAGCATGAACACAAAAGTTCTCCACGGTTTTTGGCACCTCCTTGAAGAACAACTTCATATGGACATCTCCTTTCGTGGTGTGGAGCACCACGTTCTCATAGATACGTTGCACGACTAGAATAGATCAAACATTTTGTATTAACTTGGTCTTGAAATATCAGATAAGGATAACCTTCGTCTTGAGAAACGGTTAGCGTGCAATTAAAACAGGTTAGTTGTTAGTAAACAAGTAAAAATGAGACAAGCGCTGACTATATACCTGTGGCCTCTGGCACCGCGATTATATCTTCCTTCGAAGGCTTCTCGTTAAAGATGTCACGATCGACATCTTGCAGGTCTGAGGGCAGTCTTCGGCTGAACAAGTAAAAACGGTTTTTCCTAATAAAATCTGAATTAGAAAACATTCATAGTTTAACTTTTGTGATAACTAACTTGTAGGCTGTGCAAAATGCTGTTGGATCATTTAAAATATTCTGCAGTGCTGGGTTCTCGCTAGCCTCTTGTTCCAGTGTGATGGCTGCTTTTTGTCGCTTGATCCTGCCCTGGAAAAGGGCAACCTGCAGCGGCCGAATGTTGTCCGTTTTCCCTAGAATAGTGACGCACCGATTTGTCACCACGTTGATCACTTTGATGCCCAGCATCGTTGGATAGAGCAGGAAGTTGCCAGTGCTATCGAAAATAATATTGAGGGTCGTGTTTTGAGCAGTCTTCTCCAGATCCCGCTCGGCCGCCATTCTATAAAATGTATAATTAATATTTGATAAAGATGAACATTAAAGAAGTAGTGCACCTCCGGCCAAACTCCATGTTGGGCAAGGCATGCTGCGTCTGCTGCATTTGAGTGTAGGTGGAAAGGGCTTCATCAAACACACGGATTAACTTGCCAGTGTTAAACTGAAAGACGCGGACCTTGCGATCTGTCGATATGGCGGCAAACCTCTTACCATCTGGCGTTGCAGCCAAACCGGTGACTTGAGTCTTCTGCTTAGCAAACTCAAAGAGGCCTATATGGAAAATGATCCAAATTTAATAGGAGATAAGTTAACTGCGTTTACAAACTATACTTGTGTCAAGCTTGGAGTCAAAATTGACCAGACGCTGCGGAAACTTGTAGTCGTGCTTGGAATTCTGCCAGTACTCCAGAATGCCATTGCGATCCACTGAAATCACTGTTTCCATGGCCACATTAAGGCACATGGCGACCACAGGAGCAGAGTGCAGTTTCTCCAGCGTGTGCAAGACTTCTCCACTTCCTTGCCCATCGTAGATGTGTATGCAGCTGCTCTCCGAGTCCGAACTAAACGCAGAGATGTATAAGTTGTGCATCCCTTAAACTCCGACAGCATACTTACATAGCCAATCCTTGGACGGCATCTCCTGGTCCATTTATCCATTCACTGCACTGTGGCGTATAACCCAGTCGAATGATGTTGATCATATCAAAGTTGACCACATCGAAAACCTTGGCTGTCTGATCCGTGGCCGCCGAGCAAAGCAGTGTGCCACTATCATTGGTGGTCAGCGATTTGATAGGTACTGCAAGTTGTGGTGATTAGTCAATGAAAATAAATTCTTTGAGGCATAAACCCACCTAGATGGCTGCGGAAATGCTTTACAAACTCAATTCCCAGTTCGCCCTTCTTCCAGAATTTAATGTGGCCATCTACACTGGCGGTCACCACAAAATCTGTCTTAGTGCACACCAAATGGGTGATCACATCGCGATGCATGTAACTCCTCTCGTAACTCTCCGCATTGGGCAGGTTCTCCAGGAATATGTGCTCGTAGGGCAGGACTATGAAGAGTTTATTGGATTAATAACTATTCGTAGTAAGAGCAAGAGGATTAATTATTACCCTTCTTCTTTTTTGCTGGCACAGGGGCGCTTTGCTCAGAAGGCATGGGTCCTATCCAGGCGTCCTCCTCGCCCTCCGCCTCCTTTTCGTCTGAAGTTCCATTTTTGGGTTCTCTGTCCTCCTCCGGCGCACTGCGCTTCAGATCCTCTTTGGTTCTATCGCTCATTTTGGAAAATTATAAACAAAAACACAGGAAAATAGACGCTTTTCACGTTTACCCGGAACAAAAACAGATGTTTAAGGCCGTTTTTCAGCACCGGAGTCCAAACGGCGGAAATTTTCCAGTGTTGCAAAAGCTTCCACGTCAGCTGATTTTGGCCAGGGGTGAACGGCGCTTCTGGGCGAATGGCTCGCAAAATTCACACAAATTGCAAACACAACAAGGCACGGATATTTAAACAAATTACTTGTATATAAAAACGCAAGCCCAGCGATGCAGAACACATCGGACGAGGAGGGCGCAACGCCCAGTCGATCGGCGGGGGGCGTGGCTGCCGGTGGAGCAGCGGACGTCGACGATAGCGGAGGCGGGGGAAGCGGAGGCACAAACAACGCAAGTGGCGGCATCATTGTTTTGAGAGCTGCGCTGGGAGAGAACGAGACGAGAGCGGTAATCAATAAATGGCGGGTTCGCGAGGGACAGTTCGTGTCGGCGGCCCAAATCCTGTTTCTCTACCAGCCCGTTGGCGAGGACGGAAAGCCGGGCGAAAAGGCGGGCGGCGACAGCTCCGTCCAGAAGTACAAGTCCCAGCGCGCCGGGGTGGTAAAGAAGAGGCTCCGAAAGGACGGGGAGCTCCTCTCGAAAGGGTGAGTTTCGGGGGTGGCTTTTGGGGCAGGGGCTGGGGGCGAATGCAATTATGCAGCCAGTATACACACTAACCGAGCCTGTCCTTTAGGGATGCCATTCTGGAGTTGTCCGAGTGCATACACACCACGGTCATCAAGGACATGTGCGCGGACTGCGGAGCCGACTTGCGTCAGAACGAGAATGTAAGTGCAACACCCGAACCACCACCTATATGTGTGCTGAATAATTAACCCTCTCCATCCGCAGGGACAAACCTCGGAGGCCTCTGTTCCCATGGTGCACACCATGCCTGATCTTAAGGTCACTCAGAAGCTGGCTCAGAAGCTCGGGCACGACGACACCCGCCGCCTGCTGGCCGACCGGAAACTAGTGCTGCTTGTCGATCTCGACCAGACGGTGATCCACACCACCAACGACACAGTGCCGGACAACATCAAGGGCATCTACCATTTCCAGCTGTACGGCCCTCACTCGCCGTGGTACCACACGCGCCTGCGCCCCGGCACCGCCGAGTTCTTGGAGCGCATGTCCCAGCTGTACGAGCTGCACATCTGCACGTTCGGGGCGCGCAACTACGCTCACATGATTGCCCAGCTCCTGGATCCTGAGGGCAAGTTCTTCTCGCACAGGATTCTGTCTAGAGATGAGTGCTTTAATGCCACTAGCAAGACGGACAACTTGAAGTGGGTATCTTTAAATAAGCTTTTACGTTTTAATTATTTAGTAAAAAGTTTTTTAGTTTTTTTTTTTTAATATTTTGCATTAATGATTTTCTAATGGTTTTGCTTTTAACGATAAAATACGATTGGCTTATTACAGAGCTCTGTTTCCTAATGGCGATTCCATGGTGTGCATCATCGACGATCGGGAGGATGTGTGGAACATGGCCTCCAACTTGATTCAGGTCAAGCCCTATCACTTTTTTCAGCACACTGGTGACATTAATGCTCCTCCGGGACTGTCCAAGCATGAACTAGACGGCGAAGGCGTTGACTTCAAGGGTGATTATTTGGGCTCCATTTCCTTAAAATGTTAAATCCATTCATAATATTTCCACTTCTTGCAGAGATTACCGAAAAGAAGGAAGAGAAAGACAAGAAGGAAACCAGCGCCGAAGTGAAACCAGAAGACACTGAAAAGAGCGACAATACTGTCTCAAGCACAAGCAAGGACGACGAGGGAAATGAGGAATCCGTAGACGTTTTCGAACTAGAAGCCGAAGCCAAGGACCCAGAGATCTCTAACTCTTCGAGCGCCGCTGAGGCACCCAAAGAGACGTGTGATAAGTTAAATGGCAAGACTGCGGCAGAGGAAATCTTGGCAGTGGACGACAGTTCGTCTGCGGAAAGGGCGGCCAGCGATGGCGAGGACGTAGTCGTTATTGACGAAAATTCCAAGGAAAGCACAAAAGCTGAGGTGGAAGCTGCCCCGTCAGAAGAAAACGAGGTGATAGCCTCATCCACCACCTCATCGGAGGAGAAGAGCCCGGCGGCCGAAGAAGATGTGGCCACCACGTCTAAAAGCACGCCTAGCATTCGCGCTCCCCTCGAAGGGCAGAAGCAGATTGAAATAGAGGACCCCGACGACTACCTGCTATATTTGGAGGTCATACTGCGGAACATTCACAAGCGATTCTACGCCATCTACGACGAGACTATGGAGATTCCCGATCTAAAGGTCATTGTTCCGAAGATTCGCTGCGAGGTGCTGCGCGGCAAGAACCTGGTGTTCTCCGGCTTAGTGCCCACGCAGATGAAGCTGGAGCAGTCGCGGGCATACTTCATCGCCAAAAGCTTGGGCGCCGACGTGCAGCCGAACATTGGCAAGGATATCACGCATCTGGTGGCGGTCAACGCGGGCACCTACAAGGTAAACGCCGCCAAGAAGGAGGCGGCCATTAAGGTGGTCAATGCGAACTGGTTGTGGACCTGCGCCGAGCGCTGGGAGCACGTGGAGGAGAAGCTCTTCCCACTAGACCGCAAGGTGCGCAACAAGGGCCGCCAGCCACCCGCTCATTGCCACAGTCCCGAGCACGTAGTCAACTACAGCGAGAAGTCCGAGATCTCGCCGTCCAGCAGCAAGCAGCAGGAAGAACAGAGCGGCAACTTTCGGGAGACCCTTAACCCGCTGTTGGTCTTCACCAACGCGGACATCGAGTCCATGAACAAGGACTACGAGACATTTTTCGAGTCGGACTCTTCCAGCGACGAGGGGCCCGTAAACTTCGGTGAGTCTTTTACATAATTTAACTCCGCGACATTTGCTAATTACTTGACTATTATTTTGTTTATTAAAGAAAACCCTCCCATGGACAAGAAACTGTTAAAGAGAAAGCGCGAAGATGATAACTCCAATCGAGCCCATGACTTCTTCACGCGTAGCGAGGATGTGATGATCGGGGCACCGAACATGTTGGAGTATGATATAAGTTCAAACGATGAGGCCGAAGACAATAACGAGAACGAGGATGACGACGATGAGATGCCCAGCGCTAAGTTTCGACGAGGTGGGTCGTTAATCACAAATGCCTTGAACCTCCAACTTATTCTTGGTTAAATTATTTTATAGGGGAAAAGCTGCCTTCCGATTTGGAAATGGGCTCCGACTCGAATAGCGAGAAGGACCCAGAGGACGAAGACGACGGAGAGTGGAACATGATGGGTGCCGCCCTGGAGAGAGAGTTCCTTGGCCTGGAGGACTAGCTGCCTAATCTTGACTTTGCCTCTTAGAAATTCAGCAAGATCCGCGAACAGCAGGCAGGGACAAATGTCCTCGCGCTGGAGGGCCTGCTGCTCGGCCATTTAAGACATTTCTAGTTCAAGTTCTGACATTTCTGTAGAGCATGGAGGAACAAAAAATAATGAGTTTCGTGCTAGAGTGGAGCATCCGGGTACGCTTATACTTAGGTTCCGTACTGTATGTATTAGCTGTTAATATGTACTTTTAAAGTAGCCTGTAAGAGATCGCACATTGGCCGGCGAGGCGGTCCTCCAATCGCAGTGAATTTTTGAATCAAAAACTCTCATTCTGATATATTGTAAATTGAAGCCTATTGTAAATTTTAAAAATAAATTCCGTTTCAGCGGACTAGTATCTAGTGTTTAATTTAAAAACGAATGTACACCACACCAGTAGTTGTTTATTGTTTGCGTTGAGTTTGTAATACAAATCCACATTAAACTTGAACAAATATAAATGTAATTCCCAGCTGGAGTTTCACTCTTCGCTACGTTTTGTTGAGAGCCCGCTGTTCCTTGAAGCGACTGACCCGTTTTTTCGGTGCGTGCGAGTCTATGAACTTGCCCTGCGGCAGAGGTTCCGGTGCCGTGGGCTCCTTCTCCACGAGATCATGCATGACCTTTGTGTAGGCACTCATTTCGCGCAGTTCGTCGTCCAGGGTGCGATCCTTTTTCTTTTGCTTTCGACCTTTCTTCCCTTTCTTTGGCTGCTGGTTCACGATGTGTGGCTCCAGCTCCACAGCCTGTTTGTTTCGCAGTATTGACTTGGTGACTGATTCGGGGTCAGTGGATTCTCCCGCAGAAGTACTTGGTTTGGAAAACTGTAAGGATAGAAGGTAACAATTTTTTCTGAACCTCTTTGAATTGCCTTACCTGACTTCTCGGATCTTCATAAGCTACCCCGCGCGAGGCTTCGCTCAATATGGGCACTTTAACCTGCTCCTCACCCTCGAATCCGTTTACGTAAATGGGAAACGATGGATTCAACTGGGCCCGGTCCTTCTCATATTTCCTATAGAAGTCCGCTGGGTTTCCTGGTACGTCATTATCTTGATTACTTCTGGGTAAAAGTACGGCATCGGAATGTTTAAAACTAATGTGTAAAGTATTAATACGCCCAGTGGACTCATCCAAGATACGATTAAGCAAATCGAAGTCCTGGACACTTTGATTCTCCTTGACAAACTCAATGCTTTTCTCCACCTTTTGCAGAATATCAGAGTCTGTTTTCCGCTCGTTTTTACTGACTGTTGGTTCCTGAATCACTTCTGGCTTGACAGGTTCATCCAGCTTTATAACATCCCTTGACTTTTTCTTCGCATTGGGCAACATTTCGGCCACAGTTTCCTCTCGTCTGAACTCTAGCTTTTCGTCGGCGGTGGCAAAGGAAATGCGCCGTTTGTTTGTGCTGGTATCAGGTATGGTTTCAGGTACTTCAACGGGCTCCTCTTGTGCATCGTTTTCCTTGCTGGCCTCCAGCTCCTGTTCGAATATCATATCCTGTAGATCATCCTCTAGCATGACCACCACGTTCATTAAATGAACCAGTTCGTCACTGATAAAGTTAACTTTTTGAATCTGTCGCATTTTCGCTTTAAGCACCTGCAGCTGAGCTCTGAGAAAGGGTTCACGTTCTTCACTGGGCAGCAGAGACATCTGCTCTCGAACAGTCCGCACCTCCTCCTCCTCCTGTTCAACATCATCTTCGTCTTCATCTGATATGGCATCTTCTGTTTCCGTTGGTTTTTTAATGCCTCCTATACGCTTTTTGGTGGAAGGAGCTTCAGATCCGCCCGACATAAGTTGTTGCACTAATTCGTCTGTGATTTTTAAACTGGTCTCGGCTTCTGAACCGAGATCTGTAGTTTCGTTCAGCTCCTCAGCTTCTAGCTTCTTCCAGAGCGCCGACTCTTCCTCTTCTGTTAAGGCCGTAGACGGAGGTTCGGTTCTCGATTCTCTGGGCCCTCCATCAAAAAGTTCCTGGAGTTCCTCTTCGTTTATGTTATCGGGATCCAGACCAAGTTCCTCCATCATCTCGCGCTCCTCCAGCTTTTTCAGCACATCATCGGTACCTGGAGGTTCCGCCTGTCGTTTGAGGCGTTCTTTTTGCTTCTGCTGGCGCACCCGTTCCCTGTGCTCCGCCATCCACTTGCTATGCGACTCCTCGTTGAAGTCTTCCACGATTTCCACCTGATCCCCACTAGGAACTGCACCCTCCGTAAATGGTGTGTTAAGTTTGTTACTGCAAAGACAAGCGTAAGCACTACATTTTTAAACCTTAATAACCAGATTAACTTACTGCCAAAGATCGGACTCGATTTGCAGTTTTTTCAGCTGCTCCTCGGCCAGTTTTAGGCGGTGGCGACAGATCTCCTTCGCCTTGTGGGCAGAGCAGGCAGAAAAGTAACCCTTGTAGTGACCCACCAGAAGCTCGTTGGTGTGGATCAGCTCTCCGGGCATCAGGGCCTTCCGACCAATTGGAACCATAACCTCCACACTGAGATTTTTGGCGAACAAGTCCAGATTCCGGATTGTGTTCTCATTGTCGATTTTGAAAGTCTGCCAGCGATCCGTTTCACTAGCGTTCTTATCGAGAGCCTATCGTACGGGTTTATTAACAGTAGTCCCAAATTAAATATCCTAATAAACAATTTAATACCTGTCGCAAAGCATCCTCTCGCCGGTCCATTTTTGTTGTTTTTTGGTCTTTAGTGTGAACGTGGCGTAACTTTTAAAATATACCATCTAATTTATAAAAATGCTAAAATATATTTATAAATGGAAAATTATGTTATAAAAATGAAGATATATATATATATTGTTCTAAATTTGTGTTTTCCCCAATGATTAAGAAAATATTAGGCGGTTAAATGGATTTGAATTGATGGCTTGACTAAAAGCATCTTAGCTCCCATAGGCAAATTTCGAAAAGCAAGTTTTTTATAAATTGTTTTTATTTTCATTAACAAGTTTTCTGACTTAAAATTATTGGAAGCTGTTAAGAGCAAAGGTAATATTTTGGGCTTACTTTTTCACAAAACAAAACAAAATAAACAAAGTGAACCAATTGTACATGTTTTGATGATAATTTAAAGCTTCAACCCAACAAAAAAAATATATGTATATGTAATAGATAAGGTATGGCAACCGATTTATGAAGATAATGTAAAAGGTTGAAAATCGGCCCGATAAAATCTGCTCTTGACTTGCAACAGCAATTCAATTTAATGATAACCAAGCTCCCGATAACCATATGCTCTGAAGCGATAAGGGGGCTTCCCAAGAACAAGTTAAACAAACATGTCCACTGGCCATTGACTAATCGGACTAATTAAAACGTCAAAATGTGGTTGATTTGAACTTTATTAGGTTGCGGGCGTTTGCTAAACACAAGCTCACTCGTAAATATTAAAAACGCATCCCTTGCTCACTTTGCTATTGCTTGGACTAAGTCACATCGAACACAATGCTTCGTAGGGCGCGCCTCAAGGTGTGACACATGTATTTCGGCTAGTTCACATTCAGATTTCCACTTCCTGGGTTTCCTTTTGTTTGAAACGGTCGGTATATACATAGAAAATATACAGGGGTAAAGCTTTTGTCATCCTACGATCCGTGCGCCTTAGTTGCGGTGCGAAATGGAAGCCGAGCTTCCGAGCACGGGAAAGTTTTTGGTCAGCTCATGCACCTGCTGGTGGGCTTCTAAGTCGGCGGTGATGAGGATCTGTTTGCAGACTTTGCAAACATCAAGTGTCGGCACGGATTTACGTTGGGCGGGTGGCAAACTGTTCAGATGCTGTTTGTGCACTAGATAAAGTTCCTGGAATTCGACAAAATCAGAGGGTTACTAGATGAAGAAACTTCGTAGGTAAGGGGTCTAACCTGTTGCTTGCTTATATCTGGCAGCATGGCCAGAAGCTCTGGGAACAGATTGTAGAACGAGTCCAGCATGGCGCACTGGCAATGCTCGTAGTATGCTTGACCGGAACAGGATCCCTCCCGGAACTTGGACGAAAGCATGCGAAATTCGTTTAACGCCTCGGGGGTCTTAAGCTGGCTCATAACCTGGTCGACCAATTTCTGAATAACAACGAAGGTTATATCAAATATAATTCCAAGTTCATGATTGTCCAGGATTCGGCCTTACCTGATTACGCAAACCAGTATCTGGCGGGTCGGTGTACGTATACGGACTCGGTACAATGTTATAGGACTCACCCAGCGAACTGGTGAACGTGAGATTGTTGGGCAGCTTGGCCACCGAGTTGACCGTCACATTAGACACGAAACCGGGTGGTGGCTTGAGCGGTCCGCCGGATCCTGAGCCAGGAGAACGAGTTGGCGTGGGCGGATCCCCGTTGCATGTAGATTTTGGTTCGTTGTTGTTCTTTTCTTTTTGCTTGCCCGTCTTAGGCTGGTTTTCTTGATTGCTCTTTTTATCCTTCGGTTTTTTATCCTTCTTGTTGCCGTGTTGCTCCTGGACATTGTTATTGTTTGCCTTGGGAGCGGATTTAGCTGCGGGTGTGGGCAACACTGGGGCAGGTGCCACTTTGGCCTTGCGATTCTCCAACTCTCGCTGCTTCTTTTCGGACGTGGGCTTGGACCAGTTTAGAGGAGAACCGTTGCCTGGCTTCGGAGCAACAGCTCTGCTCGAACTGGCACTGGAACTCGGTCCAAGGCTGGGAAATTCCGATGCGGTGAGCTTGGGCGCGCTCTTTTTCAAAGCCTCTTGACGCGCTTTGGCCGCGTCCTCCTCCTTTTGCACCATCTGCAGCTTCTGGAAATTGCTCGGGTTGGCCACAGATACGTAATCATCGGCCAAAGACCGATGCTTGGCTGATATATTGGTCATCGGAATTGTAGAGCCGCTCGGCAGCATGTCCTCCTCCAGGTTGCGTAAATTCTTCTTGTTGCCCTTGCCCGGCAGAGCGGGAAAGTCAAGTTGCGGTGCGGCTGCCTTTTTGGCCACGGCCGCTGGTCGATTTGATACGTGCAAAAGCATTCCATTGCTGGGAGGAGCATTCCGGCTGGAAGAAGTTGCGGCCGCGCTGGTTGGTTTTTTAAAGACTGCCGACACAGGGTGCTGGGACTGAGCAGCTCTGGCGGCGAGGCTGCTGGCAGAGGAGCCAGCAGCACCACCTCCGTTTCCCCCTCCCAGAGCCGGGAAGTTTTCTTTGGTGCGAGCAAGACCAGAGGTTCCGCTAAGATTGCGCATCGAGGGCGGCGGAGGTCTGACCAAGGACACACTTGGCGCGGTGGAGGCGCCTCTCAGCGTGGGGAACTGCTCCTCGTTGCCAGCATCGATGCTTACGTGGCGCTGGCTGCTCGAGGGCAACTCGTCCAGAAAGTCGTTGTGCTCGTCGTTCCTAAGAGGTTTAAGGATTTCAGTAAGTCTCCTACATCAACATACCACCCGCTCACCTGGCTCTCATATTGGCTATTCCCTGCTCCGTCTGTCCGCTGCGTCCGCGCGGTCCCAGTGTAATCTCCAGCTGCAGCGTTCGCGTCTGCTTGGCCTGCTGCTTGTTGAGCGACTTTCCATGTACGTTGGCCACGTGCGCCTTGTACTCTATCTCGTTGCGGAAAGCACCAACGAACTGCTCGGTAGCGCACTTGCCCTCTTCGCAGAGAAAGTGCTCCTGCCGGAAGTGGTCCGCCAGATCGGCATAATCGTTATAGAACTCATTGCAGCCGTCTGCATCACAGAAGTGGCAGAAATAGTGCTCGCGACGCAGATGGCGGAACAACTCGTCCCTGTCCAGATAGCGCTTCTTGCAGTACTCGCACAGTGGGTGGCCGCGATGGGACCGATTGTCCGGATCACCCTTGGTGTTGTGTAGCTGCAATTCTGCCTGGGTGTAACACCTGCGCTCGAAGGTGAAGATCTTGAGGGTCTCCACGCAGAGATCGCAGTACAGCAAGCTGTGCTCGCTGCGCACGTGGTTTCGCAGGCCCTGGAAGGTTCGGTACGGAGGTGCATCGCATCTGTGGTTCGGGGAATGGGGTAATTATGTGTATGTTTGATTGAGTTGACTCGGTATAGTTACTTGGGGCAAGGATGGTCGAGCAGCTTGAAGAACTGCTGCTGAATCTCGGCGCTGCAGAAGCCGATGCGATACTTCTTGCTATAGAAGTCGGAGCGGTTGTTGGCTTCCAGTTCTCGGTAGGGCAGCTTTTCAAGGGTGAACAGAACCTGGAAAAAAAGAGGTTTAGAATAGGTTCGGTTGACGAAGCGAAGATGTACCTTAGACAGGACATGCCGGCAAATGGGGCACTCGTTCTGCTGGCAGAGCACCCGCATCCGGGTGGAGCACTCGTAGCATACTGGGTGATCGCAGTCACCTATGGAGTAGATGTCCACGTTCTTGAAGCACACCACACAGGCGTTGTCGTCGTTGCCCACTTGGGTGTCCGCGGGTTCAGGTTTTACGGAATTCTCCACGACGGTGGTGGATGCTCCAGTTCTGGGGCGACGGTTGTACGCGGACCTGGCCCCTGATCTTTGCTTTCCGTTCTGCATTTCGACAGGTTTTGCAGTGAGTGGAAGGGGAAAGTTACTTGTTGCCAAGGGCACTAGGTAATCGGAGTGCGACTCGGGGTTTCAGGTGAATTAGCTTAGGTTTGGGGTTCCCGGCGCTTCGCCTGCGTTGGTTTCCTGAGCAAGCGAAAACAGTCTAAAAGGAGGAATATTTCCAAGGGCAGACACGAGGCAACACGCACGCACACGAAAAATAGGAAAAAAATCCGAAATTGGAAAACTCGATTGTTATGAGTGGCAGTTCATCGATAACCAGCTCGCAACGATGAGCCGATAGCATACGATCTAAAGCTTTTTATCAAGAGAGAAGAAATAAAAAAAAACAATTTTTCTAGAAACTGAAAAGAATATAACGAAAATAAATTCTAGAATATAAGTTTAAATATCAATTTTGTTCGTAACGTCTACGTGACCAACTTTCCGGCTTTAACATTAACATTAATTCTAACAGCTGACTCGGTATTTTTGATATACGGATTCCACTGCATATTTTAACTCTGCCAAATCAACTTTCAAAATATCAAAACATTCTATGCAAATGTCAAATAGGGGTTAATTATGCTGAAATATTTAAATTTTGTACCAACTTTTTTTTAAAAGTCATGAAGGTAGTCCCAACACAACTAATAGTTCTGATATCAAATTTTTATATGTTTTTTTTTTTTTTTGCAAATACTTCTACATCTCTCTCACACACGCGCTTTGATTTTATTAGTAGTCGGAGAATAACAATTTATTTAAACTAAAATATGAGAACGTCAAACCAAGACTGAAACCCACGTTTAACCTGGTGGAAGAAAAGGCTTTGGTGAAATTGTGAAAATGGATTTTTGGGGACTTTGAGTTCAAGTTGCGGAAAGTGGCAACCATGGCAAAAATTATTGGGGGCTTTTTTCGCGTTTCACGTGCGGTCGCCTTGTCGAGCTCAATTCTAACGTCAGCAGCACCTCTGACCAGCAGTTTCAGACTTATTCAGACAGACCCACAGCAAAAGCATCCAGTAAAGATGGCCCTGTACGAGACCGTGGAGAAGGGCGCCAAGAACTCGCCGAGCTACAGCCTGTACTTCAGTAAGTTCCCGAGAAAGGTGACCCGGCCTAACCTCTCGGCTTGGGTTCCATTTGCATTTCCTGCACCTAATGCAGTTACGGCATAGGGGCTTAGTTAATCGGGCAAATTATGCAACAAGTCAAACCGGACTCTCGTTAGCTCGTCGGCTTATCAGCGATCGGCCGATTTGTCTTTGCGGCGGAACCGGCGGAAACACCAAAAGTTTCGGGCCTTATCTCCGTTTATTGCGGCTTCCATAGAGCAGATATCGAATTAAGGGGCAGAATTTCGGTTGGCCAATCAAGACGGGCACGCGAGCCCAGAAGTGACCTTTGTCTAGACGACAGGCCGACAGCATTTTAATCAATCAAATCGCGTGTTGCAGGTGCCATATATCAACAAAAGTAATCATTTCTGGACACTCTCCACAGAAAACAAGTGCGGCAATGTCATCTCGCCGATGCACGACATTCCACTGTACGCCAACGAGGAGAAGACCGTCTACAACATGGTCGTGGAGGTGCCCCGTTGGACCAACGCCAAGATGGAGGTGAGTCTGACCTGGCGACGCTAATTAACAGTAGCCTAATCCAGCGATTGCATGTCTGCGCCCCCAGATCAGCCTGAAGACCCCGCTGAACCCCATCAAGCAGGACATCAAGAAGGGCAAGCTGCGGTTCGTGGCCAACTGCTTCCCGCACAAGGGCTACATCTGGAACTACGGAGCACTGCCCCAGACCTGGGAGAACCCCGACCACATCGAGCCCTCCACCGGCTGCAAGGGCGACAACGACCCCATCGACGTCATCGAGATCGGCTACCGCGTGGCCAAGCGCGGCGATGTCCTGCAGGTCAAGGTGCTGGGCACCATTGCCCTGATTGACGAGGGCGAGACCGACTGGAAGATCATCGCCATCGACGTGAATGATCCGCTGGCCTCGAAGGTCAACGACATCGCCGACGTCGACCAGTACTTCCCTGGCTTGCTGCGCGCCACTGTCGAGTGGTTCAAGGTGGGCATTCCTTACGTATTGAAGGCACTCTCCTAACTCTTTTTGTCCGCAGATCTACAAGATTCCCGATGGCAAGCCAGAGAACCAGTTTGCCTTCAACGGCGACGCTAAGAACGCGGAATTCGCCACCACCATCATCGCCGAGACCCATAAGTTCTGGCAGAACTTGGTCCACCAAAGCGGGCCAGCCAACTCCATTTCCACGTGAGTTCGGTACACTTTCAAGGTCCTCTCGGATACTCAAATACTCCTTTGCAGCACAAACATAACCAACCGCAACTCGGAGCACGTCATTCCCAAGGAGGAGGCCGCCAAGCTGCTGGCCGAAGCCCCCGAGGACGGGAAGGTGGAGGAGGTGCCCGACACAGGTAAGGTTTACTATGTTAGATCGAGCTTATAGCCGCTTCACCCGATCCCCACCAAAACACGCCACTCCAGCACACGCTTTAACCAGTAGCTTGCAAACAAATTGGTTACACAAGCCCAACCAGCATGCCTACTAATAGTTAGCTTAAGTTGTCCTGTTACCAACCAAAATCAATTACCCACGCTGTAAATACTGCTAAACACCCAACACTTGTAATTGGCTGGCCTGCGTTTAATAATCGTTATACGTACTCATAGTGATGTTGAAATAAACCTCTTTAAAATCACATCCCTTTGTTATTGCAGTCGACACTTGGCATTTCATTCACCTCAAGTGAAATGTCCTACTGGAGTGGTTCCGCTACAAGATTATCGTAGTCTGATCAAATCGGAAATGCTTGCACTTGTGAATTATGATATTGAATATATAGTACGTTGAATAAAGTTTTGCACCGCAATCAAATTCGCTGCCGTCTCCTCTTGAAATATACAATCTTTATTTATATTTTACGACTAGATCCAAACAAGTTTAAATTAAATAATAGTTATGTAATTGTAGGGCGTATGCAATAATACATAAAATCGAATCGGATTATGCCGTGTGGGGTTTCTCAGGTGTGTGTTTCGGTTCTATTGCCGGTGTGCAAATCTGGGGATTGTGGAACGTAGAATTTATTGCCGTAACGAGTTAACTTAAGCTTAAGAAATAAAAGAAATGTACAACATAGTTAGGCGTTAAAAATATGTATGTATAGAAATCTTTAAAAGAAGACAAAAATAATTTATTTACATCAGACATTTTGATTCTTGATCGTTCGTTTTTTGTTCGTTCTCTTATTTGTTTGTAGGCTTTTCTTTTCTGGCTTTAATTTGCGCGAAAAACTAAAAAGTTATTATAATTTCTCGTAGTCACCAAAACTAAGAGCTCCACGAGACTGCTGAACGGACCGATGTGCATGACAGAGAATAGTAAAAGAAGACAAAAACCAATTTTCACTTTCCGATATCGGTGCGGATAAGTATCGTGTAATAGCTTAGTAATTGTTTTAATCATTTTTTTCAACATTTTTGATCAGCTTTCTCCTGTAGCTTAGTCGTTAGTTTTTAGTTATTTCTTTAAGTGGTACACATTCCGCGGGTCGATCGTTTCCTGGTTGCCATTGTTCCGTGCCGTGTTCTGCCACAGTTATCAATAATAGTAGTTTAGTAAATAGTTTATAGAATTAAGTAGCTGCTCGTGCCAGTGACGGTGCCAGTGCCCAGAAAGTCGCAGTTTACTTGCGTCCCAGGGTGTCGCGCCATTCGTTGTACTTGTCCATCTCCTCGTGCAGCTGAAGAGCCTCTATGCAGGCGTTGAAGAAGGGCGATCCGAAGCATTCTTGCCTGAGTTGGTAGATTGAGAGGGGATTAGTATGGATCAATTTTATTTGAGGTTTTAGCATATGTTGCTTAGCAACTAGAGACAAAATGTCAAAAAGTGTTCAAGCGCTGTGGCAGTTCAAAACAAATTGCACACAGCTCTAAATGTAATTTAAAATATTGCAACAAAACCTTTTCTTCCAAACACATTCTCAAAAAAGTAAGGAGAACGTTCAAAAATTTGTTGGAAATGCTTCAAAACCTTGCAAAAATGCTCTTAGAATTATACTTTAGGTTTCATGTTTGCTTAAAAAAGTTGGAGCAACATGACCAAAATTTTGGTGTAAAATTAAAAATTTTGTTCAAAATCAAAAAAGTCGAACATGAATAAGTATTATAAAAATAATAATAAAATAAAATAAAAACGTACCAAAACAAAAACGGTAAGCAGGCGATTTTTGTAGCGCCAGAAACGCGCGCAAGTCGCCGGCTCTTTCTCCTCCTCTATTGCGATCCCTTTCTTTGGCGGCTGTTGGTCTCTTTCGCCGCCGCTATAGCGATCTCTTTCGTATGTCCCTGGGTCTCTGGCTGCTCTGCGTCGCGCATTTGCATTCTAATTCTCATTTATCACAATTTTGATGCTCTCAAATAGCCAGCAAATAATTATCTTTTATTATTTTACATGGGGTTTATAATCGATACTGCCACATTTTGAATGCAGTGCTTTTCGAGTGTTTTTACCAGTGGTTTTTGTTTGTGTCTTGCACAAATTGCGTTCTAGCGTTTTTTTTGTTTTAATTAGTATGCTTGCTTATGGTTGATAATATGCGGATAATTGTTTGGCTTTTTCTGTAGTAGTTATACATATAGGCATATATATATTCACTTTTGCCAACAGATTTACGCTAGTTAGGGGTTTTAACTTTACAAAATAGCACAAAATTGTAAGTGTAATACATTTGCAAAATACTTTCGGTCTCGTATGCGGTGTGTGTGTGTGTACAATGGATTAGCTTTATCTTTTGCCCTTTCGGAAAATTGTGTAAAACATATAAATTTTAAATGCTGATTTTACAATAGAATACAAAAATAAGAGTTATCATTTTACATTATATAGATTAAAAACAATGGATTTCGTTTTGTTTATTTTATATACATAACGCATAACGCAATAATAAGAAAACAAGCTAAGAATACTTAAAAATAAATACTTCGGCTTCTACATGAGGAGTTAGGAGATGTGCGATGTCTTCTCCGTCACTCATCTCTCACTCGCCCGATTATGTTACTTACAACAAACGCATAACGTTCTCAATAAATTAATAAAAATAATTCGTTTTTAAAAAAACACATATATAGTAAAAACTGTAGTGCATACAGTATTAAATAAATAAGTACGAATTAAATTTGGGCGTTTTAATATTTTAGATTTCTTTGTTCTGGCTCTGCATTTGTGGTTGTAGTTGGATTCCCATTCTCCATTCCACATCATTCGCAGCGAATTTCAACTGTGTGTGTGTTTGCCTGTGCGTGTTTTGGGGCTGTGTGTGTGTGTGAGGGGGCGGGACTTAGAGTTATGTTTGCGGACCCATGTTGAAGGATATGGGCGAGCCGTTCACTACTCTCAGAAAGTGCTGTAAGTTTGATATTTCCTCTTCGGGTATTAACAGCACTTTTAGGCACTCGCCAAACCATTTTGAATCAAAGCAGTCTTTCCTAAAATTAAATACGAAAACCATAATGAAACATAACGAAAACGTAAACGTAAAATAAGAAATCAGGAAAATCAGTCTTAAGCGGAAACGGAAGTGGGAAAAGAAAGTGGAAACGAAAGTGCAGAAAGGAAAGGTGTCTAGTGGTAAACGGGCTTGCGAAACGGATAGGGTGATCCATTGATCACTTTCAGATAGTGCTGCAGCTGAGAGATCTCCTCATCGTCGATCAGCAGCACCTTCAGGCAGTCCCCGAAGGTCTCGTGGACGAAACAATTGGCCCTGCATCGAATAGACAAGAAATACAGATATAGGAGGTCGCACAGAGAACTGAAGAACCGAAAAGAGGATGCAGTTCAGAAAAATAGTAAAGGCTTTTTAAAATTAAAAATTACGTATACGATATGTAACACAGATTAAAAGTTTGAAGGATTCTTTTATAAAATCAAATAGAAATCCCATCTATTGTCTTCATCGGTTGTGCTTTCAAATTCCCTTTAAAAAATCATAATTTCAGATCAAAGAAAGAAATGAAAAGCTAAAAAATCCAACTTGGCACTGTGGTCAGCTGCCGTTTTTCTCTGTGCGCGAAAGTCAAGGAGAAAGTAGCTGGGTGGGCGAGGAAAGAGCCCATAAAGTTTAGAAATAAACGAAATAAACGAAGGTCCCGAGAGAGAGCGTTTCCCGAGACCCCCGGCATTTGTGTCAGGGTCTGCACTTAAGCACTCTGAATCATAATTCAGTCTAATTAGTGTCTTTTTTTGGCTCGCCTTGAACGCTGTAAGGGAATCTCTGCTTCGGGGTTGAGTTAGTTGAACCGTAGATATGTATTTACCCCACATTCGGATGGTACTTACTTGCATAATCGGTGTATACTCGTCTCGCGGAACAACTGGTAGCAGTCCTCGCAGATGCGGTCCAGTCGGAAGAACATGGTCTTGTTGAAGATGCCCTTGCACTCCAGATCGAAGAAATTGCTGCGCTTCGACAGATTGTGGTTGTGTGGCAAGGCGGCGAAGATTGGTATCAAGACGAGAAACAGCACCACCGAGATCTTTATGTTGCGGGAACACATCTGCAAGAGTGGGAAACCGGAAATGCGTGTAAAAATAGCTGGCTATTTATAGGTGCGATCAATTAACTGGCTAGCTGGCTGACTGGCTGACTTGGCTGGGCTGGCTAACTGGCTAGGTTGGCTGGCTAGCAGATAACTGGGTAAGCGGATATGGGCCAAGCCAAGTCCTGCGGATCGTGCACGGAACTTGCCGCCAAAGGACTGGGGCAAGGGCAGGGGCGGCCAGGTGGCCAGGTGGCAATCAAGCTGCCTCTTGCCCCATCGCGGCGACCCTATAAATAGACCCCGTCCGACAAAGCCGTCTGCCGACTGGCTAAAAATAAGGCCCCCATCCACGAAAGGTGCAATTGCAATTGCAGTTGGCCGTCCGCAGCCGCAGACGATCTTATCGCAGGAGAACTCTATAAATAGCACCGGCGATTTCAATGTTTATTGCATTATTTGCCATCTGTCGGCGGGCTTAATTTATGATGTAAGTTTGCCGCGCTTTGGCGGCTCAAAGGAGAGCCAATTTACGGGCGGACGGGCCCCCAAAAAAATACTTCTACGTATACGAGTGTGCACACTCGTATTTGTTTACTTTGCATATTTTATCAATTTGCGCGCCCGCTCGGGAATTACAGCGCGCTCACACATTCATACAGACATAGTATATAGTATCATCCATTGCGGCATTCCAAACTATTGAATAATTTGATTAAAACTGCAAATTTTTCCATTGCGCATTGTGCCAATTGCTCGTTTGCACATGACATGTGTGAAATTCTTTCGAGCCCCGGCTGAAAAATGAAAAATGAAATGCTGAATGAAAACCAAAGCAGACACAACGACGTCGACTATTTTAGAAACAAGCAGGCGAGAATATCAACAACATGAAATTTGTAAAACAACTTTGCGCTCTTGTGCCGATGATTTAAACACATATAGTGTTTTAACGAATTTTTTTGGCTGTCGAATCTGACGATCTGCGCGTTCTTAGATCTTTGGCAAATTGGTTTTTTATTGCCTTGTTGATGTCTTCAATTAAGTTGAGCAAATTTGTTCGCTGATTTATGGCCGCTGGATGGCTGGATGGGGATCTTGAAATGGGAATGGGGCATTGGGACTGAAGATCGCGAATGAAAATTCTAAGAAAGTTCATCAGTCGCCTGCCGATGGCCTAGCAGAAATACATATGTGCATGTTTATAAAAATTATATTGATTTCTTTAAAAGGAATTTCCGCCCCTGAAAGTATGCTTCAAACTGGGCTAATTAGACTTTATTTGAATAACAAACTTCAAAGGTTTAACTTGCCAGTCAATATTTGTTTTCAAGTCGTAACTTAAAAATATAAAAATATTTTGAGAAAAAGATAAATTTTTTTCCATTTGACCCTTATTGATACGCACAGATTTCATCTCTATTTGCTTTAAATGTTAGGGAGTATGAATCAGGTTGTTATACCCAACAATGAATGGAAAAACCTTAATATAATGAAAGTCTGGCTTTGCCAAAAACTGACTGACTGCGGTTAACCGCGAGAGTATTTATAATTTTTAATTACAATTGATTTAAATTTTTAAGTAATCTTAAAGGGCATTTGCACCTCAGGTACTCCCCATTAGTGGTTTTTTCGCCAATCGCATTATTGGCATGTGGATTCCCCCGCGTGTGTGGGCGACTCTTGGCCTCCGCATGGAAGAGTGCAAGTTGCGGCCGAGCGGGGAACCCAAACTGAATAATACGATATAGCAGTCGTTTCGTCAGAGATCTCCCACCGACGTCCCAGTGCAAAGTGCAACAGCTTGCGTTCGAGCGACTCGATTCGAATTTCCCCGATGGATTCGGCTTAAGCATCTGGTGATAATTGGCTTCGAGTTGCACGATTTATGGCATCATCGTTCAGTGCAGGCGGCTATTTTTAACGCTCTTTTGCCGGCTGCGTCAAAGATAATGTAACATGGTCCATTGAATCAGGGGGTTTTAGAGGGGGATAACAACGAACAGGGCGAGGGAAAGTTGAAGGCGAAGTTGAATGAATTGATCCGCCGATCCAATGGCGTCATCTTCGCAAAAAGGGCGATAAGGGGATAGGATATTTCATTTGTTTTTGGGATTTTTTTTACAAACATTTTACTTCTTCGATGTGCAGTGCAGCAAATATATGGCACATAGCACTTAGCATCTTTGATCATCATTACCATTGACATGTGCTGGCAATTTGTTTGCATTTTACGTTTGATTAGCTGCCAATTGATTTTATTCAGTCAGTCAGTCGGCGCTTTGTAGCAATTTCAAGTGGCGAGCGTGTCGCACATCGAAGCCATCCCATTATTCGAATTCCAGGCACATCTATGTCCATATGCTCTATATATACACATAAATACATATGCCACAGAATCATTGGAGCGAGTCGCACGCACGCCTCCCAATTGCTAATGTTGTTGTTGATTGCCGTCTGATTGTACACTATTCAACTCTGATTTGATTGCTGTTTTCGACGTCGATTTTATTGTCGCTGCTGCCAGGCGACATTGAATGAAGTCATGAGCCAAAAATAATTATGCCAATTATGACAGAAAAACGGATTGTCAATTCTGTTTTGCGCAATAGTTTATAATTGTTATGCCCAGGGAATAATGGCCAAGGGATATGCTCGACTTTTTATGACGAAAATAAATGTTTATAGATGAGAGACTTTAAACGATTAAATTTGTGATTCAACTTGGGCTGGAAACATCACTCCCTCTCTTCAACCGATCGTATTTCTTGGTAAATTCGCAATATCATTGGGTATCTCAAGGTCGACCCATTCAGACAGAACGTCTTTTTGCTACGCCCCCTCGGCGCTGTCACGAAATAGTCTATTAATAGGAATACGGCGGGTTCAAGTCCAGCAGTTTCTTATCAGTTCCCCGTAAAATAAGTAGTCGCGGTATGCGGGAAATGTTATCGTGAGATAAAGATATATCATCAGGCATTAAGTGGATTTTGAAGCGGCACTGAAGCAACTGTGCAAAGCTGTGCATTCTATTCGCCAGCTATACTACTGTAGGTTGCAATATACCTATGTTTTTGTGCTTTACTGCACTACTCGTATATATCTTAACGCTTGGCTACGCAAGCATGGCAAGCTGAAAGCCAAAACATAAAACACAGGCCCCCTTCGTTGTTTGCTGTCGTGTTTTCATCAGCGCAACTAAAAAGTGCTTAGGCGCGCAGAAACAACACCACTTGCGGCAACAACAGCGAAAAAAACATACATAAACATTCGTGGCGAGACTGCTTGGTACCAGCGTCTATATCGTCTATATGCTAAACTGGCACAACGGCACAACACTTGCTGCCACATTTCGCTGCTGCGCCTGCGCGGATCACAAAGCGCTGCTGTTAATTTGACGGACACGCAGGAGTCTCGGGCTATGAGCGCTCCATCAGCAATTTGCATGATATGTGTCTTCGATTAATATGCATTTATTCATGAAATCTCTGGGATATATGCTAAACAGGAAAGGCCGAGTCGAAAGCCCAATCTTGGAGGCCGGCTGAAGCCAGTGTGCACCGGGGAAAAAGCTTGGAAATCTCACCCAACACATTTCGCATATCATCCAAGTAAATATTCTCTTGCATCACATGAGTTGGGTTTTATTTTGCTTAGATTTATGATTGCTAAGATGAATTTGCGGTGGAGATAAGATGAGACCGTTTCGGACTCATGAGTTGTTATTCACAGATTCGTAAGAGAAAATCAAAAGATTTTTAGAATTAGATGTTAACGTAATTCACTGATCTTGTATAATTACAAAAAAATAACATTTGTTCCGTATTCTCATTGGACTACAACGAATTAGCTGCTGAAATTGATCATTTGTATAGGTTGAAAAGATTTCCCACAGTTATTAAGAACCCCCTAGGTTCTCCTTAGCACTTGCACGATATTTATTGTAAGACCTGGGATAATTCTGTTCAATTCCCAGCTATTTTACATCCTCCCCACTCACAGTGACTGCTGCCATTGCAGCGATTCTATGGCTTCCGTCCGCGGGACGATCGACGGCGGAGGGCATGGCTAGTGTCAATTGATCTGAATATATATCCAATTGATGCTATTGAGATTAATGGCGAGCGACCGTTTCGCAATAGATCTCGGCGTCTGCCAAAGGCAATTGGCCGCGCACTTCGGCTGCTGCTCGCTTTGGTTAATTCTTGGACAAACAGTTTCGACTGCGATGACAAAAGGCAGTCGGCAAACAGCACGAGACACTCCAACCGAAAGGCCGAGTAACCAAACAGAAAGGTGAGACAGAAACGAGAACGACGCGCGAGCAATCAACTTTTGTTGGCAACACAAAAATAAAACTGAAGATCGCGAGCGGCTGTTCAGGTTGCATGGCTACTGCCACCGCTCCGCTTATCAGGCGGCCCACACAGATACGCACGCACACAGCGAGAAGACGATGAAAACGACGACAGCGAGTCTGGCGCAGTCGGAAAAGTATCTGAGTATCTGAGAGATCGCCGCTGCGGAGGAGAGCGAGCTGTGGAACACCCAGGCGTATACGTGATGTGAATGCCTATCGGCCCAAGTTGCCCGGCTAAAAGCCGTTAAAAAAATCGCTGGAGAGCGGCACTTGTCCTGGCGCGCTGCTGGAATATCTAATTGCCATTACTAAACTAGTTTGGCCCCGCCCTGCTTTCCCCTGCCGCTCCGCTCTCGCCTCCACGGAAAAGTGAATTAATCAGCCAGAAACGAGTGGCTGCAACTTGCCCAGTGGAAATTTCTCAACCGATTCTATCTGGTCAACAAAACGAGTGACTAAGCGCTCGAGTTAATTGTCATAAGTGGAGTAATTTCCGCAGGTTCTCTGAATAAATTGCCCTCAAGCAGTTTATTGTTTTTATGACGCCTTATTAACTTGATAATGAAGGCGGTTTTATAAGCTCGAGGAATTCGTTGCATACATTTTAGAGCTTTATTAGCCAGCTTACATCTCAATTTTAAACTGCGCTTGTTCTATA